CACAAACGCCCGCTTCTTGTTCTGGCTGGCCGTTTCGTTGCTCGTCTTTGACCGCGCCGCCCGCTGGGCGCTTCTCCTGTGGCAGAATCTGAGATTCAAGACTGGCGGATCAGCATGCCAGGGCAGACGACGAGTTGGTCACCAAATCCTCGCCCGAGCAGTGGCCGATACCACCACCGTCGTCACCATCAAGGACGTACACTTTGCCTGGACGCCCGGCCAGCACGTCTACCTGTGGATTCCACGACTGGGACCTCTAGAAGCTCACCCGTACACCATTGCCTGCGCGCGCAAGATCGAAGGAACCTGCTGCTGCAACAGCGTCCAGCTCATCCTGCGCAAGCACAAGGGCTTCTCCAAGCGCATCCACAGCTACGCCTCCAAGAACCCGGAAGCGTCTCTCACGGGATTCCTCTCCGGCCCGTATGGCGCACCCCCTCGATGGGACATTTACGAAACCATGGTTCTCATTGGAGCTTCCACGGGCGCGAGCTTCACACTGCCCTTGCTAGAAGCTGCCGCTCAAGCCGACTTTGTTGGCTGCGTCAAGAGGATCGAAGTGCTCTTCGTGGCGAGAACATACCGAGAAATCGAATACTACGTCCAGCGCGCGCAGAAAGCAGGCGATTCCCTCTCGCAAAAGGGTGTCATCATCAACATCCACGTTGCAATCACAAACTCCGCCCTCGGCAGCGACGGCCTCCCCCTCTCACGCAACGAAACCAATATTTCCCACATCACAGCTAGCAGCAGTGGTGAAAGCAGCCAGAAAGAAACGATCATCAAATCATCACCCCACCAAGACTCATCCTGTTGCTGCACAGGCAGCAACGCCGACGAGAAGAAGGAGACGCAGGAGCCGCAGGAGAAGGCCTTCTCTAGCCTCCCCGTTGTCCGCGAGTATACGACACGACCGGACATTGAGCAGTTGATCCGCCAGCCTGTGGAGGTTGCGTACGGCGAGACTGCGGTGGTGGTTTGCGGAGGGCCTGAGATTGTTGCCACGACGAGGAATTGCGTGAGCAGGCTGAGTGATGAGCGGGCGGTGCATAAGGGGACTGGGGCGCAGGGCATCTATCTCCATGTTGAGGAGTATTCGTTCTGAGTGAAGAGCCCTGGGGGGGTGGATAATGAGCTGTTATGAATAATGATTTGGTTGGTTTTCCTTTGATTTTGGTTGGGGACATAGAAATATGCGCGGATAGAGAGCATATAGGCGTTGGTCAGTTTAGTCGGCATTCTTTTGAACTTTTCTGGCTGAAATTAGCCATATATAAAAAAACACAGATTCAAACAGAGTCTTTGGTGGCAATGACGTGAATTAACAATGATACGTATAATAAACCACCACTTGCCGCGTTTGATGCTGATAAAGCATGTCGCGGTAGCCCGCCTGGGGGGACGTTAAAAATGCTGTGAAGTTGTGACAGCGACGTCTTGGGGTTGCTAAAACAGACACTCCTCGGGTGTGCATAGTAAAACTCGCTTCCTACTGTCGAATCGGAAAATTCCTGACGTATCGACTGCTGGATTAGTCCGTCAGTATTCCATATCGACAGCTGAAGTTGCCTCGTCCGACAGCAAGGCATTTAGACGTGAAAGAACTTGCACGTGCAATGCAAAGCAGCTACTTCTGGCCGTGTGAAAGGCTGAAACTACCGGATACCATAGGAGATGATAGGGTAAGAAAAGAATTCGTGCCTGAACTGATGGTGACACTGGAAGATGGAATTACATCCTTAAGATTTGATTCGCCAACTAGTCGCAGTAGTAGCTATACTGTTATTCGTTTAAATCTTCTGAGATTAGGTATTATAGTAAGTATATTTGATATGTAGATAACATGAAGTTCGATAAATCATCATAGGCACATCCAGCTACGTCCCATATAGCAGCGCCTACCACAGACTTCCAATCAAAGTTTTCCAGAATAAAAGAAAGGGAAAAAAGCTAGCTCTTGTGGCCAGCAAAGTCGTGGCATATATACGAACCGTTACTCCAAGATACTGTACACTGGAGAAAGTCCAAATTCTTTTTTCGTTGTTGCCGTAGTCGTCATCATTCGCCATGGATTAAATTTGGTGTAAAAAAAAGTGTAAAAATCTGAGAAATTCGAAGCGAGAGATAAAAAGACCAATTTAGTTTTCGCCATGCCGGGCTTTTAATCAAAATTTTAGTAAAGAGGTTGTTCAACATTCCGATACTCGCAGAGTACATATTCAAAACTTCAAAAGGACTGAATATTTCCCCTAGAGAGAACCGTTCTCAACGGCAGCCTTAGCATAGCCATTCGCAGACCCATTGACCTCCGTCAACAAGGGCTCGGCCTCGGGCCGCAGCTGCGCATTCTCCTCTTCCTCGCTCGACTCGGACCGGTCGTCCTTTTTGATCCTATAGACGACAAACTTATACATGCTGCGGAAGAGGCAGTAGAGCCAGAAAAGGTTGAGGGCCTGCAGCGAGGCCAGCAGCGCAAAGGTAATGATGTTGGAGATCCAGCACTTGTACTGCTGCGTCTCCCAGTTGAGCTCGTAGGGCCCGACGGTGCGGAACTCGGTGAGGATGGAGTAGAGGATGCGCAGGTTGATGTAGTGGCGGAGGTAGATCCAGACGAAGATGTTTGAGATGTAGACGGGGATGACGAGCGGGCTGTCAATGTAGTGGAGCGATTTGGAGAGCTATGAGTTTGTCAGTATCATGAGAGCAACCAAGGAATCAAGTCAAACATACTGCCAGAAAGACGTCGCTGATATCGTGGGTGATGTACACGGCAATGCCCATGTGCGTGAAATGGAAGCGGTAGCTCAGCCCAATCAGCGCCAGCGTCACAATATGGTGCGCCACCAGCTCCTTGAAATCCTTGCGCGGCTTCTCAAAGCCCAGCAGCATCACGACGCCCTGCTGCGCCCAGTACGCCGCCTGGAACAGGTAGTAGAACTTGAAGACGGCCTCGTGCGAGCGGTGCGGAAAGGCCTCGTACATGCCGGCCGTGTTGAAGTACCACACGGGGCTGCGGCTCATGACATAGACGCCCGTCGGCCCCATGCAGCTGAAGTAGAGCGCCGTGTACATCTGCTCGGCGAAGCGCTGCTGCTTGCCGCGGCTCTTGATGCCGTTGAAGCGGCCAAGCGGGATCAGCACCTCCTGCATCATCAGCTCGCGCGTAAACGACAGCACAATCGTATAAAAGGCCACAAAGGCCACATCCCAGAGGCCCTTGCCGTAGTGTGCGGGCAGCGTCGGGTCGAGGTGGGCGTTGGGATTGGGCTGCTCGTACGAGAGGAAGATGAAGCGGCGGACGGGATTCGAAGCGGTTGGGTTGACGGCGTAGGCGGCGGCGAAGAGGAGCAGCAGGATCAGGGGGGCGACCCAAGTGTGCTTGAAGGAGAAGCGGGCGAAGCGGCGGAACAGCGAGCGGGCCTTTCGTCGCTTCTTCTTGTCCATCGAGAGGCGTGAGGATGATGCTGTGCTGGAGCCATTGCTGGCAGCGGATATCTCGGTAGGGCCGGCAAGCTGCTGGTTTCGGCGACGGACAGCGCCGTTGGCCTGGGACGGCGGCGGCGACGAGCTGACCAACGGGGCGGCGTCGTGCCGAGCCATTGCTGCGGGAGAAGGGCTGTGAAGCGTGGTGACGGTAATTGAAGTTGGAGTTGAAGTCGAGAAGAGAAGAAGCTGAGAGGTGTAGCTGGCCGTGGAAATACTAATGGCCGCTGGTGGTTGGTGGGAGGCCGGCAGCACTGTAAATTCGGGCGGGTGGGCTGGGCCTAAAAGTGACCTGGAGGGTACTTGGAGCTCTTATAAGCTCCGGCCAGACCTGTCAGATGGGCTGAAATAGCGTCCCCCAGAAGGCTTTGGGCACCTAAGCAACTTTTTGCTCAGCGGAATGATGTAGATGGTGCCAAGAGGGCGGGCGTCGCGGATGTACCAGGTTAGTAACTTGCCGAATGGGAATGGATGCAACGCCGCTGTAGCATTTGGGATCTCGCCCACCAAGAGCTTGCCGGATTTCGACTGGTCGTGTGCACAGCTTTATAAAAGAGAAGAGAGAAAGGGATTCGGTGCCGTCGGCATTTGGCGCCCGGGCCGACGCTTTTTGATGCTTGATGACGTCTTGGCTTCAACGACAGACTGGATCTTGAGAGTCAGTCAGATCAGCTGAGGGCGCCAATTCATCCCCGAGTGTTCCATTCAAGAGTCATTTTTGTGAATTATTCTTTTCCTTTCTTCTATTACATCAATTAGGAAATTTCTTTTATCCTTTCGCTTGCTTTTCGTCCAAATAGTCAAAAGCATCTTTTGCGCGTGGCGCCCCCGCGGAATCAGCTGCCGAAAGCCACATCCACCAAAACCTCGTCTACCTGTACACAAAAGTCCACGCATCAACCCGATCCTACAAACGACATGCAAGGGACCCGGTTGGACTTCCAGGGCTGAAGAACGCTAAAAGCATCCTTCCGAGGCCCTCGACGCTTCTATCCATGCTAAATTCTCCGTGCTCCAGTCTGGACTGGACCCTAGACCCTCTTTCTGGGACCCCCTGAGACTCGGAGCCCGCGGGTTGGCCTTGGCTGGAGGAGCATGGAACAGTCGACACATATATCTTTGCGACCTATTGCTGAAATCAAAGATAGTCTGCATTAGTGAGATTCATTCTCGGAGATTACTCTTTAAAAACCCTCCAGTTGAGATTGCTTCGGGAGCTGCAGGTATCCGGTATCCCCGTAAAGCGCGTGCCTATTCGCTTACACTGATACCAGCCGTCATATCGAAAGGAGTATAAAAAGACCTCTCTATTGGTATTTGTGTATAACAAATGGAATCTTATCCATAGTAAATCTAGACCCGCAATGTATTCGCAATCCCCATGGCTCATATCCATACAGAGCCCATCGGTGAAGCAAGAACAACCACATGTTGCTCCATGCTGTTAAACAAAAACTTTTTAAATCAATCGCACAATATAAATCACCCAGTGATAGCCCAGTCCTTTAATCTCCAACTTAATCGATTTGCTTCTCGCATCCAATCCGGTTGAGAAACTCCTTACGATCGCTGTGACCGGGAAGATGCAAGGCGCTGGAGCTGCCACTTCTCTTGGGCAAGGCTAGGCGTCGACGCTCCCAAGCCTTGACGATGCCATCGTCCACATCGGCTTCTTCCTCCAAATACCGATAATCAGCTTCATTTTCCTCTTCTTCTTCAAGCTCCTCTTCTTCCAGCTCGCCGACATCTTCCTCTTCTTCGTCGTCGCTGCGAATGTCTTCGGCGTTTTGGCCGCTGAGCACCTTGACAACGACCTTGAGAATGGCATAGGACCACATCACCATGATGCCCTGTAGCGCAACGAGGTATGAGAAGAATCCGGTAAAGGTGGACTGGTTGAAGCAGATCAAGCCTTCTGGATCCCTGAGCGGCTCAAGCAGCCAAGACCACCCGCTGGGCTGGGGCAATGGACCCTGTAGATTGTGCATGCCACCCTGGAAGCAGGTCTGCGGCACGATGGCAGGGACATCAAAGTAGACGCTGCGGATCACCATGAGGAAGAACACATGGCGGGTGGACAGCCAGACGACGACGAAGAGGCCAAAGAGGATGTCGCAGAGGGTGTTGTAGCCCAGATACTTGGCGCACTTGGCAAGCTGTGAACCCGTTAGTGCCCTTACTTAATGAATCTGAATCTCCAAAGATGGGTGAGACTCACTGGAAAGACAATGTCGACAATATCCATAATAATGAGAATCAGGTTGCCAACGCGTGTAAAGTGGTAGGCATACGAGGCTACGACCAGTCCGATTGTGACGACGTGGTGCGACAGCATCTGCCAGTAATCCTTTCGCTGTTTTTCAATGTTGATGACGTAGACTTGCTGAATCCAAAAAGCCAGCTGCGCGAGGAAGTAAAACTTCATGGTCCCGGAAATCTCTCGGCTGGGCCAGTCTGTCCAGAGCTCGGCCATGTTGAGAAAGTAGGGGGAGGAGTACCAGATGTACTGTGTCAAGTTAGCAGACGAAAATGGGCCACTTTCTAAAACATACTACACCAAGAGGCCAAAAGAAGCAGTAGTAGCAAATCATCCACGTCTGTTCCGCAAACCGCGCCTGGTCCTTGACTGAAGAGATTCCCCAACGCCGACCCAGGGGCCCCAAAACGCCATTCATGAGACCATCGCGCAGTCCAGTGAAGAGCACCAGATAGTAGATCACGTAGTAAACGTCATTGAAGCCAACCGCGTACTTTCCAGTAGAGGGGTTGTAGTGGGACAGCCACAGGAAGGGCCTTGTGAAGGGCCGTGCTCTGGGAATCATCAATTGGGTGAGGTAGAGAAGGAGAACGAGATTGAAAACGATCCCTAGTGGCGTGTTAGCATGAGAAGCTGAAGTCCAATTGATGAATTGATGGAGATTGAGGCGGCATACCCGCTTGGTTGTCGAGAAACAGCTGCTTGAGGCTGCGGCAGTTGCTTTCACTTCGCTTCCGTGACCGCATCTCCACCAGACGCCCATCCTTGGAGACGAGCTGCTCAGGCGCGTGAGCGGTGGCCTCGAGGTCGGATTTCATCTCGATGAGCCTCTCGGGATGACTAAAGGAACACAGGTCATCAATATCAAAACGAGCCATCTTTGCGAAGCGGGTGAAGCAGAGAGGGGAAATGGTGAGAACGAACGAGCCAGGGTGTGCCCGCGAATCAGTGGCTGAGGCTGGGCTTTTAAGAGCTTGATTATCGTAAAAAGGCGTTATAACGATGAAAAAAGAAAAGGTTATTTCCTTGGCGCTGTTGTTTTGATGTTGTTCTAATTCAGGTTTTGGGTGAAGTGAATTTTTAGATTTTTGTTTGCGGTGCTTTGGTGGGCGAGATTAAAGGTACGTCGAACAAACGGCCCGGTTGCCGCCTTTCGCAACAGCTGCAAGGGAAGAAAAACGAGAGAGATTAGGGGACTTGGGCTGATTTAGCTCAAGCCAGTTCTCTCTTTTTTTGGGCTTGCTAGCTCTAAGCTGTGCAGTGGAGAGAAAAAGCAATGGAGGCTGTGCCCGTTTTTTTTTTAGCGGCGTTGGACGCGTTTCACAATGGGTTGATCTATTCACTGGGCGATTTCATGTATGAGCCGAGATGGCTTGGAGTATATTTTGGTGAAGAAGAAGCAGAATGGGAAAACAGCCCTCAGAGGCTTTTGTATTTCTTCCATTGCCGAGATTCATGATTCGTGCGTGCAATTGGGCATCGAGTACTGTTTGCCATGCGGAATTGGCGGAAGCTGGTTGACAGAGCGTATTTCATGACGCGTTCTATATGTACGCCTTATGTACCAGAGTGGAGGATCTCTGTTTCTGCCTCTCAATGGTTTCTTGTTTGCGGTACGGCGCCATGGTCAAGCTATAAATAATTGCCTGTTTGATAAACATGCAGTGGAGAGGTAAATGGCTCTAGGGCTTGTCAGCAAGTAGTGTATTTGTACCTGTAACTGAAGCCCGGAACTGCAGTGCATCAGAGTACATGTAGCTTCTAGACTCGTTACTCGTGTATAACCGAAGTGCCGTAGCAGACCCTGATAGCCTCGTGATAAGCTACGAAATAACGTTCGAGAGCCAAAACGCCTCCTACGTTGATGTGCAAAGCCTCACCTCAGTCCAGTTCCGTTTTCCCCTGTATCCGTACGAGATTAAGAGATACGATTCATGTGGTGGCGGGGCCAGAGCTATCCACAGTGCTTCGTAATCGCAGCAGCCACTAAGAACCGCCGTTATTAGCGGCCCGGCGCCCTAAATGCGGAGAGGCGTGGCGATCTCAGAGATGGCGCCGTGCAGTGTAAGACGGCAATCAACCGCCTTTGTGCCCAAGCGATCTGTTCCTCTCCATGTTTTGGAAGCAAAGATGAGCTCTAATCGCAGAGTACTGCTGCTGTTGGCACTGCGTACTCGGTAAAAGGCTCCAATTGTTCCAGATGAATGGCCATTGCTGGTTCCAGACGCCAGAAATGTCTCCCTTGCTTCGGGCGTCTCCACTAACCTCAATGCCAGTGGGGAGGCCGCACTTTGGGCTCGAATTGAAGCAGTAATACTTGCATCTGCTGCAGGGCACGGCGCCTACTGCCTGTACCTGGTGTCGAGGCGTCCAAGCCTCAGCCCCCCAGCCTCTGGTTTTCAATCACCAAGAGAGCGAAATCCGCTTCGTTTCGTGCCTGATGCAATGCCGCGACCCCGAACCACGCATTCACGGCATTCCGCATCGCTGGAGTAGATCGAGATTTGTGCTTCATTGTCACGGCCGATGAAGCACTGCAGCATTCCGGGGAGCAGCACGGAGCTGTCAGAAGTTGGAGGTGGCAGATCCAGTGCTATACGAAGTAGATCAGATCCATTGGGACAAGCACCTTGTTAGCCCGGCCCCCAAAGCTGAGAAAACGAGATGCAGCCATCATGCCAGCTGACTTGGAGAGGCCTCGTCGAATCATGGCTGCTGACCTCTTGCCATCTTCTCTTCTAACCGCCAGCAATTGGCTCGTATCCTCTAACAATGCCGCCAGCCACCGTTTTCTCTCTTGATTCTTTCCATTAGCCCACGCGCGTTAGCATCGACTGTCGTTTCCTAATCCTCTTTACACGATCTCGTCGTTGTTTCTTGATCCCCGCGCAGCACAGAATCATCGCATCAGCCGAGGCCAAACATCTCGCTCACCTCGCATCCCCAGCCAGCGACTGTTAACCGCATATACTCTCCTCTCTCTGCACACACATGCCACTGCGATCCCGCCTATGAGGCCAGCTGGAGTCTCCTGCGCATCTCCAGAGGCGGCTCAAGCTGCCACTGACAGCCCGTAACTTGCATGTAGCGCAGGTGCCAGCCCACGATAGGCGGCCTGGCTGTGCTCGCTCCAGCGTTTAGGTCTAGGCACTCTCCGAATATCTCGCCTCAGCTCGCTTCTTCACCTTTTATCTCTTCTAACTGCGCTGCTGCTGCGAATCCAAAACCAAGCCAGCTTTAACGATCATTGATTTCTTTCAGCTTTCATTGTTCAGCGCCTTTGTCTCTATTCTTTGTTATCAATTTGCCTTGTTCTCAATATCGATACGACGCTATATCTCTTCTCCACCTCCATCATCCAAATGACAAGAAACTTTTGCCCAGGCACATATGCCCTCGTCCAAGTCATCACCAGGGCGGTGGCCTGGATGACGGGCGTGACGACGCTGGTGATTCTGGCCTTTATCATCAATCAATGGTCAGACAAGGGTGGTGCTGTTGCGGCTGGCCTTGTGGGGGTGAGTCTTCAAGTTGCTTGGTGATGGCGTCACCATCGTGATAGCATCATCGCTGCCAGCGCAGCCATAGCTAACGCAACAGCATCCACAGTCCGCCATCGCTATTCTCAACGACTCGTACATTGTCGTCGCCAAGCTCGATCGCGCCTTTGGCTTCAGCCCGCTATCACCTGCGCGCGCCCTCCTCCACGACCTCTTCTCGCTCGCTATATCGCTCGGCGGCATCGTCATGATCATCTTCTCGCGCTACACATACCAATCCGATGCCATTGCCGCCCTCGAAAGCGATTCGTCGCCGCAAATCACCAGCGGGGTGGGCGATCCCGATGTCATAAGCAGAGAGGGCTTTTCACAGAATAAAATGCTGGCCATTGTGGTGTGGATGCTTACTGCTGTTGTGTAAGTGCACATATAAACAGCGAGGCTGTTACTAACTGGATGGTTGCTGACTCATGATAGGATTTGGAGATTTATATTCATCATCTGGGGCGGATTCGAATGCTTTGTCGAATTTCGCCATGTCCATCATCCACGGCCGCGAAGACGAGACATGATTGAAGTATAGTTGGCTACGCACAAGGAAATTCGAGGCATATATAAGGCGTTTGGCGGTTTACATGTTGGAATTTTAGACACATTGAGCAGATGTTGTGAAAAGCATGCACGAAGTTGCAGCTGCAAAATATACCCGATTATGATACGAAGAAATGATATTTGAACTATACCATTTAATATTGCCTTCGCAAGCGAACAAAAGTGTCTTCAGCATCTCATCTCGAAACCCAGACTGAAAGTATCAGATCATAATCACCTTGTGTCTATTTTCAGTCCAGTATATTGATTGTCATAATCTCGTGTATATATTCAGCCTAGAAAATCGAATCATCGTCGCCGTCCTTATATGGCGCCCACACACTCTGTTCCAACTTCATCATCGACTTTGACTCCTCCAACATCTTCTGAAATTCTGCCGCTGCTTTCGTGGCTTCCTTGATGTGTGAATATTTCAACCTAGCCTTTTGCCTATCCTCCTGGAATGCAAGACCCTCTGCAACATTTAGAATGTTTCTAATTTGCCGCCCATTCAACTCGTATTTGCTCAACTCTGTCTGAACTTTTCTGAGTGCTTCTGGCCCAATCATCTCGTCTCTACCATTCAGGGTGAGTAGCCGTGTCCACACTTTTGCCCGAATATCGGATGTCATGCTCTTGAAACCGATGCCGATTTGGATGCGGGACTGGAACGCGGTGTCCATAGTGTTGACTCTGTTCGTAGTGAGGAATAGAATTCCTTGGTAATATTCTAGCTCTCTGAGAAATACTATCAGATGACAGTAGAGATTAACCACGGTGGTCATATTAGATATCTATACATGAGCGCGGGCAGAGACTCAACTGGATACAATGCCGTTTCTCCGCACATCTTCAAATGAGCGAGCTTCGAGCACCACATCGGCTTCATCCAAAAGGAGAACTGCGTCCCAGTCTATGGCTCGTTGGAACTCGGTCTGTAGCCGTTCTTGGAGCTGCGTCTCGTCCCATACCATTTCTCCAATGCTCATTGCGACCAGAGGTTTCCTGACAGCCTCGGCAATCGACTCTGCGGTCAATGTCTTGCCAACCTGCAGCGTAAAACATCAGTGTCGCTCAGCCTATGTATAATAAATCTGAAGGAAGAACGCACGCCTGGTGGCCCATAAAGGAGAATAACAAGGCTTTGCCCCTTGCCGGCAATAAGGTCGCCTTTTTCATTGCGACGGTGTCGATTTGTGTGATGATGCACAAGGCCTTCGAGCATTTTCTTCTTCTTTTCATCTAGTACGAGCTGGCTCAGTGCATCTTGGTTCCATTTGACTGGCTGCAGATTGACAATGCTGACAGTGAGCCTCTTCTTGCTTCTCAAGTCATGGCAGTCTACGACAGGTGGGCAGAGCATTGCCTGCTCGTCCGTCAATGCCGTGGATATGGGGAGATTATCCCACTGATACGGTTCCCTCAGGTCGCTCACAAAGAGCTCGCGCTCGCTCTCGCGCACGACCAAGTGTATATTGTTGTCTTCCAACCCGAAAATGAAGTCGAGATTTGCCGGAGTTTTCCATTTATCGCCAATCACTACTCTGCCGTCCACCTGCTTTTCAGTCAGCTCTCCAACGTTCGGCACAGTAAACCCATCTTGACTGGATGTATAGGCACATGTAGGCTGCTACGACATACCCGAGACTTTTCGCCGCCTTCATTTATGCGCCTGCCCTCTTTGCTGAATGCAAGCCCAGAATGTTGCTGGCAGATGGCCGGCCCAGCGATTAGTTCCCACCATTTTCTACCTCGTTTAGCGAGAAACTGCTCGGTGTTTTCTCCTTTAATATCCTCTTGGTAACGAATTGGATAGACGGGGAGCGTTTTGATAGGTTGCTGGCCAGAAAATTTCGTGCATCGAAAGAAAGTGGTCTTCCTCTCGAGGCAGCCATTGGCTTCATTCCATCTTAGGGACCAGGTTTTGAAATTTGCCTCCTTCTTTTCTTCTCCAACCCATGTATGACTGTTTCGAGGTACTATTGAGGAGTAGGTAGCTTGGATTAAAACAAAAAGCCATAGGTTGCCAATCTCATCCTCTCGGAGAACAAGATCACCTGGGCGAAAGAGTTTCCATATCATTTTATAGCTCACCAGACCATTGCGGAAATTCTCTTTCCGTGCCTCATCCCAAATGGAATCTATGTCTCCTATAACATCAAGGAGTCTTTTGAGGTGGTCGTCTGCTTCTTGATTGCTCAATTGATTGATTTCTCTCTTAATATCGTCCATATGATGAAAGAGGGTAGGGTACGGCGCCTGTTCAATGAAACAACCTTCCGTTGGCTGTAATGGCGGATGTTTGTTAACTTTTTCGATGGCATGGACAAGGTATTTTGACCGTATCTCAACTGCTGCGATCTCTTGCATGATAATGAGCTTAACAACTCTTTCTTTAGAGCGATGGCCACGGGAGGAGTCACGACTACTCTCGCGGCTGTGCTCACGGGAGATGGAAGGAGGATGAAAATAAACACTCTTGTCTCGGGTAGATGTTCTCCTCTGGGAAGGTGGTATATGTTCCATCGCTGCCGGAGAAGGCATTTTCCAGACGATTGTGTCCCCGTGATGGCGATGATATTGCTATGATAGAGACAGTGCCTGGTGTTGTTTTCTGGCTCTGGTTGATTTGTACAGAGGCAGTAGCGGAGCCTCAATCCTACAGCCGACAATAGCTGACTGCGCGGTTTTCCGTCTCCACAGCTGAAGAGCAGGCCAGAAGACACTCGCTTCTTCATTGGGTGCTGATCGTGCCCAAGGCTGCAGTGCTGCCAAGAGACATGTACATGTAGCTTATGATTAAAGGCGAGAGCTGCCTTGCATGCATCGGTTAGGCACATGTAGAACATCTCGATCCTTCCCGTCCTTTTCATTGTTTATAATTTTACGTTCATTTTCTTCTTTAATAAGTCCCTACGATATTTCCTCTACAGCCATTTTTCTAGCCGACTAGTGCGTATCGCCCTTTAAATGCGCGCAACGAGGCAGCGCAGTGCTGTTATTAGCAAAGTGGAAAACAAGCCACCTTGGAGTAAATGGTACCAACCTGGATTAGAGGACGATGCGTGAGTGCAAACATTTGGTTAACAAAGCACCAGCTGCGTTACTCTACTAACCTTTGCCTCAAGTGTCATTTACGCCAGAGCCCTGCAGAAGTGCAAAGACATTAACGAACAGCTAGTTGCGCAGCCTTGGTGGGACAGCGACAGCCAGTCACGACTGGTTGCAACCAAGGTCCTCGAGAGTGCTCCGATACGGGTCAAGGAGCCAAGACAGTACGATGCAGCTTGGGTGGAAAACCTTATCACCAAGGAGAGCGAGAAGATCAAAAACAAGCAGGTGTCTAAGCCGGAGCTGCTACAGAGAATCGACGCTTCGGCGCATGCCCTCATCAAGGTTGCAACGCAAATCAAGCCAATTGTTGACATATTTATTCCGCAGAGTCCTGAATACTCCATTCCTTATGCTTGCCTCTGGATTATCTTCAAAGTATGCAGCTACCACTGTAACCTTTGAAGCGGCGTGTGCTAACAGACGAAAAGGGCATTTCTGACAGAAAAGAGAAAATTGACTCGGTCCAAGGCCTTATTGCCTCCTTGTCGCAGGATATTCCCATCCTGGAAGTTTACAAAGACATGTTTCCAACAAACGAAATGAAACAAGCACTTACCGAGTTTTACATACACACGCTAGACTTACTATGGAGGCTTTCGATGTACTATTCTCACAACTATTTCAGTAAGTCGGCCATGGAATGGTCCGAGTGCTCGTGTTCTAATTCCGACACAGAGCAACTCGCAGACGCTATGCTTGCACGCGCCAAATACAACTTCTCCACATATCTCGAGAATGTCAAGAAAGTAGCAGCAAGGCTCAAAACACTATGCGAAGCGGGGCATATTGCAGAGCAGAAACATATTGCTGAGAGCATTGCGCATCTGAATTCAGGCAGGCAATCCTCCCTTTTAGACTCTACAGCAATCTGACTAACAAACTACCTATACGTATAGAAATTCTTTCGTTGAAACGACAACTAGAAATGACACGCTCCGGTAAGTTCTCAACACCTGTTGAATCCTCACGGCGCAACATGTTTTTTCATCGTTGAATCAGCGCAATCTCGTTATTACTCTTCGCAAATCCTCGATGTATGGCACGATGACGTTGGCGACGTTGAAGATGAATTTCGCAAGTGGCAAGCATTACGCTTCTCCACCGATATGCGTGATCACTGGAGCCAAAACGGAATCCTCTCTTGTCTGGCCGAATGGCGCCACCTTTGCGATGACTCTCAAAACTCAGTCCTTTGGATATCATCCGAGAACAATGGCCGACAGTTCTGGCTGACTGAGTTTTCCATCAACCTCATTGATATATGCCGATCGCAGGGCCAGCTGGTTACATTTGCCATGTGCGACCGTCCGAAAAGCGCGAAGTGGACGCCACAGCACGTCTTGAAGCATCTTGTTTCGCAGATGCTGCTCTCCAGACCAGACTTGGCCAATTCAGCGCCGCATATCTTCAATACCAGGCAATTCCGCAAAGCCTCGACATTTGACAGCGTTTTCAATTTGCTGCATTCGATTGTAGGTCTACTGGCATCTGTGATTGTTGTTGTCGATCGCCTCGACAGGTGTGTCCCCGAATCGGCTGCTCAACATGTCAATATTGCCGATGCGCTTTCCATGCTGGTCAAGCTGCATCGGCGCAATCTGAAAGTCATCGTCACTACCGGCCAAGTAGTGTCGCCCTCGATGCTTCCTGGCCTGCCTATTAGTTTTGCAGTAGTGAGCACAAAGCGACGTCCGCGGCTATTGGAATACAAAAATTCACCCGTACCACGGCGGGGGATTAATGAGATGAGAAGCGTATATCATCCCGATTCACTGGACTGAGGGGAGAGAGTGCATGTAGGATAAGAGGAATATAAAGCTGGTAAACGAGCGCGGTCATATAACATGAAGAGCATTCGTTTTCAAAACATCTTTGATTCATGTTACAGCTGTAAATCAGCCGTTTAGATACAACAAATATGCGGTGAGACACACATAGATGCATATAGTTGTTGAAATCTAGTATAGAACAACAAATTCTCGCCAAACACTTGGTAGCCCCTCAGGCGAATAGCACGGTTTAACACATGGCGCAGTAGAGAATTGCTGTCGGGTCGAGGACTCGATACAGCTATGCTTCCAAGCGCTGCAGCATGCTCTTTTTAGACTCCCAGTCTCAAAATCCTCAATCCTCTAAACACAAGGCAAACGGCTATGCCCGTGGTGAAAGGCTTGGAGATTTGGTTCAAAAGAGTCTTGAGGGACTTTATTCGCCTGTGCGACTCTATGCGGCTGATCATTCGAAGAACGGCACGGCGGCAGGGCCCCAGCCTTGTTTATTTTCCCCTCCTTCAGCCTCCCTTTCTTTGCTCTCCCTCTTTTATTTTTCTTTTCGTTCTCGTGTCTCCTTTTTACTGCCATTTCCGTCCTCCCTCCACTATTTTCTATACATCACATACGTCGATAAGAATCATTATCAATTAAAGACATACTCATCTTAATCTCTTCCATCCATGGCAGAAGCACTTGGAGTAGCATCTGGGCTGTTGGGATCGTGTCATCTGGTACATATTGTAAGGTACATACATGTAGGTGGGATGCGATACGCCCATTGACGCTTCTAAGCGCCGGATGCGATGCGCCCACGCTACTAAGCGCTGGAATGCATGCTCTCTTCAGTCAGCCGGCAAGCAATTCTGCCCATCAATGGTAAAGTGTTTGAACTTCAGGCTAGAATATTACTCTGTCGATGCCATTCGCCGTGTGTGAATCTGTTTAGTCCATCATCTAAGGAACGACATCCAATGAATCACGATGGCAGGACACCAGCCTTGTTTGCCCCCCCCCCCTTCTCTTTTCGATCCTCCTTGTTTCATTTTCCGTCTTACTTTCGTTTTTCTTTTTTTACCTCTCTCCCCGCCCCTTCTCTTTTTTTCTATTCCTTCTCTTTTTGATGTATTACATGTTATAAACGTTCATAAAAATTATCATCAAATTGAGACATAAATCGCCACAAAGTTTCTTCCCTCCCCCATGGCAGAGGCACTTGGAGTTGCATCTGGGGTTGTTGGGATCGTGTCGTTTGGAATTGAACTTTGTCAAGGCTTGCTCGAGTATTATAATTCCTGGAAAGATGCCGAGAGTGAAGTCACCACAACATACAACTCCCTACAGGATCTCACCAAAATTTTACTACTTGTCAAGTCAACTCTCAATGATCAAGACCTGAAATCAGAAATTTTTGTCAAAGTCCATGACAGTATTGCTCTCTGTGAAGGTGGGATTGCCGACTTGAGCAAGAAGCTTCAAAAGATCCAAATCTTCTCGTTGCGCGACACAGTAGGCGAGCGATTACTCTCGCAAGCTCGGAGAGCTCTATACCCATTCAAGAAAAGCACATTGATCAAACTGCAGGAGATTGTGGAGGATTTACAGGATAGGCTGCATTTTACTCTGACAATACTTGATATGTAAGTACTATCTCATCTTTAAAAATTCGGTTTCCTTGCGTTCTGATGGTCATGCAGCAACATCTCCCTGCAAAACTTTGACATCGTGTCGGGTCAGCTTAGACTTTTATCTGTTAAGGCGGATAAAACGCAAATAGGAATTGGGAACATTCAGAGCTCACTGGCCGACATTGATCGCAAAATTGATACGATAGAGTCTATCTATGGCAGTACGTTCGATCATCCAATATTGCAGTCGTAAAGTACGTTTACTTACGTGCGAAAACAGGTGAATATCTTCGAGACTTTTATAAATGGCTTTCTCCAGTGTTTGATGTATTTGAGAAAAGGCAACACGATATCTTCGAATTGCCTGGCCGACAGGACGGGACGTGGGAGTGGTTACAGAGCACTCAAGAATTCAAAGATTGGCTCTCCGGAACCAACAGGATCCTATGGTGCCCAGGGCAGCGTATGTAATGATATTCTCCGATGCGTTCTTTATGCCATACTAATAGACATCTAGCTGGCGTTGGGAAGACTGTTTTATCGTAGGTGGCCAAGATGTACACGGAATTCGCTTCTTTTGGCTAACGCATACAGCAGATCGTCTATTATAAACCACTTAAAGACGCAGGTTAAGCAATCTAATATTGGCATAGCCTATCTATACTGTGATTACAGCAATGCGCTACTCACAGTTCCCAATTTGATTGGGAGCCTTTTGCAGCAACTGTTTCAGCAATGTCCAAAGGTTCCTGGCGGCCTTCTCGAGCTTTATAAAATCCGTAAGAGCAATAACACGGAAACTGTTCGTTTAACTCTTAGAGAATGCTCCACGTTCCTCCGAGATGTTATTGAGACATTCTCAGACGTCTTTGTTGTTGTCGACGGGCTCGACGAGTGTCCTCACCGCGAGATTGACGATATTCGGGACCAACTTTTAGACCAGCTCAAAGCGCTACCGCTCAAGACCCAGTTGTTGTTCACTTCTCGAGACTTGCCAGCTATTGCACTCAAATTTGCGACGGACCGGCGCTTGGAGATTCACGCAAGCAGACATGCGATCGAGGGCTATCTCCAAGCGCGCATCAATAACTCAAAGAACTTGCGTCGCCACATTCAAAGAAAGCCCGACTTGCGCCAGGCTATTATAGACACAGTTGCGCAGAAAGCGGATGGAATGTAAGACGCCTTGAACTGACTACTTCATCTCCGTAATACGGTTGCGCTAACGAACGCTTTAGGTTTCTGCTTGTTCGGATTTATATCGATCTGTTGGCCACGAAAAACGTTCTTGGAATGGTTGAGAGCACTCTCAGAAATCTTCCAGAAGGGTTGAAAGAACTTGACACAGCTTATGATGATGTTATTACGAGAATACAAAATCAGGACGACGACGATGTCGCAATGGCCAAACAAATCTTAACCTGGCTTTACTATGCTGCTCGGCCTCTGACTCTTCAAGAACTTCGCCACAGCTTGGCAGTCAACCTGGTCGCCGAGGCTGATCCGGATGCCACAGAGCTGGACGAAGCCTTTTTACCGGATGAAGAAGTCATAGCCTCCGTATGTGCTGGCATAGTGACTTGCCATGCTGAGAGCAACACAGTATCATTCATCCACTACACCACAAAGGAGTATTTCAAACGGAGAATAGATCGACAACAAGTTGAGCGATTCTTACATCTAGAAGTAAGCATCGCAGAGACTTGTCTCAGATACCTGTCTTTCGAACGCGAGGAGCTTGAACAATTTGTGATAGCGAAGAGAGAAAAACCCTATTGGTATACATTCCAGAAGTATACCCAAAATGAATGCCCTGAATGGGACATTGATACTTGTTATCCACTCTTCCGCTACGCAGCTCGATACTGGGGAGACCATGCCAATAGTCTGCTCAGACAAGTCACCAAAGGTCTAATCATGAAATTTGTGATGCAGCCGACTGCTTTAGCGGCTTCATTCCATGCATTGATTGAGCAGGAGGACCTCTACCTGTATTATTTTCCAATCTTCTTTTCAGGCCTTTACCTGGCATCATTTTTTGGATTAAACGAAATTGTGATGATGTTATTAGAAGCTGGCCAACAAATCAACACGAAGAACAAACAGAACTGGACGGCGCTTCACATGGCCGCAGCAAGAGGACATGCAGTAACGGTGCAGCTATTGGTCGACAGAGGCGCAGACGTCAATGCGGCGACCTACAAGCCTAATTACGTGGCTTCTGGATCGACAGCCCTGCATTGGGCGGCGGGAAACGGCCATGAGAAAGTGCTCGAAGTTCTACTAGAGAACGGCGCAGAAATAGATTTGCAGACACCCGGCCACGAAACAGCACTCCACTGGGCAGCTCAACATGGTCACGTAGGAGCCATCACGCTATTGTTGAACAAAGGTGCGAATTTGGAAGTGCATGCCGGACACTGGCTCACACCGCTGGAATCTGCAGCTAGTCGCGGAGAAGAGGCCGCTGTGAGAGTCTTGATAGACAGAGGCGCTGATCTCTCAAACACCACAGATAGCGGACGTCCTCTGCTGCATCTCGCCGCCCAGGGTGGATGTGTAGAAGTAGTACAACTGCTTCTAAAGACGGGCTGTGATGTAAACGGCGGATCAGCTCTCTGGGCCGCAGCAGGATCTCAAAGTCAAAGACGAGATGAACTTGTTAGACTGTTGCTGAAGGAGGGGGCAGATGTTTCTGAGAGGCTTGGAGACAGCGCCTGGCTTGATGAGTATAAGGGAGAGACAGCGCTCCATCACAGCGCAAGGGAGGGGTTCGATACAACGGTGCGCCTACTTCTGGAAAACGGGGCTGAAGTTGATGCTCGGAACGAGGACGGGGAGACGTCGCTGCATCTCGCTGCTGTGGAGGGATGCGAAATCGTTGTGCAAGTGCTCCTCGAACAGGGAGCAGATGTCGCTGCAAAAAATCAAACCGGAGAAACTGCGTTGCAATTGGCAGCTCGGATTGGCCATGAAGGCATAGTGCGGCATCTTTTGGATCATCTCGGTGAAGAGATAAATTCTCAAGCCTTGCTGGCTACTGCAAAGATTTTCAAGGTAGCCACTGCAGGCGATGAGAAGGCAATGCAGGTGCTCATTGAGGACGGGGCTGATATTACAATAAAAGGCCAAGATGAGGAGACAGCATTACATGTGGCAGCCAAGGAAGGTCATGTAGCGCTATCCAGGTTTCTCCTCGAGAACGGCGCCAACATCAATGCACTAAACAGATATGAGATGACTCCTATTTCTAAGGCTCTGGATTAGGGGCACACCGGAGTAGTTCGTCTCCTCATAGAGCATAAAGCAGACCTTGAACAAGGGTGTTCACCTCTGTTCGAGGCTGTTAACCCATGGAATGGTCGCGCCAAAGTGGAGATTGTTCAGCTGCTGTTGGACAACGGAGCTGATGTAATATCTGCTCGCAACTGGTGGAACGATACTACTATATTACATGCAGCGGTGCGCCAAGGTTCAAAGCCAATAGTTGAATTGCTGCTTGAATATGGGGCTGAAGTTGGGATGCGGGACCGTGATGGAGACACTGCATTAGATGTAAGTATCAAGGTAGGGCGGGAAGATATATCGAACATATTAATTGAAAAACGATGCCTCTAAAAAGAAGTATCAGCTGTTCGAGTGTTAGATACATGTTGTTTCGCCTAAGTCAGGCCCAAACCTATATATAATGGATCTGCTTTTACTATGCCCGGCGTTTCTAGGTATTAGTCATTAAGTATTGGATACAGTATTCCTAAGACTTGAGCCCATAAAAGTCATCCCGTTGAGATAATTAAAAAGAGAGGTTTCAAGAAGCTAGAAAGTTTTAAAGATGGATGAGTAGCACTCTGTTGAATGACGAGCGGAGAGTGCGCCGACTCGCCAAATGCTAAATTGAGTCTTGTGACGGGTCTCGGAAAGATGATGGTAGAAAATAACAAGATGAGGAAAGACTAAAACGAAACACGCGTACATTCAAGGGAACTCATACTATACAGAAAGATTCAAGATACCCCATACAAGCTTGTAAATAAGAAAAAAAGAACAAACTTCGAGTTAACCTATGCCTCTCTTCTGGCCTTTACGCCGCTGCCGTTCAGAAAGTAATACACCGGTAGAAACAGGAGAGATCCAATTACAGAGAGGCCGGTACTATACAGCTGCCACAAAAACACCAACAAAGGCCCAAAATATGGCAGCACAAATGCGACAAAATCGTTTGTCTGATACAGGTCCTCTTGGCTGGTGATGTAGTATCTCAGTCTCTCTTGTCCTGGGCCGGAGAGTGCAGATGACGATCGGCCGTCTGTGCCGTTTTTAGCGGGTAGCTGTCCAGGCTCTGATGACGATCTCTGCGCGAGGTGCAAGACGGAGACGAGCTTGACGGAGGATTTATGGAAGGGAATAAACCATATTGAAAAGGTCTGGCGAATAGAGACGAATAAGCTGCTGTTGCGCTGATCATATACTACGGCTCCAGGTTAGCAAAAGGGCGCTCGCTTTAGTACACCGCCACTCATTCTGAGCGGCTATAGATGAAGACAACGTACCAGCAGAATCTACTGTGAGATCAATGCGCGGACTCAATGTGCGATACCAGCGGTATATACCGAGGATGAGCCAGCGCGAGTCGAGATCTCTTGCCAATGGGATAGAGCCTTGTGAGAAGGAGGGCACGCGACAAAAAGGGTGGATAAAGGACGCATTGGGGAGAAAGTAGGTGTTGAGCGCGTCTTCTTGCTGCTGCGGCGTTCCTTTGGTGAGAGTGTCAATGACTGAGGCGATTTCTTGAGCTAGAATTGATTCATTGTTAGTGATCACGATGAAGCTGTCAGAGAATAGAGATAGGCTCATCTAATTACCTGGATTCTCCATGGTGATGTGATGTAGAGAGTGTACGCGATAAAGAATGAAGTTGACAGAATGGAGTTGCAAAAAAACGAAATGTGCAAAGCTTGACCGTTATGAGTGTCATTTCTGGCGTTTGTTTCAGGGATTCGTCCCTGCTTAGCTGGCAATCACATGCCAAACCAGGGGGAGCATCTCGCGATGAAAACTGTTGCCAGATTCGGCATCGATGAGTTCATCATGTGGAGCCGAGCCGGCTTGAAACGGGTGACGTCAGAATCACGATGGTAGGATTGCAAGAGGATATTTGGAAGCAAAGAAAGTTTATAAAAGTTTGGTATCCCGTCTCTCAGTCTCGCTCTTTTCATGATTATTCTCTCAAAAACTGCAATTGTATGAGTCACAGCCATGCCTCGAGACCAGGGCGTTGCGAATCCGCTCTTCCACCCACTACTGTTCCTCTACCAGTTGATACAATGGGTCATCAACACCGTCATTGCCCCTAATGCTCCCCCTAAAAACACTGAATTGAAGCGCCCGAGAATTGCCATTATTGGAGCTGGACTCACTGGCGTGTCGGCGGCGGCTCACTGTGTTGGCCATGGCTTTGACGTGACGATTTTCGAGGCGGGCCCGAGGGAGCGTCTTGGTGGCATCTGGAGCGTAAGCTGACTTTCACGTGAAAACAACGAGAATGAAATGAGTTGCTGACAAACATCACAGAGAGTAAACGAAACATCTGGTCTCCAAATTCACTCCATCATGTACCGCTTCCACCCCTCTGTCAAATGGGAACGCGGGTATCCTACCCGCAAGGAAATTGTAGAGCAAGTCGAGCAAGTCTGGAAACGCTACGGCCTGGACGAAAAGACCAAGTTTGGCGTCAAGGTCAAAGGCCTCAAGCAGGACGAACAGACGCGATGGATTATCAACAATGATCCTTCTCTTGGTCGATTTGACGGCTTGATTGCGGCAATTGGAACTTGCGGTGATCCCAAAATGCCGCACATTCCTGGTATGGAGAAATTCAAGGGTGAAATCTACCACTCTAGCGAACTTACTGGGTACGTCCATTCATCAACTGTCTTCAATTTCAGCGAGCTAACAGTTACGGCCACAGAAAGGATGCCAAGGATAAGCATGTCGCCATCATTGGAGGAGGAGCATCCGCCGTGGAAGCACTCGAATTTGCATTCAAAGCCGGCGCAGCCAAGGTCTCAATCCTTTCTCGATCTGACAAATGGATCATTCCGCGAAACATGTTTGTAGACACGCTGCTCAGTCTCAACGTCTTTGGCCAAGAAACTTTCCTCTCCTTCATCCCCGAGTTTTTCCTTCGCAAGTTCTTTTACCGAGATCTGGAGGATCTGGCGCCAACTCATGACAAGGGCATCTTCATGGGCACGCCAATGGTCAACTCTGATGTTATGGATAAGCTGCGCCAGGGCAAAGCAGAATGGGTCCGCGGAGACATTGAAGGATTCAAGAAGAGCGGCGTCCAGGTCAATCGTCGTTCCCGCGGTGTTCCAAAAGACGGCCCTGGCCACGAGGAGCTCATCAAGGCAGACATGGTCATCATGGCAACTGGCTTTAAGCGACCCTCGCTGGCAATCCTTCCTGATGACTGTTTCCAAGATCCATATGGACCGCCAAACTGGTACCTGCAGACCTTCCCTCCAGCACACCCATCCATCTCCGCCATCAACTCCACCTTTGTGGAGGCAATTGGTACTGTCGGTAACTGGCACATTGGCATCTACACTCGCATCCTCCTCATGTTCCTGCTTGACCCCCTGACACGACCGAGCCGATGGTGGATGGAGCGCTGGATCGACATGACACGCACGCTGAAGAAATTCAGCCCAACGGGCGCTTTTGACTTCTTCACATATCTCGAGCTGATCTGGTGGTTCGTCTTTTGCGTGACATTCAACCCGTTCCGATGGAAGTGGGCGATTTTCGTGTTTTTCGGCATCGGCATTGGGATTCCGAATGCAATTGTCGAGCATGAAAAGAAGTTTATGAATGGGGAGTCTTACAAGAATAGAGATGAGGGGACAAGCTTTTAGAGAAAAGCATTCATTTCTAGGATATGTCATGGAATATAGGTAGTCTGCAAGGTAGCTTTGCGGTACATAGAGGAATATGTAGATTCATGCATCTATCTACAATGAATACAGGTATTGACAAAGATCAAACACTCAGTTCATCACCAACCAAGCATTTTATTCTTCTATCGTAGATTGATTGCTGTGCTTTGGAATTGTGTTTTGGAATCAGCCAAAGAGTTTTTCAAGGATGTTTTCGAATCCATTTCTAGACATTGCATGTTAGCCAAGATTACTACACAAGTATTAGAAGAGCATACCTTGGCGGAGTCGGGATATAATTCCTCTGATACTCCTCAATCTCATCCAAGTCCTTGAAAAGGTCAACTTCTTCTGGCTTGCGGATCTCCGTTTTGCGAATGAATTTGTAACCGAAATACAGAACCGGGTATACAAAGATCATTGCATAGCTATTGTTTCAAATAGGTCAGTTCATCCATTAAGAAGGCATATTTGTCATGACGAAAATACTCACGAGAACAAGAAATCTGCAATTTTCCACATGCCAGGCAATGGCAAGAAAACCGTATACCCGCCCACAAAGGCCATGACAAATGTCCACACCAGTGCATAATAAGCGGCATACGGCATAAACCACGCCTTGTACGGTAGCGTGTCACGGCTGATACCTTGTGCTTTGAGCGCTCTGTGGAAGCACAAATATGACACGCACACGGCGCAGAAGTTGATGAGCTGAGATGCCGTAACTAGAGAAACGAACCAGTTCAAAACAACAGCCGTGTTGGACGAGAGCTGGAGGAATGAAAGCAGTGCAAAAAGCAAAGTACAGCCAACACAATAGACGGGAATGCCGGCCTTGGTGCATGTAGTCAGAAACCTCGGGGCTTTACCCTCCAGAGCCAGTCCGTACAAGGAACGAGACGCGCAGTAGACGTAAGAATTGCCAGCGGAGAAAGCAGCAGTCAAGACAGCGGCGTTGACAATGTGTGGCAGAACTTTGATTCCCAGGCGGTTCATGGCAACGACATATGGGGAAGCAGCAGCACCAGGCTTGGAGTTTGCAAAGGCCGCAATAAGCTCACTGTCGTTGTACGGAACGAGAATTCCCACGCAGAGAGATCCCAAGATGAAGAAAGCAGTCAATCGGTAAAACACAGCGTTGTAAGCTCGGGGCATCACCACGCGAGGATTCTCAGCTTCGCCCGCAGCCATGGAGACGTAATCCGGTCCGGCAATGGTAAAAGCTGCCAAAATTAGACACTGTAAGAAACCCAACCAGCGTCCCAAGGCGCCCTCATAGTACAGCTCTGCAAAGGCTCCCGGCTCGTTCCAATATCGGAATCCAAAGCGGTCCTTCTGAGGATTTCCCCCCAGCATCGCTATGAAGGTGAAAAAGATGAGTCCCACAATGAGAAGAACCTTGCCAATCGCAGCCCAGAATTCCGTCTCGCCATACCATTTCACCGCTATCACGTTGATGAGAGCGTAGAGAACGATGACAATGGTAATGACCGCCGCCGTAGGAATCGCATCGGTCCAGAAACGAAGAATAAAATTACAAGCCGTCACTTCAAAGGGCACCAGCGCCGCCTCAAAGATGAAGAAGTTCCATCCCGTCGCAAAACCAAAAGCCTCGTCGACGTAGCGACCGGCGAAGCGGATAAAGGGCGAGGAGACGGGCAGGTAGGTGACCATTTCGGCCATGCAGAGCGTTACGGCGAGGACGATAGTGCACCAGAAGCTGAAGGCGATGAAGAGGCTGCCAGGACCGCCGTTGAGGAGACCTTGGCCGATTTGAACCTACACGATGAGGAAATACAGAGTATCGTATAAGCCACCGATACGATTCTAGAGCAAGTGAGTGAATGAAGGGAGAATGTACATGCGTACTAAACTATACGTACATAGAGGACGGTGCCAATGGTGCCTCCAATACCAATCAGCTGGATATGCCTAGCCTTGAGATTTCGGTGAGTCGTGTTTCGGTTCTTGTCACCGTTGGAGGACAGAGAAACCCGGATGTCGTCGAGAGATCCGGCACGGTTGGTGACGGCGCCTCCGCCCTTGATTTCACCATTGCCAGCTTTTTCCTTCCCCTGGCTGGAGTACGCCGGCAGGATACCGGAAGAAGTCATCTTTGTATGTTTGTCGGCTATAGACAATTTCACAGCTTTGGCGATGAATTGCCCACAGAAATCAACGTTGGCGGCGGGATTTATCGTCTATTCTTACGCCAATTGCGAGACGGTAATGGCTTCCAGACCTTGGGTACGGCCTTGGAAAGGAGGAGCGCAAACAATCTATGCGCACCAGGAGAAAGAGCAGAAAGTAACTTTCCGACTCCTTCAGCGTATAGACTTGAGAAGAAGAGAGAAGAACTCGACTACGAATTCCATGCGTCGCGACTTTCCCTCTGGTTGTGTTTCAACTAAAATAAAATCGGGTTTTCGAGATAAGAGCCGCAGCAGTTGTTGGTCGAACACTAAGACAAGGGCGAGACAAGAATTAACTGATGTCGTACAATTGCCACCGAAAGATGAGAGAGGAGGACAATCTACGGAAACATGAAGCCGCCCGCATGTATTTATTCATTTTTACTTGGGCCGAGGGAGGGGAGCCGAGCCGACTATCTTAGTTTGCGGGTCTGTCTCGTCTCTCGTTTTCTCTGCTATTATAGAGTGGGCCAGATCGAGCTCATCGTCTGAGCTTCTGAAAGCGGTCTGGTCGTTGAAACCAAAGCAAGGAAGTACGGGCAGATGGAGACCTTGTAAAGGTCGTTTGTTATCTTTTTGCCCGTACTTTTGGAATTTGGGGGGCTTCGTGTGGCTTTGATGCTCGCAGCATATTTGACTTTTCCCCCACACGATGCCAAATCCGGGGATAGAAGCTAATATTATATATTGTCTATGACATCTCATTTCGAGAGCCAATTGAAATCATCCTCAAATATCAAACTGCTGTTGAAAATCATCTAACTCGTCTCTTCGAACACACGAGCACAATCCCGAGGCCAAGCAAAATTTGATTGAAATTTTCAAAACAGCAAAACCGTTAGGTCCAGGCCTGCAGGGCTAATGCACCTCTAGCTCTAGCCTCTCGCTGATCTCGAGCACCAAAGTTGGGGGAAGCGGGCGTGGGGTTGAAAGACTTTTGACAGGCCATGGCCGTCCATCCATTCAATGTGACGAAAAAGAGGTTGCATAAGAGATACATCATGCGGCCGGTGATGTGAGATCGATCTAGTCTAGAATATACAAATCAACTAGCTGAAGCCACCACGCTGCCATGCTCTATACCTAGGTAAGGTAGTAAACCAGTGGCGCTACTCTAATTCTCTACTTTATCCCGGCACTCGTAAAAGCCCCCAGACAGTTACTTGTACTAAAAATTGCTACATGCGCACTAACTGACCGCCCAGCCTCTTCTGCCCTTGGCCAAACATCTGAAGAGGGCCAAACAGACAGCCTCGGTTGAAAGGATCCGGAAATGACATCACCTCGGCCCCGTATGCCGCAGTGGGATCTAGCCCAGCCTGTCTACTAATACTAGTAGGTATACAAGTATGGACAGGCCACGATTCGCTCCGCCGCCACAAGTAAGCAGAAAAGAAAGGGCCAGCACGTATAACATATGCCTTCGCTAGCGGAACGTAAAATGGCACAGAATCTCTGATCAAGAATAAGAAAAAGTATTATTCTCTGAGTGCCCATACAAAGTAGGTTAGAAAAAGAAAGGCTTCAAATTTAAAGTATGCTAGTAACGTACATTACATAAATTTTGATAATGTAGAGTCCACTCATATCCTCTCCTTCAAATGAAACATAAGAAATATACATAGAAAAACATACTCAAATATTTTCGTTTGGTACCACTTATAACAAAGGAAAAATGCCACCTTAATGGTTGTTCATGCCATGGAAATTACATATATATAAGAAAAAACACATCCAAAATCATCGCGTTGGCGATGCACTCTCTCAACATTTTTGGCCAGACAAAAAAGGAAACAATAGTGGGTATCGTTCAAGCACTGCGCCGCCCATTTCTGCGTCATCTTACAACTCGTCTTTGCCATGCTTCGCTGCGTCGGTTGCCTTGCTCGCAATGCTTCCCACCTTGTCGCCCACTGATCCGGCAGCCGCGCTGGCTTCGCTCGCCAGGCTCGCCACGTTCTCCGTCGCCGTAGCATACGCGGCTTGAAGTCTCGATAGTACACTCTCCGAAAAGGAAGGCTCTCGGCCAACAATCAGCTCCGAAACGAGCTCGCTCACAGCCTCATATTCATTTACAGCACCAGCCGATGCGGTTTGAGTAGCTTTGGCAACGGCGGATGTAGCACTTGCTACAACTGCCTGGGCGTCTGATACCAGGCTGTCGTACCATCCAATCGCCGCTGGCGTTGGTTGACCGTACACGTCGATACTCAGCTGGCTAACGATAGTTCCCCACGTCTCTCCAATGGCTAGTCCAGCGTTGTAGATCTGCTCAGCCGCAGCATCGTGTATAGAGTTTATGGTTTCGTCCACAGCATCAATCGCAGAAGCAACACTCTCGGTGGCCTTGGAGTAGGCTGATTCAGCAGCGTCGCCCGCAGCAGAGGCCATTGAAAGTGCAGAGTCAGTCAACGCCATGGGCGTCGGAGTTGGCGTGGCCGTTACCGAAGACCATGCAGACGAAGCGGCAGATATGAAGTTGTTATAGCGGTCATGTGCAACGCCAATCCCAGCGTAATAGTTGTATTTGGCCTGTTCATAGTATTTCTCGAGTGCACCGGTTGGAGTGGGCGTTGCCGTCGCCAATCCCATGGCGATAAGAGCACTTTGGTACTGAAGCTCGGCCCAGAGCTTTCCCTCGTTCAGGCGTTCCGCAGCAACCGCCTCTACTTTGCTCCAGTCTACCAACGTTGGGGCAGCCTGGGTGGTCGTTGGCGTGCCATACACTCCGGCAGACGCGGCATCGACGACCTCTTGCAGCCGGGAACTAGCCGCGGCGATTGCTTGGTCATAAGCACCGGAAACCGAGGAAAGAAGCTGGTTTTGAACGGCTGGGGTTGGCGTGCCGTGGATTTGCGCGGAAACGATTGATACTGCACTCGAATACTGGCCAGATGCTAAAGAGACTGCGCTGGAATAGGCTGCCTCAGCGGCTTTAGTCGCGCTAGATAGGAAATCGTCGTCATCGGTTTCATCGTCCTCGTCCAGAATCGGCTGTCCTCGTCCAGAAACTACCTGAGCGGCCGCGCCGAAGAAAGTCGCCTTTACGGAAGCGGTGTCATCAACCAAGGGTGCTTGTTCATGTGGCCAAAAAGTTTCGTCCTCTTCCAGGATTTCAGGCTCAGTTTCCAGCACCTCTTCGGTAGTAGTTTCGGTAGCAGGTTCGGCGACAGGTTCAGTTTCAGCCTCATCATCGTTGGGGGTCGAACGAGGGTCCTCCGGAACAATTGGGCTCGATTCTTCATCTTCAACTTGGTTGACAAGAACCTGGGGCGTTTCGATTTCTACTTCAGGCTCCTTGATACTTTCAGTAACAAATTGTGGGAGTTCCTCGGTCTGGCTTGTAAATAGCTCCTGGTCTTCAGCGGGAACGTCAGTGGGCTCCACAATATGTTCAAAGACATTCGAGGTCGCTTCCTCGGTAGCATCAGAAGCTTCGCTTGGATCTACAGGCGATTGCTCGTCCAAAGACACATTGTTGACGGCGGGTTCGAAGTCTAGAGGCGTGGCCTCCTCGGTTACCTTCTCCTGAATGGTATCCACGACATCCTGGACGGTATCAAAAACTGGCAAAGAAGAATTGCCATCAGCGGCTTCATCAGCGGCTTCATCAGCGGCAACATCAGCGGCAACATCAACATCTGGCTTCTCAGACTCTTCTGACTCTTCGGCTACTGGAGGGTTCTGTACTGCTTCAGCAGCTTGTTCCATTGCCTCAGAATCAAAATCGTCTGTAGCATCATTTGCGATGAGCTTCCACTGAGCCACTTGCTTGAGGCGAGCCAGCTCCTTGGCAGCCGCAGAGGCAATGGTCATTCCATCCTCCTCAACAAATGCCGCGGCATCCTGTGCGTCGAGCAGGGTAGGATGGGTGATAATGAGCTGTTTCAGGTCTTCAGTCCAATCTGCGAGCACCTGTTTGAGCTCATGGTACTTTGCCCAGTCCTTGTAGCTAACTCCATCGGTCCAAGCCCACTTCATGCCAAGTTGCTGCAGTGCAAGATTTCTAGTCTCGTCGAGAATCTGGAAATGGACATCAGCGGCTCTGAGGACCCTGGCTTGCAGATCAACATCGTATTCTTCTCGCCACGTCCGAATCTCTTGAGCAGCCTGCTTGATAGCGATGCCGGCAGATCTGATAGCGCCAATGACTCGCTCTTCAGCGTCTTCCAGCGATCCACCAGCACTCTCCGCGACAATGCTGGAAATCTTTGCTTTCAGCCCATCAGTCTCCGAATCAACTGTAGTTTGGAGCTGCTCAACAAGTGGTTTTCCATCAGAGGGAATCACTTCGGTAATCATACGGTTCGCAAGCTCGTCGATGCGGTCTTCCATATCGACAGCGCCCTCGTCAGCTTGGGTAGCGAATTTATTCTGCCAAAGCTCAAGGTCTTCCGTCACCATCTCACGAGCCTTTCGCCTTGTCTCTGATTCATTTTCTCCAGGAGGAGGGGGCTGAACAGGCATCCAGTATGTTGATTCTGTCGACTGCTGCTGCCCGGCGCTAGAGGTCGAGCTAAGCGTGGCACGTTCGGAGACCGTTGTGCTCTGCAATTGTGTCGCTTGGGGAGCCGGTTTGCTGAAAGAGGATCGTGGAGGCTCGGTAGTCGTCCGTCGTCGTCTATTTGCTGTTAGTCAAGGGGAGGCGATAAGAGAAGACTCAAGACAGCACTTACGTAGAAGAGTTAACTTCGGGGAGCACCTTGGTCCTAGCCCGGTTCTTGTATCGTTCCAAGCGCTCGCCAATGCGAACAAGCTGAGGCTCCACGTTCTCGACATAAACCATTCGAACCTGTGGCCACACTGCCTTGTTGAGAAAGGCATTCGTTCTCGCCCAAGTCCAGTGGGCAGCAGGCAGTGCCGTCTCCGTAGTGAAGCTGGAAGCAGCATTGTAGCCTTGCTGTGCATAGGGCTGTAGAAGCTCGTATGTCGGCAGTACATATTCATGGTACACCTGGAGAGAACCATCGCGTCCGACTTCGTAGTAGGGGCCGAGGACTTCGCCTGCGCGCTCCAGGTGCGGAGCAATGGACTCCTCGTACTGCTGCTGGGACAAGGCGCGCAGCTGCTCTACCTGAGGTCGACCGTGCTTCTCCCATTGGGCCCAGACTTTCTCCTGGCCTTTTTCAACCCAGGGCGCACCATATTGTACGGCATAAACACGCACCGGCGTCAGGATGTGGGAATCGACGGAGTTGTAGTAAGGTCTCGCAAAGTCCACGTATGGCTCAACATATTGCTCGTAGCAGGGCAGCGTATACGGGGCGATGGCTTCTTTGGCTTGGAAATACGGCTTGCAAATGTAAGGAGAATCTTCGTTGCACTCCTCCAGCGTAGAAGGGCAGCGGAACAGAAGCGTGAGGATGACGGCCCAGGTCGCAAGTCTAAGCATGTAAACATCAGCACACGATATCTCCCCGCGCATCGGTACGCAATTGGAGAAGGAAAAGATGCGCGCATCTCTCCGCCGGACAAAGCCAGCAATTGGCCCGCGAAAAGACAATAAACACGATGCAATCACTCACCTAGCAATCGAGCCAAACAACCAGCCCAGCAATCCGCGTGGGCGTGGTGCAGGACGTTTGTGGCCCACCGTCTGGCCATTCATCTTGCCATTCACATGCGAGGAGCCGTTGCCCGGCTTCAGGCCGCTGGACTCGGCCATGAGAGAAAAATATGCTCGGTCAGCGTCGTACTAGGAGTGGCGGTCAGTTCGAGGTGGATGCTGGAAAGAAGAAGGGCATAAAGGGTGAAGGAAATGGTGAATAGAGCGAATCATGAACGAAGATGAGCACAAAAGAAGAAAAGAGGGTAGAAGAAAAAATAGAGGCCAGCTCAAGACGTAATAGAGGCTAGAAGGCGCTGAAAGCCAGTGGAGGGCACCTACCATATTTCTAGTGGATTGGTGCTGCAGCCTAGCAGGTAGCATTTCCTTGGATGGGGGAGCCCCGTAAAGTAGCGGCAAGGTATTGTCGCCCCAAATATCCCTGTACAAGTACCGCATCGTGACCGCGGGGCAGCATCGACCTCTGCTGACCCACTAGAGCTGGCGCTGAAGCTGCCCACTGAAGGGGATTTTTTGCACTTGACAGGATTGGATTCAATATTAGACGGGGAACACGATCACGGCGTTTCAGCGCAAGCCTGGACTCGAAACAGCTTCTGAGCCTTGCTTAGCCTAGGGATTGATTGCGAGATTAGCCCCGTGTCAGGAGCTTGGGAAACACGGCTCTACGGTGCCGAGATGCTGCCAGCGCTGCTTTATATAACCCGACGCGCACGGCATCCATTACACCAGAGACGAGAGCAAACACGCAAACAAGGAGCGATCGTCTCTCTCTGTTTGTGCTTTTGAACGTGCGCCTACGTGCTATCGGGCATTGGTTACCTCACTAACACACGTCATGGCGCTTCTTGGTTGTTGACGGCGCTGGCCAGAAGCTTGTTTTTGGCTGCCGTCGACATCAGCGATGCAGCAGCCGCACATGGGCTGGAGACATGAAACAGCACGATTATTGGACCCCCGAGTGGCCACTAGACTGTAGATCCGCCATCTTAGACGAAGGTGGGTGTAGTTGGCTGCAGTCAACAGGATACGGGTGGTCATGCTCATATAGATTAAGCATGATGAATCGATGAGCAGAAGATGGCCTTGGACAACGCCGTTCAGGTACTAACGCACCTCTACAGCAAGTCTTCAGCCAAGGCACCGATTCTAACTGGCGATACCAGATGTGACTACTGCAAGTATCCTGCGTGGACAAGTGGGCATTAACGCAGTAGAGATTCGTGGCCTCTAGTGAGATGCGAGCTGAGAGCAAAATCGCCACATTGGAGCTGATATCGTCATGACATCAACGCCGCGGCGAGGGCCGTGCAACCTATGCATAAAACTCTGCTTTTTATAGCAACCGGATAATCAGCGTCATTACCAAGTTTGATTTATTCTTCTTCAATCTCAGGTCTTCGCAGCTGCATAGGAATGGAATGATGCATGGTAAGGGGGGAATATGAAGCTGAATATAGGGTTGGGCACACTAAAGGAAAGCATCTTCTCTAAGAGGCGTCAACTAATATACACAATCCAGAACTCAGCCTTTAGGTTACGCGGCATGAAGGCCATTAAAGAAATGATAAGATGTAATTCAACACAAGTCAAAATCACATCACCAAAAGAATAGCAAGTATAATGAATACGACAGCTCATCCAAACTACCCGGGATGAATCGCTGTCATCAACTATATATGACTTATTCAACTTACTTAGGTAGCCATATAGTAGGCAAACCCAGAGGACTCAGTACAAACGATTGACTTGAGCATGACAAATCCATACACCTGCATTGGATGCCGATACTTTGATGTTTTTTACCTTAGCAGAAGAGAAAGAAGATATAGCACAAAGCATTCTGCCATATCTCTGAACCTTGTTTGCCAACTTAGAGTCACAGTGCACATTCTTCCTGCTTCACGCGGCGCTACTTTGTAGATACCAGCGCAGCATGCAGCTTCAGTCCCATCGCCAAGTCCTCCGCTAGTACCCGCGACTTACCCGCTCACGCACAGACGGACGCCCGCCATGGCGTTTCTCCGTGTTCCGCTGAGTCCTGGAATTTCTGCAACTCTCTGTCTCATCCATCCTCTTCGACACATTCATTCTCCTGCATTTAGAACTCCCCGCTTCTCCCCTCAGTTTCACCCAAAGCATTGATAGCTTACGACACCCCGGCATTTCCCAGTCCAAACGACGCCCGACCTGCTCTGCCACCAAGGCGAGATCCGCTTGATAACCATCGATAGAGGGGCGGAGACTTTGCGCGGAACCCGCCACAAAGGCTGTCTGTCTGTCTTTCTTCTACCCGTCTCGCTCAACAACGTTTCCTGAACAACTCAAGCCCATGATTTCTCCGGGCTCCCTCCTTCGATAACTTCCCCATCGTGGGCGTCTCTGTTTTCTCTCCCTCGCAGCCTCCAGAGAGCACAGCACCTCTGCTGCGTCAATCATGGAGGACGCCGCCTCGGACGCCGGGCCCACGGCCCAACAACAGCGATACGACGACCGTCCTAACGCCGCCGCAATCGAGATATGCCGGATATGTCGTGGCGAAGGCACAGAGGAAGAGCCGCTCTTCCACCCGTGCAAATGCAGCGGCAGCATCAAGCACGTCCACCAGGACTGCCTGATGGAGTGGCTCTCGCACTCGCAGAAGAAGTACTGCGAGCTGTGCAAAACGCCCTTCCGGTTCACCAAGCTGTACGCCCCCGACATGCCGCAGTCGCTGCCCGTACACGTCTTTGCCAAGCACATGGCCAGTCATCTGCTCAGCAACCTGCTGGTGTGGCTGCGGGCAGCCGTCGCCATCAGCGTTTGGGTGTTTTGGCTTCCCTACTTTATGAGGGCTGTCTGGTCTTTCATGTTCTGGATCAGTGACGAAGGCTTGGGTGGCTCCATCATATCGCGGATCAACGAGACCAACAATACCATGTCGGCAATTCCCCCCTCCCTCTTGGCCATTGGAACATGTCCTGCCAGCCCCCTGTTAGCGACCACCACCACCTCTGCGGCCGAGGTCGAAGCCGTGGTAGGTCAGCTGGAGGGCAAAGATGTCTCCGATTACTTTGTGCGATTTCTACTCAACTCATTCACCTCTCCATTGCTGGCCTCTGACGGCGAGCTGGGATACGCAGCAAATGCATCTGCAGCATTGAACAACGCCAGTCAAGTCGCCACTGCAACGACCCTCCTCAGCAACGTTGGGTTTCTTGGTAACCTTACTCGAAATGCAAGCCTAAATCGAGCCATCGTATCCGTATTGGAAGGGCAAATTATCACGATTCTGGTAATAATCTCTTTCATTCTCATCATCTTGGTCAGAGACTATGTTGTCCAGCAACAGCCAGAAATCAACATGCGGGCTGCCTTTGCTGCCCCTGAAAATGACTTTCAGGTTCCTGAACCAGGCGAGATTATTCAGCAAGAGAACTTGCCACCAGCAAATCCGCATCCAACAGACTCGGACGATGAAACTTTGGAAGACAGCGATCAAGTTGGTGATCAGGACTGGCAACGGGTGCCGCCAGGACGACTCGCGCCAGCTGGCGAGGAAGCATTGACTCCAGACTCTTCGAACCACTCGACGCCCGATCACGATTCTTTTCCGACTTCCAGCACGAACACCTCCTTACAGAACGATCAACTACACTCTCATGCACACGAAGATGCCAATGAAGACGATGTTGCAGAGGAACCCAGCGGTCTCGCTGATTATCAGCGGATTTATGGCCGCGCTAACGGCGACCTCCAAGACGTAGTGCGAATCGTCGAAGAAGAAGGTCTGCAAGAAAAACTTAAATACTGGGTTGAGTCTACTCGGCGATCTGCTTCTACTACCGAAAATACGACTTATGAGCATGCCACGGACGAGGCAGACCAAGAGCATCCCGAACATGAGATTGACTCGGATCACGACACCCTTCAGTCCTCCTCTAACTGGAAAGGAAAAGCGCCATGGTCTCCTACGCAGGCAGATGCCGACACCTCAGGGCCTTCAGATGCACCTGAGGATGATCTCTTTGGCGTTGCCTCAAGACCACGCTCAAAGTCAGAGGGCCTTCAAGGACAGTTCTCGGTTAACCCCCTGGCGAATAATTCATGGTCTTTTGATGCACTTCCCGTAGATGACAAGCCCGATGAACTCTTCCAGTCCCTCCCTGCTATTCAAGAACAATTTGCGCAAGACTTCAATGGTGACGAGCCCTCGGGAGGGTCCTCAAGACAGTCCAGAGACTCCGGTGACGAGGACGACAGCCATTTGAATCGAGACGCCTATAGGCGCCTCCCAGATATAGAAATTTACCAACGCCACCCTCCAAGAGAACTCCAGCAACCCCTCCCGGATCTGAATGAGAGAGAGCAGCGCTTGGATGATGGAATCGACCCACAGCCGCCTCATGCCAACGGCGCTGCCGAGGAAATAGCCGTCAATGGCGGTGATGTTCCAGCGGCTGGCTTCGCTGACAAAGTTGCCGACTTCATGTGGGGCAACATGGACGACTTGGATCCTCCAGCCGGTCCCCGCGCTCTTATAGTTGCCGCTCATCGAGCAGCTTTGGACGACATGGCTGCCGAGGAAGCGGTCGAGCGAGCTGCTGGGCAAGAGGCTGCCGCTGGCAACAACAACCGGGAGGATCTTTGGGTCGACGTTCCTGCGGAGCCCAACGGCGACGATGGCGAAGGCATCGCTGCGGACGACAACGCCGCACCCTTGGACCCTGAAGCAATTGAGGACATGGAAGACTTTGAAGGAGTCATGGAGTTGATTGGCATGCGCGGACCTATTGCAGGTCTATTCCAGAATGCCATCTTCTGCGCCGTCCTCGTGTCTGTCACCATCTTTGCTTGCATCTTTATCCCTTACAACATTGGCCGCGTCTCTGTCTGGCTCCTTGCAAGTCCCATGCGGGTCGTGCGCCTGCTGTTCGAGCTCTCGAAATTGCTGCAGGACGCTACGTTCCTTGTTGGTGGCTTGGGTTCCTGGTGCGCGCTGAACTTTGTCGACATCTTCGCGGCCGTCATGGGTGGCTCCGTCAAGGCCCATATCGTTTCAGCCAGGAAAATGTCCTGGGCGTTATGGACTGGTGCTGGCAGCAGAATCTGCACATTCCTTTTCAAAGACTTCTTCCCTATGTCAGCAACGGAAATCCACAACTTCTCCGCAGTCAGCCACGATGCGCTCAACATTGTCAAGGGCAATGTTGTGTCCGTATTCTCCAACATCAGCGGGAGTCTAACTACAGTGAACTCGGTTGGCTTTGACAAGATGATGGCTACTACAGTGACTCTGCTCAGCTCTACCTTTGAGACGGCCGTCAAAGTCTCGTCTCTCCTTACAAAACCCAGTTCATGGGTCATTGACCTGAGCCTGGCAGAAGAATGGCCTTCGCTGGATCCGCAGTTGACATATTGGTCTAGTCTTGACAGGTTCTGGGCCATCCTGGCTGGCTATACCACCATGTTCTTGATCGGTGCTCTGTATCTGAAGAAGGGCAGCCCATTCTCGAGAAACGCAATAGTGCATGCGTGGGAAACCGGAGTTATTGAATCCCTCCAGCAGGCCAGCGGAATCATGAAGGTGATCCTCATCATCAGTATCGAGATGCTCGTTTTCCCTCTTTACTGCGGTCTACTTCTCGATGCGGCCTTGCTGCCACTCTTTGAGAACACTACGTTTACGAGCAGAATCATCTTCACTTGCAGATATCCAATGACGTCGATTTTTGTACACTGGTTCGTGGGTACTGGCTACATGTTTCACTTTGCTCTTTTCGTTTCCATGTGTCGAAAGATAATGCGGCCAGGCGTATTGTGTGAGTTTCATTGCCTCCTTCCATTATCTCTTTCTACAAAAAAAAAGAAAGAAAGAAAGAAAAAAAGATTGGCTAACAATTTTCATATCGCAGACTTCATTAGAGATCCCGATGACCCCGAGTTCCACCCAGTGCGTGACGTACTTGAGCGAAATCTCACAACGCAACTTCGAAAAATCCTCTTCTCTGCTTTCGTATATGGAGCCCTGGTCATCGTGTGTCTCGGTGGCATCGTGTGGGGCCTGGCATTCGCCATGCCGAGCGCACTTCCAATCCACTACTCCTCTAACGAGCCGGTACTAGAATTTCCAGTTGACCTGCTCTTCTACAACTTCCTCATGCCACTTGCGGTCAAGTTCTTCAAGCCCAGCGATGCGCTGCATACCATGTACACGTGGTGGTTCCGCAGATGTGCCCGGGCTCTAAGGCTCACATACTTTCTCTTTGGCGAGAGGAGGGTCGACGAAGAGGGCGTTTTGCATCTCCCAGCCGAAACACCAGCAGGCAGGATACCCCATATGGGATACCTGCTCGAGCTTTCGCACGCTGAGAATGCACCAGCTGAGAATGCGAAGATTGTTCCAAAGACCTGGCGCGATACCTTTGAGGGCGGAGACTCGAAACCCACTACACGCATGAGTTCCAGCGAACGGAAAGCTCATCGGCATAAGAAGGCTCATCTCGTCGACTCCCACCAGCTTGACAAAGACGGCAAATTTATTCGAGCCCCCGCGTCTGATCGCATCAAGATCCCCAAGGGTCAACAAGTGTTTTTAACCGTGAGCGAGCGCAACCACCGAAAAGATGGCCGTGCCGACGACGACATATATTCTTCAGATCAGTATCTGCAGGTCTATATACCTCCAAATTTCCGCACAAGGATTTTCACATTCATTCTTTTAATCTGGCTGTTCGCCTCGGTCACTGGCGTTGGGTTCACCATCATACCCTTGGTGCTTGGCAGAAAAATATTCAAGGAGCTGATACCAGACTACATCAGAACGAACGACATCTACGCCTTCAGCATCGGAGTCTTTTTGCTCGGCTCTGCTGCGTACGCCATTGCCCGCCAGCATGCCATACGGGAAAAGATTAGAAAGTGGATTCGTGAGGCAGAGCGCGATATACTCGAGGGCGAGGTTGCTGGACGCATGACGCGCATCGCTATCCACACGGCCAAGCTCTTTTACGCATATACTGTTCTGCTCGTGGTGTTCCCCCTGCTTACCTCTGCGCTGATGGAGCTGTACGTGGCCATCCCGCTGCATACATATATGTATCCCCCAACGGCAGTTTCCTTGAAGGACGAGGGAGCCAACCGCCACACAGTTCGGGTTATCCAGTCATGGGTTTTGGGACTGCTCTACCTGAAGCTGGGCAGCCGGATGATTACATCGCTATTCCCAGATAGCCGGGCCTCAGCGGCAGTCCGCAACATTATCCGCCGTAGATGGTGGCTACGGCCCAATGTGCGCCTCCTCACTCGAGGATTTGTCATCCCAGGCCTCCTGATATCCGGTGTGGCCATCTGCGGACCGCCAATGGTGGCAGGATTTATCATCCGGCACACTGGTCTTGCTGGAGGTTCTGCTCCAGAAGACGCGGCCGCTGCTGTGACGGCGACGGTGATTTACAGACAGTCGTATCCTATCGCGGCGTGTGCCGCCATACTCGCCAAGCATGCCGTGGGATTTGTTAAAGTCACAAACAGGTGGACGGCGAGCGTTCGGGATGAGGCGTATCTGATTGGAGAGCGACTGCATAACTTTGGATCCAGAACATCGAGCAGTCAAAAGACGAAGGTTAGGGCTCGACGGGTAAATGCTTAGGACGAGTTGGGCTTCAGATGACATGAGTCTTGTGTTTATGACAAGGGACCTATTTAAAGGGGTGGCAACTTTAGTATAATTGATTGGGCACCCAAGCAGGTGGACGTGAGGCTATTCGACGATAACGCAACGTTGGGCAGCGGCCTGCCTGCGATGACGACTAACCTAAAGGACGAAGCGACGGTTTAATGACTTTATTCAATTTTAGTATAAAATAGAGCGAGAATGGAATAAATTGTTTCAACGCGCAGTGTATCTTGGGTGATAGTAGCATTGTGATATCCCAGACAGCTCAGGCATAAACCATCCATTGTAAGTCTTACCCTGGACTAAGACAGGAATGCCACGGTTTTTCATCTTCTATCCGTATTTCTTTCACAGACGAATATTAGTGACAGGCAAGTCAAACTTATCACAAAAACCACTAAGAAATACTAGAACAGTCTAGCAGTAAAATCTTGCCCCGTCGCGTGGCCGCCAACAGTTTGCATGTCACGGGCTGCTGTCAGCTGAAGCCATCAACGACAATAACTGGGCCTCATTGATTTCCCTACGCACGTCGCTATGGAGCCTCCCCCAGCGCCCAGAGACGATCTGACGCACGGCGAATGCACCCGAGCATCATGGCCTACATGCCAATAATTGCCTGCAGTTCTGTGCATGCGCCGCTCCAATCAGACGCGGCGGGAGTCGAGCGTCTGCGTCTCGTGGCCCGGCCGCTGCATGCATATTATGCGTGGATGCGCTGGCAGCAGGCGCAAAAGCCCACTATTTGTGGCTGCTGTTCGTGCTGGATTCAGGGCTCTTGCTGGCTGCCGCTGCGCTCCAGACTGCACCCCGAATTAACGGAGCAGCGCGCTGACCTGCAGCGGTTCTTAGTGGACGACGGCGGCGCGCCACGTGACCCACAGGGGGATCATCCCGCCATCATCCCGCTGTAGTCACAGCGAACAGCGCCCGAGCCAGCAGTGGCCACAGCCGCCAGCCCGTGTTGCCCATGGCTGCGCGGCCCGCCTAGGCCGCAAACAGCATAGCGCTCGCCATTTCTGATGCAGCCCCAAGGAGAGTGTCGCATCAACATTGTCACGGGCCAGAACATGCAACCTGCAAACCGCCAGATCCAGGCTTTTGCGGGCTTCTGCTTCTACGCTGCGACGGCTCACGGTAAGGACCTCTTCTTTGTCTGAGGCCGTGCAGAACCGCGAATTTGAAACCAAACTCACGGCCACGGCCTGGACGACGACCGCTGCTCTGCGCTGCTTGGGAACTCTCGCCTCGCCTCGAAATCGCCGCCAGAACAGCGACGCCGCACCCTCGCGGAATTTGACTCGCTCATCGCGGCTCCTGGTTCTGGCATTCCTTTCGGTCTGCTCGCGCATAACGCAAAACAGGGGCAGCGCATCGAAACGGTTTGCAGCAAAATCGAGCCTTGGGGAATCCCCTCCAATATATCGGTGAGCGCATGGTTTTAGCGTCCATGGGGCGGCAGCGTGCTGAAACAGCCATTTACTGACCCCCGGTGAAGGCAGTCAGCGAAACACGGGCTTCGCCAACGGTCGCATCGCCGCGATCCACGATCCGATCCTCGATCTCGCTCGATCCTGCGATTAAATCAATCTCATCGTTCGACGACATTTCTACGCTCTTTTTGCGTTCCGCTCTTAGTCTTTCCCTCTCTCTCTTGCTGTTTTGCTGCTAGCTCGGGCTCAGTTTGGCTCGCCGGCTTTCCGACGATTACGCTCTTTGACGATCCACGATACACCACCACTTTGTCAAGTTTCTCCTTTGTCTCAACATTTATCAATCAAACGACTGCGAGCGCTCCGACGACATATTTTCGCGACTCCGAGCCTCATAACGATTCATTCTTTTACCGATTTTTCATTTGTTTCTTTATCCATCAGTTAGGTCGCACAGCATTCCATGACCACACCGCCCTTCTCAGCGAGAGAGAAAAACGACCCCAGAGAAGACACAACAACAAATAACTCATAGCTTTGATCCGCCATGGCTGAGCCGCCTTCCTCGCCTCCCAGCGAGGCTACCGGTGCCGAAGATGCCTTGTCCTGGTACAAGGCGCAATACGAACTGCTCGAGTCAGAGCTCGCCGAGTTCCGCGAGTCCAGCAGAGAACTGGAGCAGGAGCTGGAGAAGGATATTGAACGAGCAGAGAAGCAGGAGAGAGTCTTGAAAGACAAGGCTGATAGCCTTAGATTCGAGGTGGAAGAGTGGAAGGTAAGCTGAGATGCGATTCTTTTTCTTTTTTCATTTGATCCGAAGCTATCATTCGATTTTGGAGAGGGGGCTTTTTAGCTCTACCCAGCCCCCTCTCTCCAATTGCGATAGCTTCATTTATATGTCTCAGGTACAGCGGCTAACCCCCAACTTCTATTTCTTGTTTCCGCACAGAGAAAATACAAAGACTCCAAATCAGAGACTGCCGCTGCGCAAGCCTCCTTAGAAAAAGAAATTACATCACTACGAGACGCGAACCGCACCTTGGTGCTTAGGTTGAGAGACTCTGAAGTTGCCAACGATGATTTCGAACGCCAGGCGCGAAACACCACCTCCTCGCTCGAAGACATGGAGTCCAAGTTCAACCAGGCCGTTGAGCGAGGGGTCCTGATGGAGGAGGAGATCAAGATGGGCGAGCAGGAGCGAGAGGCCCTCCGCATTGAGTCACAGCGGCTGCGAGAGGAGCTTTCCGAGCTCAAGATTGAAGCCGAGCTGATGCAAGACAAGGTCAAGAAGTACGAGCGTCATTCGACCATGTCGTCCGACATATCGCTCCTCGGCTCCCCCACATTCGACAAGGCCGCGACGGATATCTCCGTCGACTCGGCTGCGAGCTCGCCTCTTATTTCAACCCCAATGGAGATTACCAAAGGCCTGGGCGCGCCGACTCCCGAGCTGCTGGATCCACCGTCACCCCCAATGTCAGACGTCTCTTCGCACCCGAGGGCGCCATCACGGATCCGGACGCCGGCCCCTTCAACAATGCGCCGGACCCGAATGCCGTCGGTGGATGCCGGCTCGAGGGCCCGTGGAAGCACGCCGGCTCTTCCAACGGGTGGGCGAACTGCTACGGGCGGCCGGCCGTCGATTAGCATCAGCAACGGCGGCGGCGGTGCATCTCTCCGCTCATCGACCAACACCAGGTCAAACGTGTCGTCCCGTAACAGCAACTACAAGGTCCCCGCGTCCAACTCACTCTCACATATCCGCCTGCTCACGGCCCAGATGCAGCGCCTCGAGGCCAGAGTACACTCTGTACGATCCAAGCTCCCCGCTCCCAACGGTGGTAATACTCCGCCTCGCCCTCCCTCTCGGCCTGCATTGAGTGCTGCAACTTCCAATGCGTCAACCCCTACGGTTCGCTCACGCAGGCGCGCTACCACACAGTCGTCGATATCGATATCTTCTTCGTTGGCCGGGGACGATTTGACGCCCACTAGCAGCTATGCTTCACCGTCCAAGATGAATCACACGCCTAGGATAAGCACATCTGGCGTGAATCGACTCTCTTTCAACTCCCAGCTCAGCGACAAGGGTTCAGAAGTGAGCCGGCCGGTCTCACGATCCAGCCATACATCCAGCCTAGCATCATATACTCGGCCGGTGTCTCGCAACGGCGTGGCGGCCCCACAGCGACCAGTGTCACGAAGCTCCATCTCAGGTGTGCGGACACCGGTTGGCCGGCCGGCGTCCTCTTTCAGTTCCTCTGGTCGCGGTCACTCTGGCAGTGTTAGTGGCAGCAGGAGTGGAATCGACTTCTTAGGAGAAGACTATGAGCCCGTGTACCGCACGCCTAGTAGGCGAGGTACCTTTTCCACCAGATACGACCTAGGGACAAGCATCAGTGGCATCCCGCCGCCGCTACCGGTGAGCGGCATTCCCACACCTGGCAGCGGGATTCCCGCAGCAGGCAGTACGATACCCGGTCCAAGCTTGAGGCGGCAGAGCGGAAGTAGGCGAATTAGTGTGAGCAACGGCAGCATCAGCGGCGGAGGCGTCTCGATTCGATCGGGCCGCACCAGCACGACTGGATTCAGGAAACTGGGCGACTTGGGCGAGACTTATTGAGTACAATGAGCTATTCCCTGGATCGAGATTGCACAGCCGAATTGCTCTCCGAGATATCACTTCCACCTGATATCTGTTTTCACTTATTCTTTTCCCATTTGCCAATTTTTATCCATTTTTCTCGTTCTCGCTTTGCGTTCAATTGCTTGTCTGTAATTTTGGGAACCGGTTGCATTTTGATCGCTGTGGCAGTATAGGTCGGTCACAGAAAGGCGAACGAGGTGTTGATGAATGATTATGGGCTTGTTTTCATATTTTTTGTCTTTTTGATTGAAACGCACGGTTGGTTGCTATAATTGCCTTTGTTCGCTCACTTTGAAGTTTTCTTTTTTCTTACAACACTTATACCTCGACTTTTCCTTTCCCGTCATACTAACAAGGGATTGGAGGGTCTTGTTTTTGGTATTACAACACACTTGACTACACTATACGCACTCACACACATGGAAGTTATGAAGAGATGGCACGGGCTGCGCTCGGCGAAAGATTAAAACATACATTTCTATAGACTGCTTTTTCATTTGTCCTTTTTTTTTCTTCTTCTGTTATTTTGGTATTGAGACAGGAGGATGAGGGGGAAAAGAGGTGAAGCGGGACTTGGGGATACCTCTAGATATTGAAGAATGGTAGTATGATAGGTAATATAGCCCCAAATGAAAAAAAAGAATTGATACATTTGTTTCATATCCCCAGTGATGGCCTTTGAAAGATTGAAGATTGATTGCCCTAAAAGAATTGGTACATTGTTTCACACTCCCTTTGGTGTCCCAAGGGGTGAGAGAAACCAAGGGGTGAGAGGAATACACCGGACTAGCATACACTGAATTCGATGCTATTTAGTACCGATGGAGATCAGTCCGGTGATTTCTTTGCACTGCATGTGAGCCGTTTGGTGGTGAGCACTTTGAGACAAGCATGTCGCAGAGTCGGAATTTTGAATGGAACTATTGTTTGGGCTACTTGTGTACTATTGGTACTCCTTCGTACATACTACTAATTTGGAGGGCTAAGGTGTGCTGCATTCGGCGAGGGTGGTGTAGATGGGATTGATCGGAATGCCGAAAGAGGTTCGGGCCGGGATGGGGCGTGCGAAGTAATGGAGGTGTTTGGCTGTGTAAGCCCGAGGATTCGGATGGTGATCGGATCTTACCATATAAGCAAATACTGGGAAACAGTTGTAGGCAGTATGGCATTAGATGTTCTTATACTAATCCTTTGCTCTGCTCTACTTCTTTGTGCCGTATTACTAGATATTGTACAGATGTAGGAGAGTTGCTCTCTTAGGCGGTAGCAGAAGCTGTCCTGCTTGAGCTTTATCTCTGATGTAATGGGAAGAGGCTTATCGGTGCCTGAATCCAGCTAGCTACGTGCCCATTCCGCTTTTAACCGCCTAAAGCAGAGCAAACCTGAGATCTATCCGTTCCCCATCCGGTTTGGGTAAAAGGCCCAATACGTACAGAAGCGAGACGAAAAGAAAGAAACCCTCCGAAAATGAAAATGCTAGCGGGAGTCTTGTCTACCTCTTCTCCCTCCGGAGTCTGCGGTTTCCGTGGCTCCCCCCATTCCGGCGCTTTGTATGGAGTCCGATTGGCTGGAATGGGAGACGGGCATTGGTGATCCACTTTGTTTTCGGCGGGGTCCGAAAAAAATTCAATGGTAATGGTTGGGGGTGTTTTTTCCTTGTTACCTGTTTGGTTTGGTTTCTGAGATGCTGATGGCGATCTTGGTCGGATGAAGATGATTTCGTAAAATGTGTTTAGGCAGATGCTGCTGTTGCTGCGTTTATACAGGAAAAGCTAGGCCATCTACATGCACTTACACTATCTGATACTGCAGTAGCACTGGCTCTGCTTACTGTGCCCACCTTGGGCAGGTAGTATTTTCACATCTACCCTACTGGATTGCTTGCTGTGGGTAGATACTGCAGTCAGATAGCCGGCAGAGAAACACAGATACGAGATATGGAGCAGCAGCCGAGACGGTTGACAGGCCGCTCCCCCGAGATTTGGGGACCCAGAGGCAATTCTAGCTATCGAGGTTACTACACGCGTAATCAACGCTGAGATGGTACATGCTGTGTTCCATTTAGTGCTGCTGAGTGAGTGTGTTGGGTGGGACTCAACAATTGGGGGGCCCAGAGAAAAAAAAAGAATGATGGGGGAAGTCGGGTAGAAGGGACGGATTGGAGCTGTGCTATAAGGCACGGCTGCTAATGTGTACTACCGAGGGCTAGGCGGATCCTATCTTAGCATCATCTGAAGTAAAGAGTTTTTTTTTGTTGGCTGCTTGAGATGGCTGCTGGATGCTACGTTATCTTGCTGTTGTTGTTGCCTGTATATGCTATGTACGTGTAGATGCTGCCCTTGGATCACGTATGAGCAATATAGACTGCAACAAGTACCTCTTTTCGGGTGGAATTAACAAGGTGGTATTCCGTATCACGTCCCTGCCGCTGCTGCATACGGCGTATCATTTCTTGCCGTCATGATGCTTTATTCGCCGACGAGCCCGATTTGGTACAAAAGCGGGCTGGGAGAGGCTAAGGCCCGGAATCTCATTCTCGGAGGTGGGGCTGCAGATGTTTAATTTGGTCGCGATGGATCTCACTTGGCGTTGCTGTGCTTGCAAAACCCTCCGTATATAATCAATAGCTTGTTGTTGATGTCTTGGGTTGCCGTGGTTCAGGGGGAGACGATTTGAGTACGTGATGGCTTCGTACCCCCCATGCCATGTGCTTTTTTGTCCGCGGGGCCCGAGAGATTGAGCTGAACAGGCTCAACTCGGCGGTTTGGGCAGATGCTGGGAAAAATGTGAGAAATGAGCTCGGCCCGGACTCCGTCTTACTGGTACTATCGTGGAAATGCTTGGGATCTTACAGTAGTAGGGACCCCACAGCCGTATAGTAGCTGCGGTAGATGGGCACTTGCAGTTGAAGAGGTAATAGCCGCACCGTGAGCGATTTGGGATCTTGATGTCGTCAGTAGCGTACATACAGACAGCTTATCACAGTTGTAAAAGGGATTATCCCATTGGCGGAAGGGCAGATGGCGTAGGGATAACAGAGACAACGCCGTTGCTTATCATGATGAATTTATCCGCACTCCCTAGATGCTAGATAGATCCCTTCCTTCGAAGTAGATCCCCCGTCATCCTCCGCCGTTGCTAGATAGAGACAGGCCGATGTAGCCTGTAAGCACGGCTCGTCACACGACTACCTAGTATTACCAAAATAGATCAATGCGTCCTGTCTTTGATTCTACACGGAATGTTCCATTGCATTGTTGCCAAATTCGGCCGCCAATCCTGAATCCTTTGCTCGTCCGTCATATAAGCCGCAACCTGACTTGCTCCGTGACGGCAGGCCCCGGGCTGTTGATGCAGCTCCGAGTTACTTACAGCAAGCACTATACGCCATTCTACGCCATAGACTAACACGAAGAGAGTTTGAGCGGCCAAGGATAGTGCTTCAAGGACCTGCAGCTATACTCGTGTGCGGTTGATATCCTGATACGCCTCTTTGGCTGGCCATGATCGATCGATTCCCCGGCAGCCAGATCGCCAATGGCTGCCATACAAATAGTTGATATCACCCCAACCTTTTGCAAAGTAGGGTAATGCCATATCCACCTCCATAAAGGCTAGGTCAAGCTTATACACTCGCCATCAATTCCCTCAGGCTACACACGGCCAAGAACGAGGTAAAATTCACTCCACCACCATGAATTGAATTCGTGCTAAGCACGAGACTCAAGACGCTTCCCCCTTTTTCCCCCACACACAGAGGCTGCCCCAAGAGACAGACAGAAGCAGCCAGAAGTGATGCTGTAGGTGCCCAAGGTATCCACCGAGCAAAACTCAATGAGAGTCAAAAAGCAATTAATCGCTGTATGTGCTACATGTACGTTTGCATTGAGCCGTCCCACTGACCCCAACAGATCTAGGCCACGTCCCCTGGAGCCTCCGCCTGGGCCAGTAATCGTCGCCAGAGCTGCTCCGTAATTCCCACTAAATCCACTAAATTGGCCCCGAAAGCTTCGCGCACGCCCCTGCCACCGAGTCTCTCCCCTCCCTTGCCCCTCGTAGATCCTGCGATACTGCCATGGATTTTTTTTGTTCTTAATACACCCAATCCCGCCGCTGACAAGACTGGCTGTCCCCTCCTCGTCTATTAATCCGTCTCTCGAAAGCGGGCTTCGTTTTGCTGTGGCCATCTTCTCTTTTCTTTTCTTGCTATTCTTCCTGTTTCAGCCTCATTCCCTGGCGGGCCAACAAGCTGGGAGAAAACAAAACGAAACAAACACAAAGGTCGAAGGATTGCAATCACTTCCTAATCGCCTGTCCGCATAACCCCCCCCCGGCAGGGCCATCTTAATTCGTCTTACCATTCTACTTCGATTCTGATCGACTTGCTGCTGTGCCGGCAGAATCCCTCCACGTCAGATTACCAGCCGCGGCCGATTCTGACCCTTCCTACGATCCACATTCTTCTATAATCAGCTTCTCGCCCTCTTTTCTTATCTCCTCCTCTCCCTCCACAACTCCGGGAATCACACAGCAGCCATGGCAGATTCAGCAAACGGCGTCCAGAATGGCGCCAATGGCCGGACGGTGCCTGTTGCCAACGGCAGCATGACCTACGCCGAGAAGCACAAGATCGCAGACCACTTCATTGGAGGCAACCGGCTGGCGAATGCCCCCGCCAGCAAGGTCAAGGATTTTGTGGCCGAGCACAACGGCCACACTGTCATTACAAATGTGAGCATTTACCACTGGAAAGCTGCTTATCAGCAGAGCTTGCGCTGACTTATCTGTGAAACAGGTTCTGATCGCCAACAACGGTATCGCCGCCGTCAAGGAGATTCGCTCAGTTCGGAAATGGGCCTACGAGACGTTTGGCGACGAGAGGGCCATCCACTTCACCGTCATGGCCACGCCCGAAGATTTACAGGCCAACGCCGACTACATTCGAATGGCTGACCACTACGTCGAAGTCCCCGGCGGCACCAACAACCACAACTATGCCAACGTCGAGCTGATTGTGGACATTGCCGAGCGTATGGACGTCCATGCCGTTTGGGCTGGTTGGTGAGTTTGTGTAAAACTACGAGATTCTGCTCGAATACATACTAACAATCACACTCTAGGGGTCACGCCTCTGAAAACCCAAAGCTCCCAGAGTCTCTCGCCGCATCGCCCAAGAAGATCGTCTTCATTGGTCCTCCTGGCTCTGCCATGCGATCACTGGGTGACAAGATTTCCTCCACAATCGTCGCACAGCACGCCAAGGTGCCCTGCATTCCTTGGTCCGGAACCGGCGTCGACGCTGTCGACATTGACGACAAGGGCATCGTCACCGTTGCCGACGATATCTACGCCAAGGGCTGCGTCAACTCATGGCAGGAGGGTCTGGAGAAGGCAAAGCAGATTGGCTTCCCCGTCATGGTCAAGGCTTCCGAGGGTGGTGGTGGCAAGGGTATCCGAAAGGTTACCAACGAGGAAGAGTTTGAGGCCCTTTACAAGGCTGCTGCTAGCGAGATTCCTGGCTCGCCCATCTTCATCATGAAGCTGGCTGGAAACGCCAGACATCTGGAGGTCCAGCTGCTCGCCGATCAGTACGGCAACAACATTTCCCTGTTTGGTCGTGATTGTTCCGTCCAGCGTCGCCACCAGAAGATTATCGAAGAGGCTCCCGTCACCATTGCCAAGGCTGATACCTTCAAGGCCATGGAGGACGCTGCCGTCCGACTGGGTCAGCTTGTCGGCTACGTCTCTGCCGGTACTGTCGAATACCTGTATTCGCACGCCGACGACAAGTTCTACTTCCTCGAGCTCAACCCCCGTCTCCAGGTCGAACATCCCACCACTGAGATGGTCAGCGGTGTCAACCTGCCGGCTGCTCAGCTCCAAATTGCCATGGGTATCCCCCTGCACAGAATCCGCGACATCAGATTGCTGTACGGCGTGGATCCCCGAACTTCCAGCGACATCGATTTCGATTTCAAGCTGGAGGGCACTGCCGAGTCTCAGCGCCGACCTCAGCCCAAGGGCCACTGCACTGCCTGCCGTATCACCTCTGAGGATCCTGGTGAGGGCTTCAAGCCTTCCAACGGTGTCATGCACGAGCTCAACTTCCGTTCCAGCTCAAACGTATGGGGTTACTTCTCCGTCGGTACTCAGGGTGGAATTCACAGTTTCTCCGACAGTCAGTTCGGTCACATTTTCGCCTACGGCGAGAACCGACAGGCTTCACGGAAGCACATGGTTATTGCGCTCAAGGAGCTGAGCATTCGTGGTGATTTCAGAACCACCGTCGAGTACCTCATCAAGCTGCTCGAGACTGAGGCTTTCGAGGACAACACAATCTCCACTGGCTGGCTGGACGAGCTCATCTCCAAGCGACTTACCGCTGAGCGCCCTGATACCATGCTGGCGGTTGTGTGTGGTGCCATCACTAGAGCTCACATCACTAGTGAGGCCTTGCTGGCCGAGTACCGATCTGGATTGGAAAAGGGCCAGGTGCCTTCCAAGGAGATTTTGAAGACCGTCTTCACCATTGATTTCATCTACGAGGGCTTCCGATACAAGTTCACTGCCACTCGTGCCGGTCTCGACACCTACCACCTCTTCATCAACGGCTCCAAGTGCTCTGTTGGCGTTCGTGCCCTCAGCGATGGTGGTCTCCTTATCCTTCTTGACGGCCACAGCCACAACGTCTACTGGAAGGAGGAGGTTGGTGCCACTCGTCTGTCGGTTGATAGCAAGACCTGTCTGCTCGAGCAGGAGAATGACCCCACTCAGCTCCGAACTCCCAGTCCTGGTAAGCTCGTCAAGTACTCCGTCGAGAACGGTTCCCACATCAAGGCTGGTCAGACCTTTGCCGAAGTCGAGGTCATGAAGATGTACATGCCTCTTGTTGCCCAGGAGGACGGTATTGTGCAGCTCATTAAGCAGCCCGGAGCCACTCTGGAGGCTGGAGATATTCTTGGAATACTCGCCCTGGATGACCCTTCCCGAGTCAAGCAGGCTCAGGCCTTCGTTGGTCAGCTTCCCGCTTACGGCGACCCTGTTGTTGTCGGTACCAAGCCCGCTCAGCGCTTCGTCCGATACCACAACGTGCTGCTCAACATCCTCAATGGTTTCGACAACTCTGTCGTCATGGCCGATACTCTGAAGAAGCTCATTGAGGTGCTCCGTGACCCTGAGCTGCCCTACAGCGAGTGGAACGCCCACTTTGCTGCTCTGCATGCTCGCATGCCCCAAAAGCTGGACACCCTGTTTACTCAGATTGTCGAGCGAGGCAGAGCTCGCACTGGTGAGTTCCCTGCCAAGGCGCTCAGCAAGGCTTTCAGCAAGTTCCTCGAGGAGAATGTGGAGGCCGGTGATGCTGGTCTGCTTAGAACCACGCTGGCGCCCCTTACCGAGGTGCTTGACAACTACGCAGAGGGCCAAAAGGTTCGAGAGCTCAATGTCATCAACAACCTTCTCGAGTCCTACTGGGCGGTCGAGAGCCTTTTCCAGAGCCGAGCTCAGGAGGAGAGCGTCATCCTGAATCTTCGAGACCAGAACAAGGAGAACATGGCCAAGGTTGTGCAGATCGTTCTCTCGCATAGCCGCATGAGCTCAAAGAACGCTCTGGTCATTGCCATTCTCGAGGAGTACCGCCCCAACAAGCCCAATGTCGGAAACATCAACAAGTACCTGCGCGAGTCGCTGCGAAAGCTGACCGAGCTCTCTTCTCGAGCCACCTCCAAGGTGTCGCTCAAGGCCCGAGAGATTATGATCCAGTGCTCTCTGCCGTCCCTTGAGGAGCGTACGTCTCAGATGGAGCACATCCTGCGATCGTCTGTTGTCGATTCTCGCTACGGTGAGAGCGGCTGGGACCACCGGGAGCCTAGCCTCGAGGTGATCAAGGAGGTTGTCGATTCCAAGTACACCGTCTTCGATGTGCTGACCTCTTTCTTCGCTCACGAGGATCCTTGGGTTTCTCTGGCGGCTCTCGAGGTCTACGTTCGTCGTGCTTACCGTGCCTATATGCTCCAGTCGATTGAGTATCACAATGACGAGTCTGACAACCCTCTCTATGTGTCCTGGGACTTCCAGCTGCGCAAGATTGGCAACAACGAGTTTGGCGTTCCCGTTCAGTCTGCTGCTCCTTCTACTCCCGGCACCCCTAGCGGCCTGGAGTTCAATCGTATCAACTCTATCAGCGACATGTCCTACCTCACTGCCAAAGTGAACAGTGGCCCGTCCCGCAAGGGTGTCATGGTCCCTGTCAAGTACATCGACGACGCTGAGGAGATGCTCCAGAAGGCCTTGGAGACGTTGAACTTTTACAACAAGCAGAAGAAGCAGACGAGTCAGTCTAATCTTCTTGCTGACTTGAGTGGCAAGCGAAAGCCCTTTGCAGCTCTCAAGAAGGAGTTCCAGAGCCGCAACAACGGCGACGAGCTGTCAGCCGTCATCAACGTTGCCGTTCGAGACACTGAGAGCACGGATGACGAGGATATCCTCTCACGCATTATTCCTATTGTCCAGGGGCTCAAGAGCGAGCTTTTGGTCCGTGGTGTCCGTCGTCTGACCTTCATCTGCGGCCGCAGCGATGGCTCTTACCCTGGCTACTACACATTCCGAGGCCCCGACTACGAGGAAGACGACAGCATTCGTCACAGCGAACCCGCCCTGTCTTTCCAGCTTGAGCTTGCTCGTCTTGCCAACTTCCGTATCAAGCCCCAGTTCACAGGAAACGGCAACATTCACGTGTACGAGGCTGTTGGCAAGACTGTCGACTCTGACAAGCGCTACTTTACTCGTGCTGTGATCCGACCTGGCCGTCTCCGTGACGAGATCCCCACTGCTGAATACCTCATCTCCGAGGCTGACCGAGTCATCAACGACATTTTTGACGCTCTCGAGATTATCGGCAACAACAACTCTGATCTCAACCACATCTTCATGAACTTCACCCCCGTCTTCCAGCTCGACCCTGCTACCGTTGAGCAGTCTCTCCAGGGCTTCTTGGATCGCTTCGGCGCTCGTGCTTGGAGACTGCGTGTTGCCCAGGTGGAAATTCGCATTGTTTGCACGGATCCCCAGACTGGTATCCCCTACCCTCTGCGTGTGACCATCACCAACACCTCTGGTTATGTCGTCGATGTCGACCTGTATGCCGAGCGCAAGTCCGAGAAGGACGACTGGGTCTTCCACAGCATTGGCGGCACCAAGGAGAAGGGACCTCTTCACTTGCTGTCCGTCTCCACTCCTTATGCCACCAAGAACTGGCTCCAGCCCAAGCGATACAAGGCTCACTTGATGGGTACCCAATTCGTGTACGACTTCCCCGAGTTGTTCCGCCAGGCCATCCAGAACAGCTGGGCCAAGGCTGTTAAGAGGCAGCCTGCTTTGGCGCCTCAGCAGCCCAAGGTTGGTGACTGTATTACATTCACCGAGCTTGTGCTCGATGACAAGGACAACCTGGACGAGGTCAACCGCGAGCCTGGCACCAACACCTGCGGTATGGTGGGATGGATCATCAAGGCTAAGACCCCCGAGTACCCCGCTGGTCGCCGCTTCATCGTTGTCGCCAACGATATCACTTACAACATTGGGTCTTTCGGCCCCAAGGAAGACAACTTCTTCTACAAGTGCACTGAGCTGGCTCGCAAACTCGGCATTCCTCGCATCTACCTGTCTGCCAACTCTGGTGCTCGTCTTGGTCTCGCCAATGAGCTGATGCCTCACTTCAAGGTTGCCTGGAACGATGCTAACAATCACGAGGGCGGATTCCGCTACCTGTACCTCGATGAGAAGACCAAGGACCGCTTCAAGGACACCGTCATTACGGAGGAAGTTGTTGAGGAGGGTGAAACGCGCTACAAGATTGTCACCATTGTTGGCCAGGAGGATGGCCTTGGTGTTGAGTGCTTGAGGGGATCTGGTCTTATTGCCGGTGCCACTAGCCAGGCTTACAACGACATCTTTACCATTACCTTGGTCACTTGCCGATCAGTTGGTAGGTTTTTCCTTTCTTTTGTAACGCCTTTCGAGTAATTATAACTAACAAATCTCTAGGTATTGGTGCTTATCTTGTCCGTCTTGGTCAGCGTGCTGTCCAGATTGAAGGCCAGCCCATCATCCTTACTGGTGCTCCCGCTTTGAACAACCTGCTTGGTCGTGAGGTGTACACATCTAACCTCCAGCTTGGTGGCACCCAGATCATGTACCGCAACGGTGTTTCTCACATGACTGCCAACGACGACTTTGAGGGTGTCTCCAAGATTGTTGAGTGGATGGCGTTTGTTCCCGAGAAGCGCGGCAACCCCGTCCCGGTCAGCCCCAGCCTCGATGCTTGGGACCGTGATGTCACCTACTACCCTCCTCAGAAGCAGCCTTATGACGTCCGGTGGTTGATTGGCGGCAAGCAAGAGGACGACGGCTCTTTCCAGAGCGGTCTGTTCGACAAGGACTCCTTTGTTGAGGCCCTTGGCGGCTGGGCTCGCACTGTCGTCGTTGGTCGTGCTCGTCTGGGCGGTATCCCCATGGGAGTTATCGCCGTCGAGACTCGCAGTGTTGAGAACATTACCCCCGCCGATCCTGCCAACCCCGATTCTACCGAACAGATTAGCAACGAGGCCGGTGGTGTCTGGTACCCCAACTCTGCATTCAAGACTGCCCAGGCCATCAATGACTTCAACAACGGTGAACAGCTTCCTCTCATGATCTTGGCCAACTGGCGTGGTTTCTCCGGTGGTCAGCGAGACATGTACAACGAGGTGCTCAAGTACGGATCGTTCATCGTCGATGCCTTGGTCAAGTACGAACAGCCAATCTTTGTGTACATTCCTCCCTTTGGCGAGCTCCGTGGTGGCTCATGGGTCGTTGTTGATCCTACCATCAACCCCAACGCCATGGAGATGTACGCTGATACCGAGGCTCGTGGTGGTGTTCTTGAGCCCGAGGGTATGATTGGTATCAAATATCGCAAGGACAAGCAGCTGGAGACTATGGCTCGCCTGGATCCTACCTACGCCGAGCTGAAGAAGAAGCTGGAGGACAAGACGCTCTCCAGCGAGGATGCGGAGAAAATCAAGCAGCAGATTGTGGCCCGCGAGAAGCAGCTTCTGCCCGTCTACTCGCAGATTGCCATCCAGTTTGCTGATCTGCACGACCGTGCCGGCCGCATGAAGGCCAAGGGTGTCATTCGCGATTCTCTCGACTGGACCAACGCCCGCCGATACTTTTACTGGCGTCTGCGCAGACGTATCACTGAGGAGTACATCCTCAAACGCATGAACACCAGCATCCTGCCTACTCCCCAGCCCAACACTTCCAAGGCCACCGAGGCGCGCGCCAAGGGTCTGAAGCTGCTGGAGAGCTGGTCCGGCATTGCCGGCTGGGACAAGAAGGACCAGGAGGTTGCTGAGTGGTACGAGAAGGAGACTCAGTCCATTGCGCAAAAGGTGGAGGCCCTCAAGGCCGACAGACTGGCTGCTGAGCTGGCTGAGGCTGTTCGCGGCAATGAGAAGGCTGGCTGGAAGGGCATCCGAGAGCTTCTGCGCGTGATGCCTGTGGAGGAGCGCGAGGCTGTCTTTACGTATTTGAAGGAGTAATGTATGATAAACATGATGAAAGAAGGCAGGAGGGGGCGTTTTGATTTGGAAGCGTTTACGGTTGATGTCTTATGATAGATTAAATTACATTTTCAAAGTTACCAACAGTGTGCCAGTAAAAGATGAATATATGCTTATTCAAGTGACTATATGATGAGCAACCTTGTCATACTATGGCTGTGTCTTGGAAGCCAAATGTGTACCATGGCTCTTGACGCTTGGTCGCTACGAAAAGGTGTTGTACAGCTACTGAACCATTTACCAAGCGCTCTTAGATTGGGGTCAAAGGTGCTAGGCTTCTAATTCATTACTCAAGCAATTGACCCATGGATGATGCAGAGATGGATATGCTCACATGCTACTGCAGCAATATGTAGCGTGTACTCATAGCAATGCAGAATAGAGATTCTTATTACAATGCGATGCTATATATTCGGCTTTTCGAATATAATCGCCTGACCATGAGCTCTTGACTCCCACCCAATCTTGTTTATGTATACAATTGGCCATCATTCAAACCAAAAAAGCTTCCTCCATTTTATCTTTTGTCTTTTTTTTCTTCTCTCCTCTAGTTGTCTTTTTAAGCATCCTCAGGCACCCTCGTCCGTATCTGCACGCCGTGCCACTCCTTGACCAGATCGCCCAGCGCACCATTGACCAATCGCTGCTGCTTGAGCATGTTGAGCCCCTTGAAGGCGGAGGAGGTGATGTCGATGGCGTACATGCTGCCGCAGCCGCCGGAGATGTCCTGGACGAGCAGGGCGGTGGGGTTGAGCTTGGAGGCGAGGATGGCGGCGATGGAGGATTCGGCGGGGGTCATGCCGGTGTCTAAGTCTGCGTCTGTTTGTGTTTCGGCATTTTGTTGTGGTTGGATTGAGGAGGAGAGAGGACGAGAGGAGGAGAATTGGCGAGAGGGAGAGGAGGAGATGTGGCGGATGGTGAGGTGGGAGGCTTTGAAGGCGGTTGGTTTGAAAGAGGTGATGATGGGGCGCGCGGGGAGGGAGAGGCGCAGGCGGAGCGCGGAGCGGCAGGATGAGCAGATCATGGTGGGATTGGATCGGTGATTGATGTGTCTGAGATTGTTTCTTTGGTTGTAGATATAGGATTGAGAGGAGATAGTTCGAGGTCGAAAATTGATTGTAATTATTCAGCGGCCATTGGAGGGATTGCCGAAGCTTCTTGGTAGCGCGGGCGATGGGCCGAGAGCCGGGGCTTTGCCGGGAGTTGGGTGATTACCGGATTGAGCAGGTTGGAGCAGTGTATTGGACAACTTTGAATGGGGGTTGAGTACATTGATATATTCATTTCATGGTGGATTGCGCTGATATTGGTATTGTAAGGAAAGAATGGAGAGGTGTGTATATTGTTTGTTAGAGAATCCGAGAAGTGTGAAGCTGGGTGTTGGACTCTCGTTTGTAAGAGTTAGGTCCTCATCAAGCTATTGGGCTTGAAGTATTTCACGTTGTTAGTGGTGCTGATGATTTTAGATGTGTAGATTAGACATTAAGTATGAAATCAATGAAATGCAATGCTAGCCTGACTCCTTTGCCCTTTTCGTTCCCAATTCGCTATAAAATGCAAAACATGTATGCCCAAATAGAATAGTGCATCAGCAATAGTACAACTTCCAGTCATTCAACTCGTTCATCACCTCACAATCCACAACCCCCCATTCCCATACGCCTTATCCTGCATCAAGCCCACGTCCGACCTCATGCCCACCCGATGCAGAGGAATTTTATCCACCTGCCTCACCACTTTCCCCGTCGTATCATCCACTCTCTCCGCAAACGTTCGGCTAGACTTGACGCTCTTCAGTATAGCCACGATATCGTGAGGCCCCCAAGCTCCACGCCTTAGACTGGCCATTGTTCTGTCGACATCTTGAAAGTGTTGGTTCACGAGGACTTCTGGTGGCGTGTTGTGCCCGGGAGCGGCGTGGAGGTAGCCCATGAGGAGGACTTTGACTTTGGCGCTGACGAAATTTGCGCCTTGGAAGTCGTGGATGATGTGGACGGTGATTGTGTTTTCCATGGCGACGGAGGGAGGGGCGTGGCGGGATGGAGCTATGGTGACGATGGCTTCGAACCAATCTGTGGGGATCATGTTTCCTGGAGCTTTTTCAGTGTTGTTGCTGGGAGGGATGTGAATGCATGCCCAGGCGGCAAACACGCCCGGCATGCGAAGTTTGATCTGGTCCGATACACCGCTGAGGTTCGCTGACGGTATGCTCAGTTCCGAATATGACCGCCCTGTTCCTGGCACCACCTTGCCGTCGAATTTCATTGGAAAAGGGGCTTCAGGGCCGGCCTCGGAGCCGATGACTGGCACATTCTCCATGAGAGAATCATACCTTTCCAACTGAGCCCTTTGCCGCTGCCAGCTCTCCTGCACCGTATCGCCCATGCCGGTGGCCTGGTAGCTCTGATAGGCCATGGTGCCAGCCTTCTTGACTGTCTGGTTCGTGACAATGTTGCTCACTTGGCTGTTGACCACCGTGCTCGCCACGCCAATGTACCGGTTGGCCACGGCCTGGCCAATCGTGCTGGCGACCTTGACGCCCATTTCCAGCGGCATCGTGCTTAGGCTGGCGCCTCTCATGACACTCACATCCGTCGACGTGCTCGCCACGCGGAAGACGGGGCTGCCGCAGAGAATCTTCTTGCCCGGCTCAGCGCCCGCGCAGAGAACGAGGCGGAAGTAGCCGTCGCAGGCCGTGGCCGGGATGCGGACGACGTGCGTCTCGCGCGGCATGTGCTTCTTCTGCTTGCCCGAGGCCTTTTTGCCGAAGCGCTTGAAGTCGCGCTGGATGATGCGCTCGTCGGCCTCGGGGGTGTCGCTCACGGCGGTCTGGCGCGCGGGCGTGACGTTGATCCAGGAGCCTGTGGTGCCGGCAAAGGCCTTGATGGCCATGCCCATGTTGCCGGAGAAGCCCTTTTGCTGCATCCACAGCGTGCGTGAGGCCGGGAGAGGCTCGTCTGAGAGCACCGAGATGGAGACGGAGGTGGACGGGCCAGAGTACCAGATCAAAGCGCTGGTGTGGCGGATGATGGAGAAGTGGCGCGTGGACTCGCAGGGATGGGAGATGAGGCCAGAGGCAAAGTATTGGGCGTTGCCCATGGCGGACTGCCAGAATGAATCTTGCTGCTTTGCATCTGCGCTCACGTCTACGGGCAGAGTGGCGGCATGTTGGGGCTGTGGGCGTGGACGTGGGGAGAAGACTGGCGATGAAGAAGTTGCGGTAGGGAGTGCTGAAGAGCTCTGCGTTTGACGAAGAGGCAGAGGCGGTGCCAAGGGAGCTGAGAGGCCGGGATAGGGGGGCGGAGGAGGCAAGTCATCGTCGGGTGCTGTGATGCTGATTTGGGCTGAGAAGGTCTCGATGCTGATCTGTTGAGACGAGATGGCGGTGGCGGGCCGGATGTTTGATGGAGGAGCTGCCGGCTTTTGCCATTGCGATCCTTCAAGGCTGGCGGTTGATTTACTGGGCTTCAGTTGCTGGATTCCTGGTGACTGTGAGGGCGCAATTGACTGTGATGGTGATGCTTTGTCCGAGTACAGGTCGTAGATGTCGGCCTGATATTGATGGTCATATTCGGGCGTTCCTGGGACGGGCCGCCGCCGTATGGCCGGGACAGGCTTACGCGCGAGTTCAGGACCCTCCATTGTAGTGAGTAGCGTGCACAAGATAAAAAAAAAAAAAAAACTAATTACTAGCCCTGGCTACCTTGAAGATTGAGGCAGAGGGCGAGAGCATCGCATCTTGTCTCGCCGTTGGGCATTGAACCGGATGTGTGAGAGAGTTATGGCATGTAAGTAATGGCTCTTCCGGAGAACGGGCCATCAAAAGGGGGTCCTCCCTCTTTGAGTGCCGGACAAAGCTGGACTTTGTTTGCCGGGCAGCTCTGCTTAGTCTGGAGTAGTTGGAGGCCCGCTGGCTTGACTAAAATACACGGTGCCATTTTACATTGACTATTAAAGCTTGCTAAGACGCAGGGCTGGGCGACTCGTATGGGTACGCGTCAGCGCAATTCGCACAGCAGCTGTGATTGGCACTGGGAGCAATCTCGTGTTGTCTAGCGTGCACAAAGAGCGAGATTTGATATCATTCTTCTATCATTTCTTTTGTCCTTTTTTTTTTGGTGTGTTGAAGCTATTTTACTGTTCTTTCATTTTAGCAATATGTTTTTGCCGCATCTAGCTAGATGCCATGAGGGCCTCCAACTGGCCGGCCTCCTTGATGGCGGTGGTGAGGTTCTCGTAGCCGGTTTCCGTGACGAGGATGTTGTCCTCGATGCTGCATCGAGTTAGCATTGGAGTTTTTTTTAAGTTTAAATTAAGGATAATGAGAAACGAGATTTGTTTGCTTACCGAACACCGCCGACGTCCCAGTACTTGGCCAGCACGGACGAGTCAATGTACTTGCTCTGCTCGGGGTTCTCCAGGTACGGGTCGATGATGAATTTGCAAAAGTAGACCTGTGCCTTGTGTTAGATAGCCAGCTCTTAGCCTAGATCATTCTGGGGCAATGACTTACACCAGGCTCAACAGTCACAACTCCGCCGGCGGGAACTTGGCCTCGCAGACGCAGGTTCTGGAAGATGACATCGGGGTCCTGGCGGTTGTGGTTGCCGCCGGTGTCGTGCGTGTCCATGCCCAGGTAGTGGCCCAGGCCGTGGGGGAAGAAGGCCTGGCTGATCCGGGCGTTGAAGATGTCGTCCTTGTTGCCCTTGAGGATGCCCAGCGCCAGCAGGCCGTCAATGGCAATCTTATGGGCCAGGACGTGGGCGTCTTCCCAGTGCATGCCGGCCTTGATGACGGCAATGCACTCCTGCTGCATCTTGTAGACGATGTCGTAGATTTCGCGGGCCTCCTTTGTGAACTTGCCGTTGAGGGGAAAGGTTCTGGTCTGTTACGGTATGGCCGGTTAGTAACGGCGAGGAGTGAGGAGGTGAGGCTACTTACGATATCAGCGGCATAATTATTCCACTCAGCCCCAGCGTCAATCAACAACAACTGCTTTCCTCCCAGCGGAGCGTCGTTGGGCACGTAGTGCAGCGTCGCCGCCGCAGTGCCGCTGGCCACAATGGGGTGGTACGCCATCTCCTTTGCGCCGTTGGCCACGCACCGCTCCAAAAACACGGCCTCGAGCTCCCTCTCGTTGGACGCCTGCTTGGCCTTCTCGACGACGGCCTTGTGCGCCGCGCTGGACACGGCGTTGGCCTTGCGGATCATGGCCACCTCGAACTCGTCCTTGACGACGCGCGAGACCTCGATGGCGGGCTTGAGCAGCTCAAAGTCCTTGTTATCGAAGCCGATGAAGGTGACGTGATCCGACACCTGGTCCTGGATGGCGTATACTGTCGAGGTGGGGTTTGTGCCCGCCAGGTGGGCGAGCGAGGCGTTGACGTCGGTGGTGAGCTTCACCTCGTCGACGTCGTAGAGCCTGAGGGCGTCGTCGATGGTGGTGGGCAGGCCGGACCAGATGACATCGTGGGGGTCGATTGGGGGGATGTAGAGCGTGGATTTGGAGGAGGCGATGTCGTAGGTGAAGAAGCAGTCGGCGAGGTTGCAGCCGGTGAGGTAGTAGAAGTAGCGGCGCTGTCTGTAGGAAAGAAGACGCTTGATTAGCAGAATGCCCAAGTATGCATGGCCCTATAAGCCAGAGAATGTCTGCGCATCATCGCAGAACTGGAGCATAGCATAGCATAGCATAGCATAGCATAGCATACCGGAAAGGCTCGGGGGAGTCGTTGTCCTCGAGGAGCTTCGTGTGGCGGCCCTCGAGATAGAGCACGCCGCTGGCGTTGGGGTCCTTTTTGCGGATGAGGTCGACGACGCGGCGGGCGTGTGACTTGCCCGGGTACTTGCCCTTGAGCACGGCTTCGAAGTCTTCGGCAACCATTCTGTGGGATGAGGAGCAGAAAAAACGAGGGAGAGGTGAGGGGGAAAAGGATCGTGGAGGAGCAAAAGCTGTCCGAGGCTGGAGTCGGATTTGGAGCTGGCGATGATGATTATGGTGGGGGAGGCTCACGCCGACGCGGGGCTTTTTGGGTCCTTGGAGGAGCGGCAGAGTTGGCCGATGGAGTCGCAGCATGGGCTCTGCTCTTGGGTCTCTGGAGCGCTGTCTGTCTCTGATTCTAGCGGGACAGGGTGGATGTTGCTGTCTATAGAGGCCACTCAACGTGTAGTTCAGGGTCCGAGATTTTTTGGTCTTCTCATGCACTCCATCGAAGATGGCCGTATTTCTGTATGCTGGGGGACTTTTTGTGCGCTAAAGAGAGAGAATGGATGGGATCCATTCTTGCGGCCGAGGTCGGTAAATATCCTCATGAACATGAGTGGCAGCAGCAGATACAAGTGCTGAGCTCGGTTACAATATGATCATACAGGGTATAGATGCAAGTCGTGTGCAGAGGACCTCACTCTCATCTGCTGTCTTTGTTATAGCTTTTCAAGCATGGATGCCGTAACAGGCAATAAAGCAAAAGCTACAGGACCCTACAGGACCCCCAAAGGCCTCAAGAGCTCTCGATTCCTGGAACAAAGAACTGCTAGAGTCTGGTAGCTCCAATCTAGGGACTCCGCTCGCTGGAAATGGATGGCTCGTCTCCACAGCGGCTGTCAGCGGCTTTCGTATCACTTACACACGCCAGCATATGGACTGATTGTAGCACTGCAATTCTAATATATCCACCATTCACTTGGTAGGACTCATCTGTGACTACGCCGTCAGTTGACCTGAATTCTCGCCGGGAGCTACTACATCTGGCACTTACATGGTCACACCTACCAGTTGTAGGTACATGTAAGTACTTCTCGCCTTTGATTTTCCATCTAGGTGCATAGACAACAAAAGCAAAGAAGTGGTCATGTAACGAGCACCTCCCTTGCAGGCACTGGGCTTCAGGGGCGTGGAATTAATACACGTAGCATATGACGCTCCGGTTTTTGCTCTATACCAGTTTCAGTTCGGTGCAACCTCAGCTGCTCCGGCAGTGATCCGGATATGCAGCGATCCGGGTATGCAGCTACGTTTCCGCTACACTTGCACGGGCCAAAGCACCTCTTCAACGCTTTTGATCTTTCACTGTTTGGCCTCCCGTTCCTTAGGACAGACAATGCTGTGCTAAGATAAACGGTACTAGTGTAGCTCATTGGCGTGGGGTGAATTGCTTCAACGTCTCGGGCTCTCCTATCCTCAGAGTCTCTAAAAGCGAGTCCATCATTCTATTGATTGGGCTTTCTAGCCTAACAGATGTTGAATATCATTAGGTATTGTAAAAATGAGTACGTCCATACAATTGAGCAGTACGAGCAGCACTGCGACCGGAGACTTCACACTCTCCGGTGGCTGCGTCATGGATCTTTGCGTGTCGATCACTTGCCCGGTCTCAATTCCTTAACATTACCAGGCTGCGGTCAAGTAGATAGCAATAGTCCAAGTCTGGCTACATGTACTTGATTGCCTGATTCGCGGCTCCTCATAGAGTGTTGCGTATTAGACGATAAGTGGGTACTTTGTACGCCTCTCGTCGAGCACATACATACAGAGACCCCTGGCTAAGATCGACCACTAACACCATTCAGCTCAGCTCTACGACGCCCCCACGATAGAAAGTCATATCACGTCTTGCCATTTCCTAACCGTTTACATCATCCGCCTCAGCATATCTAGTGCCGGGGCTCGCTTAGATCCTTGTGCCACAACCTCTCCCTTGGATACCGGATAGTGTGATATCCAAGCCAGCCAGCCAGCCTCACCGCAAGAGCAAAGCTGTAAAAGACCGAGACAAACATCATCATGCCGAGTCCCATTTTTTCTTTTCTTTTTTTACATAGGGGGCTTCTGACCAGCCAGCCAGTGTCCTTTCGGCCCTACTTGTTATTAATGACTGATACTCTCACCGAAATCTCGTGTGATAGAGTAGAGTAGATTCAAGGAGGGGCGTGATTGCAGTTGCAGTCCGCGGAAATACAGCTAGACGATGAGAGATTAACATCAATAGTGCCAAATCTGAGTACTTTGGCGGGCCTGAATAGGTAGATCCTATCTTTCTTCGTCGTATCGGCTTTGAATAGCCGTGGGCGGCGGACCTGAGGAAATCGTAGGCTGCCATCACGTCGTCATCGCTCGAGACAGCCGCCAAGAGCATCACAAGGTATCAAAAAGCAACCAATAATCTGTTTCAGTACCGCAGCTGGCTCAAGCACACCGGATCCTTTTCTGATTCGTCGGAAGTGACCGAGTGATCTACACCATAGGCGCAAAATAGTTCCATTTCCAGACATGGAGCCCTCTCTCAGCCCATCACCGGACATGGGTCATATTGACATCTAATTAAGCATTCATGTAGGTCAAGATATTGCATGTGACGGGACAGAAATAGAGTCGGAATCGGCATGTTCCGCGCCACATACCCACCTCGATGCCCCATATGGGGAGGACGGCAACGATCCTGGGGCTGATCAGTTCTGTCAAACCAAGTAGGCGGAAACTAATGCAGCGCTCCGATTCGTTAGCTCGTATAATCAAATGGCTTAGCTAGCTTCAAGGTGAGGCTCATAGAGGGTGATGAGTGTATTATCAAACAGTTACCGGCAGATACGCCCTATGCAACTGTCAGAAAATCTACACCCCTGTCCTAGGCGATCATGCCGTCTGTATATGGTGCCACCGGTTACACAAATGTTCAGGCACTCCGGTAGTGCTTTTGTATTGCAACAAAAAGGATGTAATACGAATACGAATGTAAAAGCAAAGAGTATCACGAGGGGAAAATTGCCCGAGTCCTTGCTAAATTCAAGTCGAGACTGCTCTCATAGTTTGGATCCACTAACACCTCCCAGTATTCATGCGTATGCCATCTTCTCTGTCTCGACTTTCTTCCAGTAACCATACACGGACCTGATCAATTAATCTCATATCAACCGTGATTAATGAGAGGATCATTATCAGGTACCCGGCAGGGAGAGCCAAATGGAAGACGAGTCAACAGCATATCCTGGTCTATGGATGGCACATAAGACACAAAAAAACGTTGTTTTCAAGGAATCTTGCATGAGCTTCTGTAGGTAAATATAACGGTAGATCCCCGTTTGGTAACCAATCATACAGCGAAAGATGGACCCGGTGTAACCATTCGCATGTCAAAAAGTCCAACTAGTCTGGGCTTTCAGCACTTGGATAGGCTAATAGACTGAAACATATTGCAACTAGCTTGTCAATAGACTTTCTCTATCTGTCTGTCTATCTCTAAAGGTTTCCAAGGCGGGTCTTGTTAAAATGAGGCGAGGTGTCTTACCTGTGACCTGACAGTTCCGCTAGGAGTAGCTGCGGACTTCGGGAACTTGGTAGCGCAGTCACACGAACACCTGTTCCAGGCACAAGCAGATGATAAACAAGGCAAATAAATACCATGAAATTTGTATGTAGCTTTATTGACTGTACCACCTTGCCAGTTGTTCTGTGAGAACATATGCTTGGCTGTTTATGATACCAAAGTCCTAGCTACCTACTCAATCCTCCTGCACCGCAGGAGATCAGGCAATACACACGAAACTCCACTACTAGGCTTTAGTATATATTAAGAGTTCTATTTTATATCTACTTCCCAACACTACTATCCGTCTTCCATGTATAATACCTCTCAGAACCGTAAGCCCCACACCTCCTATTCGTCCTTGTCCCCCGGATTTAAATAGGCTTCCGCGCCTTAAATCGTGCCCTGACTCTCATTTGAAGAGAAAACAATCGGATAATGCAGCATCCCGCGAGGCCCCCCTTGTTTTCCCGGTACTACTGATACCTGCAACTACAGGCATTGCCACATAACAAGCCTAGGTTCTCCACAGCTGCTTGCCACTTATTGTAGGGCTGGTATGGGAGACCGGCGAGACACAGATGGGGTTAAGCACAGATCTAACATGTAACCCTAGCCGCTGCCAGTAAGTCTGCTTTACCTGACCCCTCTGCCGTCAGCTATCACCTTAGCCGAGGCAGCCTTATCTGAGACATACGCTTAGTAGCAGCAGAGCATCGTTCTGCCCGGAAAGGTTGTCAGTTGTCATTTTGGCTGCACCCCCCTTCCCCTGTCCCGGAAACCCGGTTAGCGTTCAGCCTCATCTTGGCGCAGGGACAGAGGGTGATCATACAACTGGGCCAAACGTCTTCATGAACCGTAGGCGTTGGCTGTCAAAGGGGCATTAAGATATGTGAGCATCTACTTTGACTTTTAGGGGTTCTTTACGTGAGCGAATCAATGGAATGAACTAAGTAAAAAAATTGCAAGAAAGAGAGAAGAAGCGCTGGGGCACAAAAGCTAGAGAATTATATGAGGTGAGGGGAAATTGCCCACCAATACCACTACTGTGTGTAGCAAACAAACTCGCATATGAGTCCTTGGGTACACTTTTTTCAGTTCAAGACAAACCATTGCATGAGCTGTCCAATCGTGAAGAGAGCATCACAACTGACCCCCCCTGCATATTGGCTCTGTCCCCCACTGGGCTGGGTTTGACCACGGTCATCAGATTCAAATGCCATCAAGCCTCATGTCACTTGTACCTAGTGATTCTATGCCACATACTGGGTGTATCCTTGGAATTTGGAGGTCTATAGGCTCCTATTTCAAAAGCATAGTGTCAATTGAACTGGTGGTACGTAGGTGTCTGACTTGTTATCCTCCTTGCCCACAATTTAAACACGCTTCTTATGGGAGATGTAGGCTTCCTCTCGTCTATATAATGCGGCTTTCTCGCCCTCATTTTTCCAAAATAAAAACCCAGACTCTCAGCACAGCTTCTTTACGCAATCTCAGATCCTCCAAGCCAATAGTCATTCTATTATTGTCAACACTTGAGCATTATCCTCTCTCAGCAACATCTTCTTCTCAAGATTTCACCCAACATCTTCAACATGGCCTCCAGCTACACCATGAGCTTTTCTCCTCCCATGCAGATCACAACCAAGCCACAAAGTCCCATCAAAAGCGGCACAAACATCAAGATCACGGCCAAGCTAGCCGTCGCGGACCCAACTGGAAACTACATGGCCCATGCAGACGCTCTCGATGCAAATGGCCAAGAGGTCAACGGTGTCCTCAAAGGACAATTAGCTGCCTCATGGGAGCCAACGAATGGTGGCAATGCTGCCGAGACCATTGTGTTCAAGTTTGACCGTATGAACATATCTGAACCTGGGTCGTACCAGATCCGTATCCAGGCCTACAAGCAAGTCGCTGGAGGCATCAATCAACTCACCAAAACTACGATCCTCGTCCAAGTAATTGCTTAATTTCAGCAGTAGGTAAGTTCAGTCTCACCGCAGTATTTTGGGGAGAAGCAGAATATTGCTAGATGCGCTGACGCTTTTGTCCCTACAATAAAGCATAATGGTTTAATCCATTCAAGATCAATACACGCCGATCTGAACTGTTGTACATGGATATAGGTGTAGGAATTGGAAAAGATGGGACGCTAATATATGTAATTGAGGGAATCATGGAATTGGGGTGGATAGGGTCTTTTGGCGATTGCATGTCAGTTTGTTTTTGCTCTTGGGAATCACGGATAGTTATCCGTGGATAGTTTTAGATAGCTCTAGATAGTTTTGGTACGCCAGTTTGCAATACTTCTCATACAAGTGTATCTCCACGGCGATGTGTCATCCTGCGCATTTACGTAGTTGATCACCCCTGCTTTGTTAGACATGGTTACTTCAGCTTTGATCCCCATAAATTGGAGAAGCCTGCAAAAACTTCCCCACTATCCGTTGAAACTAAGGCTCGGATCGTTAAATCCCGAGCAAAAAGGCTAGCCACAGCGTAGTACTAGTGAGATAATCATATGCACAGTGATTGTTCACCGTCGGCTAAGCGAAAGCTGAGACTCACAGCCAGCCAGATAGGCAAGGAAGCTATAGGTATGTTCAAAATGGGTCCCCAGTAAAAAGGGAGGGAAAAGAAGCAGATGGAAAGAGAGCGAAACGCTTGTACGCGCCTTGTCAAGAGACTAAGACGATTACAGCTACTACGCCCACAAGAATTCCAATAGTGCATAAAGATACGAATGTTTGCTGTCAGGTAGAGGGTGGGTGTCTCTTGGGAAGATTCAAGAGATACACATCCAGGGTCACTATTGGGCTGATGTGGCTCTTCTGAGAGGGGCGTGATTCATGAGACCGGGGAAAGAAGCAACGAAACGGAACGTATCTTACTACAGCGCATGAAATGGAGTGGAGAGAGGAGCCACAGACCCAAACTCCGCCGCAGAAGTGGAGGAGGGCAAAGGCGGAAGCTTGAGAGCCGACAGGATTGTGGCTTGTCTAAGACAGGGCTGAAAAGGAATAGGAAAGGTATTGGGAAAGCTGAATGGAGGTGATGAAAAGAAAGGCTCTTCTCATAAATTACCATAAACAGAAATACGGGAGAGTGCTGCCAGATAGGATGCCGTCATAGATGTAGTTTATGTGCTTATCCTATACGCCCGATTTCTGTGTAGTCGTCTTCGATGACAGTGAACAAGATCTAGCCAAAGATTGTCTCTTGTGCCCGCTCGCTGTATAAGTGGCTCCTCTTTGGACATAATCACTTGTACACCTAATTTATCTGTTTAATCATGTTGCTCGTATAAGCAATATTGAATAGCTTGCGTCGATATGAGATTGAAATCGTAGCAAGTAGTACATAGATTCAACTACAAGTCCTGTTGACAGGGGTGGTAGCACAGACATGGGCCCTTGCCTTGGATCTCTCTTTGCTTTTTGCCGAAAACTTTCGGACTTTACTAACCATACGGCTGGATTCTAGTGTTTGCACGCCCTTTTGACAGCCTTTGATAGGGCGTGATGAGAGAGAGGGCGTGAGCCAAAGAGGCCTTCTCAAAGAGGCTACCTCGTTTCATTTTGTTTCTCATCTCTATTTCTCTTTCGGTGCTCTCCATGAGCAGCCTAGATGGATAAGCACGGACGTAATGACGGCCCGCCGGGTGATTGCCTAATAGCCTATCGAAGCGGATTTGCAAAGTATGGTAGAGATTGTATTTTCTGGGGATTGGATGTAAGGGAGATTTGGTGATGGCCAAAGCATATAGCATCCAATGAAATACATGTACCTTACTGGCTGGGAAGCCAAAAGCACAGAATTCGGAGATTTCAAGTACAAGAAGCTGCAATTATACACACATCAAATAGTAGTCTTACAAAAATTGAAAGTATTCTTCGTAGTCATTTAGATACGGGTATTTGTTTGCGATTCTCTTAATTTAGCACAAAACGAAGTGCTAATAAGCTACACCAGGCACATTCAGTAGCCTAAACACTAAACACTAAACAGAGCGGCAGCGCCCAAGAAATGATGTGGATCACGTGTCTCAGCTGGTCCCCACACCCGCGCAGCCTCTTTTCGGCCTGGCCTTGAGACGAGCTTTTGAAGAGGAGCTTAAAGGAAAGCCTCGGATAACAGCCAGCAGCTGGAGGCGGCGCTGGGAAAGTTCAGAAAGCAGCCTGATCTTTAACTGAGACAAAACAGCTTTGGTGAGACCAAAAAAGGGATACGAGCGAAAGGAAACCGGGGAAAAAAGCAGAAAAGGAAAGCAAAAATGGTGTATTATTTCACGTCCAACGTGGTTGAGCCGGCGGGCTTCATCTATGTGGGCAAAGATAAGTATGAGAGTGAGTTTGCTACCCACTCACTCACCGAAGAGCTGAGGACGTTGTCTAATGTTTGCGCGCGCTTATTCTCTGTGCAGATGAGGACTTGATCAAGTATGGCTGGGAGGAAGATGTCTGGTATGAGGCCTTACCCCCGGATTTAATTTCATAGCTGACTCTTTCATCTAGGGTATGAGGAAAAGACTTCAAGCTTCAATTACTTTGATGGAAATTGATAGAGAGTTTTTCTAGTTCCACGTCGACAAGCTTTCCAGCGCCCACATCTACCTTCGCATGCAGCCTGGCCAGGCTTGGGATGACTTGCCCCAGGAGCTGGTCATGGACCTGGCGCAGCTCACAAAGGCAAACTCAATAGAAGGTTTGCTTCTTTCATCTCTATCGAATACTTCTTCATGAGAATCTCACGCAATTGGTTCTCTAGGAAATAAGAAAGACAACATCACCGTCATCTACACCCCGTGGGCCAATCTCAAAAAGGATGGAAGCATGGACGTCGGCCAAGTCAGCTTCCACGATCAAAGAAAAGTCAAACGCATCCTCGTCCCCAACCGCGAGAACCCCATCGTCAACCGCCTCAACAAGACCAAAGTCGAAAAGAAGCCCGACCTCAAGGCTGAAAAGGACGACATGCTCAAGCAGCTACGCGCCAAGGAGCAGGCAGCACTGCAAATCAAGGTACGTGTGCATTTTCGCAAAAGACTGCTGCCTTGCATAGGCTACAACTTCGGGGATGCCGACTGATCGTTTGGCTAACCAATTTTCCAATGACAGAGAAAAGAAGAACAGCGACAAGCTCAGGAGTGGAAAGAGAAGAAATGGCAGAAAGACCACGCCTACGATGAAATATTCACCGAGGAGAACATGGCCGCGTCGAGCAACCAAGACCGGGCGGCGGATTGGGAAGACGATTTTATGTAGATCAATGGGCGATATTCACGAGGACCATCTAGAAAGCGATTATAACAAAAATTCAAAATATCATTGCCTAGCTGTGAACCTGTTCCTTAAAAAGTAGGGTATTGCAAGAGAAAAAAAACCATAGTACTACTCAAAAAATTTGTGATCCAAACTAAAAGCAGAATATTCTCCAAGAGATGACATGATAATAGTGTCCCATCGATTCCGTCCCATACCCAATACCAAATGCTCTTTATTTGCGTTACACATTTACGTCAACCCTCCGATTGCCAATCTTTATACTGTTCATCTTCCTAGTGATGCTTGACATCTCAGACGGAACTTCTAGTCTGATTGGACTTGACGAGGCGGTCGGTGATGCAATTCTCTTTGGGCTCGACGGCTGGCCGACAAGCAGTGGAGGCAACTCCTCATCTTCATCATCGTCATTGTCTTCATCAAAAGCCTCTTCTTGGTCCTCTTCCTCCCGCTGCAGACTGCCATGTTTTTCGGGATCGCTAACCATCACAACAGGCTCGCCTCCTGGCAGTCGCACCTCGGATGCTTCCAGAGTCTGCGCAATGTCAAGGAGCAAGACGTCCATAGGGCAAATGTAAGCCACGCGCTTGCGCTGACTCCAGGCCAATACATGCCCGCAGAGCTGCCCGTGCTGCCGATCGACAATCCAGGCACCACTGTCTCCTGGTATTCCAAGAGGATAGGAAGGCTTCGTGTCTTGCCCTGTGGTAGCAGATAGAATGCTGGCGATTTGATATGTATGACTCGGAGACTGACGTCCGTAAATTTTGACGCTGGTCAAGGCCGGTAGGATTTGCCCAGTCTGTGAACCGCTGGTTCGTGCAACGCATTGCACCTCCAGGCCGGGAAGTGCTGACCACGGGGCCACGGTGGTTGGCCGAAGCATCGGCTGATTGCTCTGGGCTTTCTTTCCGAGTTTGCGGGACCTTTGGGTTCCACCATCCGATATTTTAGGGATCGAATTGTCCTCGGGCAAACGTCCGTCAGAAAATTCGAAAAGGGCCCAGTCAACTTCATGGATCAATCCATTAGCTTCCTTGCGGCGAATACCGCTGGAAGCATACACTTCACCAAGGCTGAAAGTATCAAGATGGTCTTCATCTTCGGTCTCGGCATAAGGGTAGAAGCCTTCTTCCACGTCGTCTAGGGCAGGCTGAGTGACTATGTAGCCATCGCCACACCCGGGCTCTATGCCTGGGATATCACCAGGTTCACTATACTCTTCGTCTTCCTCCTCTTCATCGTCGTAGTCGCTAGTGAGGTCTGTTTCAGAATAAGGCTCTGATTCCGTGTCGGACAGTTCATACGAGTAGTCATCGCCATCGAAGCTACCAAATGTCGACTCAGGCTGCCACTCGCGCCCTGGAATAGCGCTGCTACGCGTGGTATCAGGAACTCCAAAATCGCGTTCCGGGTCGTCGAGCATGTGGTGAACGGTCATGCCATACGTCTTTTCGTCAACAATGACAAGACCGCCAAAGCTCACCGGAGGCAAGTGTCGGTCTCCAATCCAAGCCCCAATGCTTGCACCATTGTTGGGCTTCTCTTGGTATTCGGGATTGACAGCGTCGACATGTTCGTCATCGCTATCATGGCCCGATGGATGTCCACTGGATCTGCTTCCTCGCGCCATGGATCTCATGATTGATCCTTGTCGTCGCGATCTGATGACGCTGCCACGGCACACCTTGAGACCAAAGCCTGTGGAATCGTCAAACAGCTCACCCAGCTTCTTCTTCAAGATGGCACGGACTTTGCCAACAGATGTGCAGACCACCAACACAGTAGGCCTGGTCTGGTGAGGGGTGGGCCCTACGGATTCGAGAGATATCTCCACGGACTCGGGGTGTTTGCGATAGAATGATTTGAGAGCGATGTTGATCTGAGGCATGAGGATGGAATTCCATTTGTCCACAACATCTGGAGGTAGCGGTACATGTGGATACAATCGAACCTTGGCTTCCGGTTTGCCTTCTTTTATTTCGGGCTCTATTCCATTGTTAGCTATTGCCTCTTCTTAATGCATCAATGGGAGCGGGTAGTCACGTACCATAGGTCTCAATGCCCTTGTTTTGGGTATAAATTGGGGCTGGCACTGGTGGTGGAGGAGGTTTCTTCGTAGGCGCCGCAGGGACTGGCATTGCCTTCTTGTCTTTAGAGCCTTTAGAGTCTTTCGAAGGCCCTATAGTGGGCAATGGAGCAGCTTCAATAGGGGATGGCTCATGGCCCAGCCTTTCCTCGAATCCACTGACGCCATCGAGAATGCAGCAAGCCTCTAAGAACCGCGTAACGCGCATCTGCACACCAGAGAGCAGGGATTCGCCCTTGACCTCGCCAGAAAGCTCGTCGTCGACAACTTTCCAACAGGCTTGGACGGCTTTCATGTACAGTGTACCACATCTAATGGCCAGTGTATCCAAAGCAGATTCTGGAACAGTTGTGGGCGCTGCGTTTGGTGCGAGGCTCTCCAACTTCGTCCATAGTCCAATAGACAGAAGTACCATTGCTAGGGAGTATACTTCCAAAACTCTTTCATCAGTAGACTTTGGAAGAGGCGATGTCTGCGTAGCTCGAGGATCGAGGGGGTGCTGCCATATCGAATTCGTAATTGAAGATTCTTCAGTGAAGACGTCGAAAGAAGACAACACAGGTCGGCGAATATCAACATGTCCCTTGCCGTCGCTATCCCCTGGCGCTGTGCCTTTGCTAAACAAGATGTTGGCGTCGGAGAGATTTCCGTGGGTGATGCCTCTAGCATGCATATCAAACACTGTATTTGCGAGGTTATATGCAAAGCGGAACTTTGCCTCCAGCGGAGGTTCTGAATCGCCACGAGCAAGGAGGTCGTTCAGTGTAGGCAGACTGTACTGGGGGTTTTGGCTCACACGATTGGAGGCCAAGGTGTTGAAGGAAGGCGGGAAGAGATAGACCAAGCCCAGTCGAGAGTTCTCAAGATCTTCAAAGTAGCCGAGCAGGCGAGGTAGGCCAGTCCACGAGCCAGGAGCTCTCTGGGGATCCCGTTGAAGACCAGCAGAAAGCTTCTCGAAGCGGGCCATAGGGGGCATGATGCCCGTAGTCGAATAGATTGGATCAAACTCTGCATACTCAAGGAGCAGAGGGGCCCAGGGTTGTCTGGTAGCACCCTGGGTTGTGAGTTCCGAATAAGCTGTCTTACTCATGTAAACGACATGTCGACGAGATGCTGATATGGTGCTCAACCCATCTTGCAAAGGTTGCAAGTGTGTCAAGCTCTTGGGGTCAAGCTGCTGAGGAGTCTGCATCCGCGTTGATTCGAATGGTCGAAAATCTCCTTCCGAAGCAGAAGCCTTGGACGTCGACTTTGTTACCGGGGAGTTCAAAGTGTCAGATGAGCGCATACGCGATAAGTCGTAGAGGGTATCGATGGAGGCAGTGAGATCATGAATTAGACCCTCAAATCGCCCTTTATCCCATTGAACAAGCGGTGCTTTACGATCAGGTGATGGTCGAACTCCCTCAACGACTCGCTTATAACTCAACCATAGAGGCTCGGCTTCGGCAAGGATATCTTTAATAGTGGACATGATGCTGCCGACGACCTCACTCAGGCCGGCCTTGGAAAGAGACTCATCGATTTCAGCAGACTGGTTAGGATCAGACCATTCCAGTCCCCAGCTGACAAAGCGATCCTTTTGGATGCGCAATTTGCGATAGAGCGCCTTGATCTCGGGGTCATCTTCATGCTGAGCAGGCTCCTTGACAAAATCGCTGGACTTTTTGGTGTCGTTGTAAAGCCGACTCAGGCGACGCTGAAAGGGCAGCTGGAAGCCGCCCATCGGCAAGATAGACTCCATCTTGCGCTTAGGGAGAAACGGGGAAACGCTGCTCGCCAACTGCCACTCCTCCTATTGCGCTGCCTATATATTGGATGTTTGCTGTTGCCTGAAGGGGACCCTGTTATGATAACTCGATCAGGCACTGGGGCCGCACCCGGTTAGACCGGGGACGCTCAAAGCGGATCTCGAGCTGGACCTCTCGCCTGACCTCGAAGCCGCAGCTGCAGGGCGGATAGGCGTATGTGACTGCGACGTTTGATTCACGCGCGATGCATCGCAGCACTAATCAGCGTCGCAGATATCCAAGGGCGGCTGGGAGAGCAACGGGCCAATCCAATGCAGGCACCTGCGCATGCACCCGAGGAGGGGCAAAAGGCAATCCCAGGCACTGAGCTTAAAAAATGACAAGACGTGCGCTGCAAGACATGCGCCAGAGCGGCCTTGAAGAAACGGATTAGGCAGAAGAATTGCAATCGGAGAAATACCGAGCCTGTGCTTGCTGCGAGATGGACAGCGCGGCCAGGAACCAGATCGAGCGGCTGGTGAGCGTTTATCCAGCCGACGGTCGTTATCGAGGTGAAACTCGAAACTCGCTGCCTTGCGGTGGCACTGCGGCTCAGCACCGTGTGGACAGCAATCGTTCGTTCGTGTAATCCGCCAGTAATCCGCCAACAGCCCAGCTTTTCTTCCCTTGCCCAGCTGTCCCGTCCCTTCTCGGCTTCCCAAGGGTTCAACTCGCGGGCCTAAATCGCCATCCCCGCAACGCCTGGTGGGGGACGGACACCCAGAACGGGAGGGCTGGCGAATCGCCATCGGGGAAAAATCCTGCTGCCTGGTGTCTTTGGTGGCGACGGATGGAGCTGATTGGAGGATTTAAATGGCACCGGGGCTGATCTTGGAGTCTCTAAAGTGTGGTTTGAGAGATTGCAATAATACGAGCAGATGCCATGCCACGTGATGGCGATTACTATTCGAGATCACATGACTTTGCACATGTCTCTCGCGAAGTTGAAGTTCAACAGTGTCTAGATTATTGTAATTGTAATTATGGTTTTTTCATTTCGAGATAGACAATAGAAAAAAATACATGATATTCTCGTTATTTCTCACACCTCACGCAGAGATATTTGGTTGTCCTCCGTCTAGGCATACTTGATTGTAAATGCCGGGGACTCGCTTACATACCAGTCCTCCTTCTTCTTCTCGTTACCGAAAATGCGCAGCGCATGAAAGACGACTTTATACGTTCCAGGGGGCGCAAACTTGTTATCAGTCAGCTCGCCGCTCCAAGAGATTGGAGTGGGACCTCGGCTCTGCCACAGAAGAGGGGATCCACTGGGCTGGCCAATGGACGTGGTATCAAAGAACTTCTTAGTCGTGATCTTGGTGCCGTGAGGAGGCGCTGATAAGAGAACGAGATCAGCACGAACAAGCCGCGTTCCAAGAGCTGGGCTGACGACGAGAGCGGGAAGTATATCCGAGGGCCCAGCATTGCCGGGGCCGGGAATCGTAAATACGGTTCCGTTGGCAACAGGGTTCAGGTTTGTGTCGGTGGAGTTGCTAATCCACGAATCCTCCGGGAAGAGAACCTGCTGCTTCTGTAGGGAGCCGGTCAGGCCCTGGTATGGGACGGAAAGTTGCGAGCCATCGGTGCCGTTTACTGTGATGTAGCCCGACCACAGGCCAAGGCGCTTGGCATCCACGCCTCGGGGAGGTGTAGGGGAGACATCGATTGTGATTGACCTTCCGGCAGGGAGAGTCACCTGCTGCTGGCTGAGCTTGACGGAGGCGTGAGACGCAACGGCGTCGTTGGGGAAGGGAGCTGCGTAGCCGCTGCTGTTCGCCAGAGTGTAGAATGTGTCAGTGGGAACATGGCCAATCTTGTAGGTGACTCTGTTCTTGCCGGTGTTCTTCAGAGTGATTTGTCGCTTTGAAATGAAGTGGTCGGTGTCGTTGAACGACAGGCTGGATGGGGAGAGAAGAGTGGTCGCAAAGGCTGCATCGTAGGCCTGGATGAGACCACCGCCTTGTTGAGCAACTGGAGCGAGGAAGTCGTAAAACTTGGCGCCGTCGTTGAACAGCTGGGGGTTGGCAGTAGTAGCCAGGAGATTCTCAAGTAAGACAGGGTCAAAGCTGGAGCGGGCTTGAGCCACCAAAGCAACAGCAGCAGCAGTCAGTGGACAGGCCATTGATGTGCCGGAGAGGGTTGCATAACCACCAAGAGCAACGGGATAGGTAGACAAGATGTTGCCGCCCGGAGAGCTAATCTGAGGCTTGACGTCCATCTCCCAGGTAGGGCCCCAGCTCGTGTAAGTGCTGAGGGCGCCGCCAGTCGCCTTGTTGTCAGCGAACTGAACCTGTTTAGTAGCTTCATTCAGAGCAACCACTGACAGAGTGACAGTCTTTCCGTCCTTGATGGCGGCAATCCAAGTCGCTCCGGTGGAATCCTCGACCATACCGGCGCCGATAATCTGAGGCACAGAGCTGACATCGACCGACAGGGCGCCGGCAATGGTGTTATAGTAGAGGAGATACTTGCCGCCCTTGGCAGCAACGTTTTGAGCCTTCTGGACAAAGGTGCAGGAACCTCGGCGGACAAGAACAATGTAATCTGACAAGTCAGGGGTGTTGTCAGGGAGAGGAGAGCATGCGTCGTCTGCAATCGTCGTGTCGAGTGTCAAAGCATAGACGGGCTTGGTAACGCCCTTCCAGCCTTCGGCTCCCTTGGACGCAGGCACATAACCGAATTCTGTGTCAGCACCGTTGTCAATCTTGTAGCTGGAGAGCGAAAAGACGGTTGGGATGTTCTGGTTATCAACAGAAGCAACAGCGAGGACCTTTTTGCCGTTGGCCGCCGTGCTGGCGTAGAATAGGCCATGATCGCCATCGTTACCGGCAGAGACTGTGCATGGAACGCCAGCGTTGACAATTCGGGTGACAGCAACCGCCCATGGCTCTTCGGCCCAGCCAGACGGACCTCCAATGGAAGCTGTGATGATTTGAGCGCCGTCTTCAAAGGCCTTGTTGTATGCGGCGATCAGGACATCGTTGCCGGCCTGGCCTTCACAGCCAAAAACCCGATAAGCGCCGAGAGTTACATCAGGAGCACCACCAATGAACCCGTATTGATTCTTCTGTGCGGCAATGATACCGGCAACGTGAGTGCCGTGGCCGGCGCAGTCCTTGGGATCATTGTCAGGCACAGGAGTATTGAAGCCGCTGTAGTCATCGCCGACCAAGTCGGTACCAAAAGACACCAAGCAACCTGCGCCATAGCAGCCACCCAGAGCAGGGTGGGTATAATCAATCTAGTATCTCATAAGCTTATGTCTGCTGGCTCCGTAGATTGGTTTCCACTTACACCTGTGTCAATCACCGCGACCTTGATGCCCTTGCCGGTGTAACCCTTGGCCTGTAGCTTGTCGATCTGGACCATCTTGTGGGGAGGAAAGTTGCCAGCATCTGTCGGGGGTGGGTACACATCTCTAGACTGAATACTGGAAAGAGAGTTGGTACCGGCAACCCACTCGACTTTCGGATTGGGGGCCTGGATCAGGGTCACCGGCCACATGTTCTTGACGGCAGGCAGCTGGGCCATCTTCTGGGCTTTGTCTTCATGGTTGGAAAGATCTTTGAGTTGGACCGAGACGCCTTTGAACAGCTTGTAGTCAAACTTCATGCGGGTCGAGCCTTCGCCATTGAGCTGCTTATAGAATTCGGCAGTATCCTAATTGCGCATCGTCAGTATTTCCACGCTCGTAGCTGCTATGCTACATGCCAATAGCCGAGCGAGTAACTCACATGATCATTCTCGAATTCGAAGATGTAGGCGCCCGGGACGATTTTCGATGCGTGACCAGAGCCGCGAGCGATGGCTCCCGTTATGGTCGCCAGCAGCGACACAAACAAAGCTGAGCGAACCATCGTGAAATGCCGCTTGCTAAGAAGTGAAAGTGCTAAAGCGACGCAATGCTTGCAGAAAGATGAGTCAAGACAATGACCCGTACGCCAGGCTCTGAGCGACCAGAACGCTGCTCTCTATTTCCATCGAGGCGATGGGATACCCCGAGTATAAGTAGTCGCTCCCTCGAAATAAGAGCATGGACCCTGCAGTCGGCTGGAGCCGTCGAACATGGTTCGTTCCAGACATTTCTCTCCATCATGGGCCTTTCATCGCTACAACGGCTTAGAACACGATGTTGGACGCGCACCGATGCAGTAGCCAAGACACGGCCAACGGTCATTGGGGGACTTGGAAGCTCTCATTACCCCCCTGCAGCTGTAGCTTCAGGGGTCCGAGACCTTTTGTTCCATGCTAGCCGCACATGATATTGGGGGCAGTCTTTTTGTAGTACAAATTGCATCCGCCAAGATCAATATCTCATATGAATTGGCCCAGTGGGCAACTGAGTTGAGCACGCGATGAGAATATCTGCGGAGCTAATCTCTCACCGGCCGACATACATTAGATCGAAATCGCCACTATCATTTTTGCCTGCCTCATTGGGACGGTCGGCCGTGCGACTGGCTTCTAGTCTCTAGACAATGCTTGGGCCACAAGGGAGTCCCAGCTACGCGGCGGAGTTGGTCGGTAGCCGCCGATACAGCGTACTTAAATAGTACTATGTGCGATATCAGTCTAGGTATTAGCTGGACTGCTTGGTTTTCTTTGTATTACATGCTATACCTGGCGCATGACCTATATAGTCCTTATCGGCGAAGAGGGTGAAGCAGGTTCCTTTGGGAATTTGCATCTCTGATTTAGTGGCGAAAAGGGCTCGTAGTGCAAACCACGAGCAAGGACCAGTTCTCGGGAGCCTACAGACCTGCACGGCTGTTTGCATATACTAGGTAGAGGCAGTATAAAGAAGCTCTTTGACGACCAACAGCAGAATCCCATACTTAATCTCGCAGTGCGAGGATAGCCCCAATGCGACCCAGTGAATATCCATTCTAGGAAGAAATCTTTCGACCGGAATGCGCCGCGAGGCGCAAGACGATGACGGCGCAGAATCACCTCGATATCTCGAGCGGCGAGCTGTTTCCAGCCGGCTCATTCATGTCGTACGACACTACTAAATTAATATACTACTGTGCTATGCCGGGGACCAAGCACGCAAGGAACCGTAGAAAGTCGTATCAGGCCCGCGAATAGCACAGAACCACGCTATTTGAAGCGGTTGTCGGCTCTCATGCAGGTCAAATTAGGTGCTCAATTCCCAGTAAGCTTGATTATTAGCTATTCTTACCGAGCAGTGCTACTCCGCACTCGGCCGTCGGTATGGGGTCTGTCGCTGGCGTTGCACCATCACCCTTGTCGCTTGAGCAAGTCTCGGCATACACTTCTGCTCGCCATTGGTGAAGCTGCTTTGTAGCATTGTGCCAGATACAGAAAAGCACCAGATTTCAAGCTCAGATACATATTACCGCAGACGAATATGTAGTGATCATATACATCGCAGCTATACGCGTAAACCGTACAGCTACGGCGGCGGTGAACGGGATAGAGAGGACACCGGAAGTCTACCAGTAGAGAGATAGTGGAGATATGTGCCGTTCACATGCCCTGTTTGTCAATCCAAAGATCCCGTTAGCAGCTGAGCACTGACCGGGTCTTGTATGGACTTTTGTATTTGCTCTTAGCTCATTCAGTAAGGTCGCAAATGAGCTTGTTGGCTGGTGCTCATCGTGGCTGGCCTCCGACGGGTACCTTTTTAACCTTGCCGCTTGCCAAGATAGCGCTGTCTTAATAATATGGGGCTGCTCTCGAGTCCATCTTAGTGCTACGACTCTGTCTGCCTTTGCAGGGAAGAGTACAAATGGGTCGAAATTCCAATTTTACAAGACGCTCTACAGGTAGACTAGTCGTTGCCAGTAACTGAGTCTGAGCGATAGCCAGCGCAGATGGATGATTTGGCCAAAAATTGATGGCCGGGCTAAGTCAGAGGACTGGATTCGAAGTGAAGAGAAATGCCTGAATCTACATAGCCGAAAGATTGGCCAAGAAGGTCGGAGCGTCGAAGCGTGCGGAGAACCCAGACCTCTTATCTAATAAACTTATAGGCCATAAAATGAGAGTCTAACCTGGACAAGGGCTGATTAACGTTTTGACAGATGAGGCACAGGGATCTTTTCCTTCACAGCCGCAACGCTACCCCAGATTCGGCATTCAGAAAAAAGTTCCTCGGAGCGCGCCCTTTCGACACATTGCATACAAATAGACGCTCTTGGCATGCTAAGATGGGCGACAAGAATCCCTTTCATTTTGCAGTGGCAAAATTACTACTGGGCTATCTCTTGGCTACCTATTCACGAGGTCTGCGTCTTACACTGGCTGTAGTTGATGCGCCCGGAGAGCCGACAATTTTCTTGACCCTTAACATAGCTATTGAGCTAACCAGTCTCATGGGCATCCCAACTTCAGAAACAAAGGTACTGTTCTTTGACAACCTTTTCATGTGCTTGAGATTTCACGGGCTGTATTTCACATGGCCCATAAGCAAATCTTCTAGAAACTATCACTGAGCTATTTCGAGTCCCTATAGCCCTGCGGCTTGTATCGAATGGCAATTCCAAGCTGCACAGACAGTCAACGTGTACAACGCGAGTTTACTTGAAAGTCTCAAAAGTCTAACAGCGGACTTTTCTGGCCACAAAGTTCCTGCATCTTGAATCGACTTGATGAAGTTCCTATGCTTGGCCATGATTTGAGCTAAACTTGTTGATTTCATGAGAAGCTTGAGATACGACGAATGGCATTGTTATTGAATGAATCCAATAGTTCTAGAGCACATTTAGCAATGTATAACTGATTGCCTATATTATCGCTTTCTAAGATAGCGCCCTAGTAGAAGAGTAGTGAATCTTAAGACTCAAACTGAATATCTATCTTACTGTAGGCTAGCGATCAAAGTCAGTCGTGTCTTGGGCATACCGCGAATCGCCGTGGGAAAAAAATTGCAGAATGGATATTGCACACTCAAGCAAAACGGTCAGATGCGCTCAGGCTCCCAATACATATTTAGAGGGCTTCTGAAGTGCAGGAATCGCCAAGTGTGGACAAGATAGTCGTAAATAATATGGGGCTTGGCTTCTGCTCTCCAAGAAGCGTAACTCTGTTTTCCCAAACAGCAACCAAACCGACAAGTACATAGCAGCCACCTTATACGTGAAGCGCTGATTTGCGTTCGAGCCGCTATGGCGGTTGAGGCTCCAGAGCCCTGCTTCATGCAGTTATACGGCGACGCCTATACTAAACCGGACAATATAGCATTCATACACTATGCATATGAGCTATAGTACCTATACAAACGATATTCTGTTGATAGAAAGCAGTGAGTTTTATTTCAGCTGTCGCAGGCTTGAACTGTAGCACAAGTACATGTTTCTAAGCTTGGCCAATCCAACAACCACGCTTCAACGATTGTTCAAGGAATAAAAAGTAGCTACGTATCCCAAAGCAGTTAAATTATATATTTTTATATAACGATGGCTGTTTTTGGTTTATAACGGTCGAGCCTTATTCAATTGAGCATTTTTATCTTTTCCTGTTCTGCAAGCTTGGGTAAGCAATCTGCACCTAATTTTTATTCCCAAAATCGATGTGTGTATGCTTCAATTTTCCATTAAGCATTACTTGTCCGTTTTTGTCTGCAGCTATCTATAAGTGAGAATAGGAAGCATAGTGGCCCAATAGAACATTGTCTTGGTTTTATTAATAAACCCAAATCGAGTTGCGCTTCATTATTACCATCATCTTCTAGCTGTAAATACTTCGTCTTGCACCAATTTACTTCCTTTACCTACCCTACTAGCTTACCTTCAATTCTCTTCGGCTTAGTGCTCCCATCTTATTCATGCTTTCCAATCGTTTTATCATCGCTTCGTCTTTATAATCTTGCTCCTTGAAGAGGTATTTCTCTCACTTTATGTTAATATCCTCGCCCGGTTTCCGCCTAGACGTGGAAACAAGAGAGAAAACTTGCGGAATCGCTGAGTCAGAAGCCCCGAAGCTCCGCACTTATCCCCGGAGCCAATGCAGCCCTAGGGCGCTAGACGCATTTTGTCTGGGGTGACAGTCGCCCGAAATGTTACAGGTAAGCTGGAGATAGGGAACAGGCGCCGATAATACGCGGGAGCGAGAACCGTTGATGTGACGCATAGTCATGGAGGATATATCCAGAACTTGCTGGCGAGGCAAAAGAAACTCACGAACAGCACAAGTTGTATAGGTTACTACAAAACTTCCTAGCTGTATGAACAATGGCAACAGTCGACTCATTTAAGTGTTAGCATGTTTAATTTACACATATCAAGTTCTCCTATCGTTGAACCAGTTGTCTAGCGGCTGTTGTTCTCACTCAAAACACAATGTAACCGCGTAAGAACGAATTCAAGGATATATATCGGCATCTTCAAATTGATGCTCTCTCTCTACCAGTGCTTCTCTGCAATATCTACAGTGTTCACATCAACACCGTCCTTGAACCACCTCTCTTCTTCGCTGATCTTTACATCATTTCCACTCATCTGGCGCTTCCTCATCAGCCCATTCTCCGCAAAAGTCCAATCCTCGAGGCCATAAGTGCGCCACCACTGTCCAGCCTCATCGTACCACTCATACCAGAATTGCACTGCAATCTTATTGTCTGTGAAAGCAAAGAGCTCCTTTCGCAGGCGATAGCCATTCTCTCTCTTCCATTTATCCGTGAGAAACTTCTGAATCTCGTCACGGCCTTGCAAGAAAGTGTCACGGTTACGCCAGATGGAATCCGGAGTGTACGCCAATTTGACGCCGGCTGGGTTTCTTTAACTTCTGGTAAGCAAACTCAAGTAGTAATAAGGGACGATATGTGATATGCGAACCTGGTGTTCCACCCATCTTGTGCGGCTTTGACTTTAATTTGGGCTGTCTCCGCCGTGAATGGGGGGTATGGAGCTCGTCCTTCTTGCGCGGCCATTGTGAGCAGAGATGTAGCTGTGAGGGATTGCTTTAGTTGTTGAGTTGTATAAAGAATGAAGAAGAAGAAGAAACTTTCGATATTCTACATCTTTCTGGTCTAGGTATTTATAGAAAACCCGAGCTGCCTCTTAGTTATATATCTTACCTCAGCACCACAGATATAGCAATGCAGCTTAGTCCCAATCCTACGGCGCTATTGTTACAGCGTCATAGCATTTGCTTTAGCTCGGGTTGCATCATGGCCGCTCGCGTTTTGGCAGCGGCACAGCAGCGGCATTGCTGTCGGGGCGGCTTGTCGGCATTTGCAGACTGCGCCATTTCCGCGGTATCCGCACAGAAGCGCGAAAAACCTTAATGGCTGCTACAGCTCTTGTATAACAGGATTCGGAATGCGCCATTTGTGCCAGCTGAACACATTAGCAGTTTAACGATGAGTTATTGAGGACTAAATACTTCACGGTTGGAACTTGAGAGTCATTGCACAGTGGTGAAACTGAACTTGAGTAAACTGGTGCTCTTTCACCTCCGTTATCATATAAAACCAATTACACATACAATATAATTCAAAGGCACAGGAAGAAATGCACAACACAGTGTCAACTATTGTAACAAGTTTTAATCATTCATAGCTAGCTATCTGTACAAACTTAATATGACCCTCCAAGCTGTACCCTGTGTTAAATACAGCGTACTCATTTCCATAACCCAGTCCTATCTCCCATGAGTTTCTTAAAGTCTTCCTCAAGCGGAAGTCAAAGTGCCGGCCTCAATGTTGTTGCCAACAGGGTCAAAGATGAAAGCAGCGTAGTACTGAGGGTGAATTCCAGCTCGAATTCCGGGAGCGCCGTTGTCCTTTGCGCCTGCAGAAAGACCAGTAGAGTGGAAAGCATCAACAGCCTTGGTATCTAAGTCATAATAGTCAGAAGCTATAACGATTGAAGAGTTGCACATAAATGTATATAAAACGAGAGTGACTTTGTACTTACCAGCTGCTTGGAAAGCGACGTGAGCATAGCTGGACTTGTCGCTGGACAACAGGACGAACTCGGGTCCAGCGGTGCCAAAGCCAACCATTCCCTCTGGGAAACCAGGAAGGACATTCAGTCCGAGAGTCTTGAGGGTATTGGTGTAGAACTGAACGGTGGGAGCAAAGTCAGCCTTGGCGACTCTGATGAGAACGTGTCCGATAGGCATTTTGGCGGATTGAAAGGTTGTGAATAGAGTAGAAAGTAGAAATTGCAAATGTGTTAGATTGTCTTGATTGAAGTTGAATGTTTGTTGAGTGAATTGTATTTCGATTCCAGAAGGGAATACTCGACGGTCTTATATATTCAATTCCGAAACGCAGTTCAGGTGGAGCTATCTCATAACGCCCACTACGAGCGATGATAAATCACAAGTCTATGCAAACCGAATACCCGCAATCTATCGATGATTACACATAATTCATTGCCGGCCCCAACTTCAATGCATTTAGTTACATCATCAGCTGCGACTTCTCTGGTGTGCCACGAAGATCAAGCTTTGGCGGAGGACCCCGAATAGCGACGCTAATACCATCTCGGTAGCCAGTACCCCCGTCGTTTTAGTGGCCGCCCGGCGGCAAGTCAGTCGGCAAAGACTCCGTTGGGAGAAATAGAGTGGGCACTAAACTCATTCAAGAGGCCAGTACCCTGGTGCGGAGAGTTGCTGTTGGAGGTTTCAGTATATCTATGCATATTATAACTGGAATCTTTTGATATATACGAAGCAGTTGCTTATACAAGCCGTTGAACTAATACTAAATGGTTAAGTCGTGGGGAATAGCCTATCCGTACGATTACAATTCAGAGGAGTTATACAATGCACGATGGGAGTCTAATTCACACAATCTGCCCTGAAATGTTACAATACATTACAAATAACCCCCTCGCCAGATACAAAATATTCCAAATGCCTATTTTATTCTTGTCATATCAAGGCGTCTCCCAGTTCATTCTGCGGCACCAATCGGCGAAGACTTCTTTCGGCATCAGAGGAGATCTGGTCGAAGGCTCAAGCTGAGCATTCTTAGACCAGTCATTCCACTTTGCTGCTGTGGCTTGGGCAGTCCTTGCAACACCGAGTTTGATCGCCATGAAAAGCTCTGCCTGAGATTCATTCGACAAACTGATCTTTTTGATCTGAAGGATTTTCGATGCAAACTTCTGTGCCGTCTCTTCGCAATAAGCATTCGCTATCGGGTCCAAGCTGAAGAGCAATCGATTGATTACGATGGAGACGGCAAAGCTGAATCCGAGTGCCTCATGCTGCCTGTCTGTATCTATTGGCTTATTAGGACAGCCCGCTGCAGCTGATCCAAAATATTCCTCTTGCCATTGCAAGCATGCGTGCCGGAGTCGATGTAGATTGCTCACAACATCATCAATCCAGTAGTCTGGAGTATCGTCGCGGGTGATGCAAATAATTTGCGTCGTTTTATGGAAATACTCTGGCACATGGCAAATGTTGGTTAATAACGACACAATTGGCTCACTTCTGTCGTCAAAGAGATTGTCGTTTGTAGGTATTGCGCGCAGCACGGCTTGCCATCCGCCATCACCCAAGAAGCAACTCTGATTAACATTAAGCGCGTCGTGGAACTAGGCGCATCGTTAGTCTTACAGATCTTGCGCTAGATAGATCTTTGCGGAGATGTCAGGGGAAGATTACAATTTGACCAACGTGGGATAGCAGTAGTGCCTTCTCGAAGTCACTCTGACAACGTTCAGGGCCTCGCAGCTTGATCAGTGCTGCTGCTCCTGAGGAGTGATAGTTCCAAGCGTCTTCAGTGGACATTTTCAATAACTATGTAACTTTGTAAGCAGAATGACTCAAGATATTTGTATACGTGTAATCAAGTTACCTCGTATATTCCAAGAAGCTCCGTGGCACAGAGCACGTCTGGTCCAAGACACGCGTCAGGGCACTGCAGCTCGGCTTGAAGATCCGTCAATGCTTCCGAATATAGCTTCAATATGGTTCCGGATACCGGCTCCAATGGAGAAGCAAGCCATTGCTGGGCTCTAGCGGCCACACATGCAGCAGCCTTGTCCAGAGCACCGTTTTGCCCGATGCGGCCTGGCAGATAGTTCAAGTATGACCAATGCCGGCGGCCGAGAACGTCGCTTAACATATCGGGCTTGCTGGCAAGAGAGCTTGCCGTTGCGTAGCTGATGTGAAATGAGGTCAGTTGTGACAGATCAAGAAGATCAAAGTTGTACCGCGTCCTCAATTTCTCGTACGAGCAGCTCGGTAGGCTCGGTACAATGGCCCGGATTGCCTCCCAAGCGGCATAGTATCTCTTTTCACTCTCTTTTTCGTTGATTATTCCAACTGGATATTGTATCAGGTTATGCTGTCCGTAACCGCCTCGTTTCCGTCTGGCATGGGCAGGCTTGCTCATGGCCTGCTTCCGTATAAGTTTCCTGGCTTGTTTGTCATCGGGGATCAGCCGATTGGTCGCCGTAATGAAAACAAGATCGGGCATCCTGTCTGGGTTGGCGATGAGGAATCAACTTCTACGAGTATACATGAGAACCTTGCAGAAAAATACGGAGAAAATCCAGCTAGATCTGGAAAAACGAAAAGGGTTCATGAGACCGCGTTTAAGAGTTTCACTCTTGAAGTGCCATGAATGCTGACTCTTTAGCGTCTTCGGGGAGCTCCGCTTGACAACGGGAGAAGGAAACGAAGAGTGGCGTGTGATGCGGGGCAGCAGAATGACAAGGGTACTGGTTTCCATAACAGGAATGGTGTTTTCTTATAGCCAAGGGCGGAAGAATGATTATGGGTATTAAAGCCTCGCTATGGACCATCAATACTTTTGCTCCTTGAAATCCTGAAATCGTCCTACGGGGAATACTCGGTATACCGTACTATGGCATGCGATTCTTCGTGTGGAATCATTCATTTCCAGCCTTGGAGGGACTTGATTGAGTTTCGCAATGACACATCCAGACAAAACCGGCCGCTGCTTGGTCATGATGGCAAATGATGGCGGATTGAGAACAGTCCAGACGAGCTCACATAGTAGATGCATCTAAGCATCGGTAACTGACAGCCTCTTATTTCACAGTAAGACCCCCCTTAGAAAACCAGCTGCAGCTTTCATTGTCGCGAATGTCTGGAATAGATGGCCTTTAGAACGATGGGTCACGCTTCCTCTTACAGCAGACGAGAAGTGGTAGCCAGCTTTCCTCACCTCAACTCACCGATCTGTAGCCCGATAACATCTTCGAAATAATTGAAGCTTCGTGATGTTGGTCGATCTTGAGTGGATATGGACTTTGCCTACGGAAATGCTGCCTCCCTCTCTCGCTCCGCTCCTGTACTCAGAGGATTTCCTTGCCCACTGAGATACGGACAAGTCAACAAAAGTAGTACTACGGACCCTCAACGTCGGTAATTTGTGCTGCTGGATTCATTCCACCCACTCATCGTGGTTGGTGGGCGAGTGAACCAGCTCTAAAGCTTCCTGGAGCTATATGTAGAGAAACGGCTCTATCAAGTACGTAGAGAGCTCGACAGTTTTGAACGAATAGAGAGCGCCGCATCGCAACTTGAGAGAGCCCTTCCCCCGGCGTACATAAATGCTTAAGGAGGAAGTCGTGTTACCAAAGGCAAGGCTCTCCCTGGTGGACATCAATTCTGAGTTTTGCAGGATCATGAAAGACCTGTCAAGAATGTCGCAGATCACAACATTGTCAAAGGAGTAGAGACAAACTGACTGAATCGAGTGTTTTCTAGCCTCATAACGAAGCTAGCTTTGAGAAAAGGCATGAGAGGGATAGAATCTTTGGAACAGGTCAATTGACGAAAACTTTTGAGGGTTTGATAAACCCTTAGCATGCAACTTCAAGCAGTTCTAGCAAAATTGAAAAAGAAAGGGGGTTAAAATATATAAGCAACATCTTGAAGCGATATGAGGATTAAGTATATCCATGCTTACAAAACTTACCACGACCAAGACAGCCTGGAGATCTATTTCACGGATATCCGTGAAGTTCACCCCGGTTGCTTTGTAATTCTGCTGAAGTGGGACATCCATCGCGGTTATGCGGACTATTCTCCGCACTAGATGCGGAATTCAGAAACTAGCTTGTGAAAATTAGACTACTTGATCGGAAAATCAGCCAGGGTCTACGATGTATAGTCTACGAATACGTTTGTAATAACTTCATATCTCCGCCAGAAAATCATGCGATGAGAATCGCAATCGTCATTTACAGTGCAAACAGGCGACTTCGTCGTTCACGGAGAGCCGTGAATAGTATCAGTGATTTCTAAGCATGTGTTTTCAGCTAAATCTAGGCAACTTGTGCCTCCATGTCAACAATGTGAATGCAACTATAAAGATCAATTCGAACGGCCTCCAAACCAATCCTATTCACTCAGTATTAACATCCTTCACTTGACTTGAACAGAAACATGACTGCAGACACTCTTTCGCTTAAAGGCAAGACCGCCTTGATCACTGGCTCGGGCAGAGAAAATGGCATTGGCGCTGCCATCGCCAGAGCTTTTGCCCGAAACGGCGCCGATGTTGCGATTCACTATGTCTCGGAGGGCTCCAAGTCGCGGGCTGAGAAGGTGGCAGCAGATATTAGTCGGGAGTTTGGAACCAAGACCACCGTTATACAAGGAGCGGTAGAGAAAGCCAGCAATGCGACAAAGATAGTCAAAGAAACTCTGGAAGGCCTTGGAGCCTCTCACATTGACATTCTCGGTATGTACTTTATAAGACTTCTAATTCGTTACATGAGACTTGAAGGTGGCTGATGACTGGTTGCGGCATAGTGAACAACGCTGGATATGGAGCTGCTAAGAATATCCTAGAGGCAACGCCAGAATCGCTAGAAGCAGAATTTGGGATCAACGTTTTTGGCCCAATTTACCTGACTCAAGCAGTCGTTGGAATAGGCAAAATGCCCAGAGGCGGGCGCATCATCAACGTCGGCTCCATCGCCTCAAAGCTCGGCCCCGAAATCAGTGCAGTCTACGGCGCTACAAAGGCGGCGCAAGACAGTCTCACGGCATCCTGGGCTGGTCAGGTGAGCTTTTCTTCTGTCTATCAGGATCCCCCTAATCACCAAGACAGGCTGTTTCTAATGACAAGTAATAGCTCGGCCGTAGCCATGGAATTACCGTAAACACCCTTGCTCCCGGACCAATCTTGACAGACTTGGCGAGGCCGTTCTTGGAAGCCGCCGACGGAACCTCATCGGCGGAGATGTTGAAAGTGGTGGAGGCGCAAACACGAGCTGAGGCACGAATCGGGACAGTCGAGGACATGGCCGATGCTGCGTTGCTCCTGGTTTCGGAGAAGAGCCGCTGGCTTACCGCACAGTGGATTTCAGTCAGTGGCGGAGTTACTGGAACCATGTAAATGGGCGGTACTAGGTATTGGACACCTCTTTCGGCGGTCTTGTCGAGTGGTATGTTGAATCACAGCTATTCGCAGGATTCTAGAAGTTGGCTCCACCTCATTGCACGATGCCATATGTTTAAATAGACTATACCTAGTAAGAATAAATAGTGCTGTGCTTATTTAAAGATCCATAGCTCTTTTTACCGCCATCAAAGCTACCGGTTGCGAGTCCCGCGTATATTGTCTACGTCAAACCGGCGTCGCTGCCTTTCAGACCATGATACAGCTCAACGTGGAATCATCCCTACGATGCCACCCTTGAAACTCACGATGCTATAGTGATTTTCGGAAATAGCACAGGAGATTGAAAGTGCCAAGAAATCGATCGGGTGGTTCTATGGCCGAAACGCGAGAGATGGCCTTTCCAAGATCTGCGTAGAGCTGGTGGAGCGGAACTTGGGAACTTAGGAAACTATGCGAGCAAAGCTAACTCCGAGTCTCGAAACAATACGATTGGCTAAAGTCTTGCCTGAAGAAGGCACAACGACCCCGTCAGGCCCACATTATAGCGTTGTCGAAGACACTAAATCGCACTTAAACCCGAATAAATGAGGTGGCATTACTAACTCAGGATTGCCATGCCTGACACATGCGATTAATAAGCCAACTGTTGCACGGAACTCCGTGAAATGGACGTCAGGGGTTTAAGACGGCAATTCATGTCCCTCGGTATCCATACGGAATAGATGTATTCAACAAAGTGCAATTCCTGGCAAGTGCACCATTGACATTGAGCCGCAACAATCCAGCTGCAGCATCCAGCAATATCAGAATGCATACGGGACAGAGACGTTCAACTCCTTCCAGCAACCACGAAGCAAGCCACCATTGTCCGCTGTGCAAGAAAACATTCAATCAAGGTAATAAGAATAAATATGAAATGGCATAGGAATTATTCCGAAAGCTATTCTTATTTCTGAACACCCGCTGATGCCTATCTGTTTAGAATCGTCAAGCAGGCGGCACTACTACTACTGTCGTTCCAAACTACCCGACACGAACAGATCTCGCAAGCGGTCTTGCGCCGCATGCATTCGGGCAAAAACTCGCTGTATCGTGCCTGGAAACGCTACTTCAGAAGCTTGCAGTCGTTGTCGTGACCGGAGTGCTGAATGCGAGTTTGCTGTAGCATCACAGCGAAAGGATGAGTCGCGTGGAAGCGATGTAAGTGATACAACTCGTTCCACAGGTAAGCCGTCGGCGCCTCAAGAAAGTGCAACTACTTTGGCTCTCTCCATACGGTCTGGTCAATCTGCGAGCTTGGAAACCACCGCATTTGCACAGGGCTCCCCTACTTTTTCAGCGTCCCTCGAATGGCTAAGCGAAGAGATATCGAGTACTGGTCTCGGAGTGCTGTTTGAGACTCCACTTTATATTGAACTTGGCATCGAGCCTTTGGTTGTTCCTTGGAGCGAAGACTTTTGTGACGTAGAAAACGGCACATCTGCGTTGAAGCCGTGGGACTTACCTAGCCCCTCGCTGTTTGTACCTCGGACGTTTTCTAAGCCAGCCCAAGGACCCCTAGTGTTGTTGGCATTACAGATATTGCGATCCTATCCTTTCATGGTACTCCAAAAAGCTTCACTGCCGCCCTTTATCAATCCGTTACAAGCCTCATGGGCTGAGACTGGAGTAGGGCCGCGGCAAAAGGTCAGTTGATGCGCTTGCTCGCTTTTGTATCCCTTGCATCCTCAAAGGCCCGTTATCCAGCTAAGCAGAATACTCGACATTTCCAAGACTGATGCCCTTTGCTAATACTTCCTTCATGAACAGCCACTACTTAACTGCATAGGCCTAGTCTCGTTGTTCAAAACCCGAACTGATGACAGCAAAAAGCTTGCATGGAGGCTCATTAGGCTCGAGCAGGAAAAAATAAAGCTCAAAGTATGTATCAGGTAGCTGTTATTTTGAACTCGGGAATAACCGTTACTAGCATATGGAGTATGACAAATGGGAGCTCCTGGCTGCTTTCCAAGCCTTGCTCGTCTACTGTCTGCTGCGTATCCAGGACGTGCCGGCGGACAATGACGGCTTCGAACCCGCCCTTCTCACTACGGTGAATGTAAGTAGCGGTGCACCAACTTTTATGACATGCGTTGTGCTCTGACAATCACAAAAGCTTATATTCAACGCGTTAACCTCAACGGCCGGCGGAATTCGCAAGTCAGAGCTTCCTGATGACCCCGGCGTTACCTGGATGGACTGGATCTTCAACGAATCAAGGAGACGGTGAGCACGCTTATTATTAATTGCCATTTAATTGTAATGCATACTGATCTGTTGGGAAGAACGGTGCTTATCTTTCAAATACTCAACATTTTGATTGAAATGTCAACTGAGGCTTCTTGTTATCCCACTTGCGGCTTCGTTCTTATACCCCTGGCAAACAGCGCGGCGCTGTGGAATGCAAGTGGCATAGAGGAATGGCAAAGAGAATTCAGAATCTACACCAAAGAGCGGATTGTACACGGCCTCTTGAAAACGGGAGTCTTGATGAAGCTGCTGTTGACCGATGACGCTGTTACACTTTGGTCAGTGGGGTGGGAAGACTGGAGGGCCGAGGTTGGTGAGATAGGGACACTCGTGATGATTGTGGGAGCGTTGTTGACTCCAACAAGAACCTAGATGCATGGACCTTGTTCGCTGAGCTATACGAGTAGTTCTTTGATTCATAGTACTTTATCTTTTTTTGCATTTCGTGCTCGTTGAGCATAGTATTAGGCATTAGGTATATGATACACAGAGACTCTGCAGCAGCAGTCCCCTATTCGTCTACTTTTATATAGTATAAACCGCTCCTCCCTTTAACATAGCTCACCTTGATACCCTCTCCAAGTCTCTCGAATATCCTCTTCTCACACGTCGTCCGGCTGCTTCCGCTACTATCCAGCTTCCACAGCAAAGGCTGCAGCGCCGCCGCCAAGCCAACGCAGCTATGATCCCTTATCGTCACCTTGCTCGCAATCACCGCCGCAATCACCGCCAGCAGCAGCTGCAGCCCGACCGTCAGTCCCAAGATGATGTGCACATAGACCCAGCTGGTGATGTCCAGCTCGATGGCCTTCAGTGGCAGCAGTCCCGTAGCGTTGACGTTGGAGTTGACTTGTGCCGTGATGGCAACGACACCGACGGCAAAGGCTGCCATGAGCTGACCCATGCCGGTGTTATTGCCTCCTTGGGGTCCTCCGTAGTAGGATTCGGCCGGATAGCTCTGGAACTGGAAGTGCCGGGTGCTGTTGAAGCTGACTCCGAAGGTCGAGGCGCCGTAGCCCTGAAGGGCAATGGCTGAGGCAGCCAGGCTGGTGACGTTGACGCCGACTTCTTGCACTGGGTGCTCAACATTAGTAACCGGCCCTATGGTGATGTTGCAGTTGTAAAACCACGGATCTGTTGCCGAGGCCTCAAACGCCAAGACATGCCCCCACGTCGGCCCGGAACCGCGATCCGGATCGACCATAAACGTTGTCTGCGACCCTCCATTCTGGGCGGGAATCGCTATTTGGGTCTTGTTTGCGTTGTCAATGGTTATTATGCGTTGAGTTCCATCTCCTCCACTGAGAACCCTCCAGCTCCGGCATGTTGCTTCCGTAGATATCGTTCGGTTCGTCGCCACCGACTGGTAGTAGTCCAGATTATCTGGCGTTGCTTCGTAAAAGACGTAATAGCATTTATTTTCTTCGCAGTACATCAGATCTGCATCCGAGTTAAAGAGGCTTCCAGGCCGAGGCATCTCATCCATGGGGCCATATCCGTATGCCAGAGCAACAAGACCGTAGCTGAGGAGGTCAGAATTAGCTACCACGCCACTCACGTCTTCACAGTCAACACTCACTTGTTTGCAGTGTATCTTAGAGCACTGATGGCTTGTGAATTGGTCGATAACACTTTGCCTGTCTGGATATTGGTCATGTCCGGTATGGCGACAGTCCCAGGCACGGTCACGGCGACAGTATCGGCCGAGTTAATGTTGTAAGTCAAGCCAAGCGTCGCGACAGCTATTTGCGAGGCCTGGCTCGTCACAATTAGCTGAACTGGTTCAAAAGCATACTTGACTTTCCAATCAGAGTTTGATGCTACCTACCACGTTGACCATGACCCAGAACAGCACATACACCCTCACCCAATGCCGACGCGTCACATAGCCCAGCTGGAAGAGACTACTAAAGTTTTCGCTCTGCAGAATATAATCGGCCTATCAATGTCAATACGACTCAGAATCAGCAACGTCCTCCTTTTCATCGTGGCGCAGCTCAACATTGCCTACCTCTTTCGGCATCCACTCGTGCCAACTCAGAACCCACCACCTCAACTCCCTCACGAGATGCTTCAGCGAGCTCGCAATATTCAAACCCAGCGCAATCGACAGCGCGATAATCAGCGTGTTGAACTCCTTCTTCTTCGTGCTGATCATGGCTGCTTTCCGCGAATACCGCCACAACACCAGATACGCCCCCATCACCAACACCGCCGTCATGAACCACCGCAACGCGCACGCAAGAAGCAGCCGCTTGAGCTGATTCCGGCGCTTGAAGTACTCGTCTGAGAAGCTATCCGTGCGGCCATCGCTGCGCCAACTGTCGCTGCGCCAGCTCAACAGCGACGGTGGGATCTTCATGGCCGTCACCGCGTTACGCATCTTGGATGTGTGTTTTTCCTCAACCGGAGCGCCCGCACTCACTGGTTGCAATTGGTTACATGTTCGGGTGGACTCGATTCGACGAGGGTTTACGGCAGCCAATTTATGAAATGAGAAGAGTTTTGCCTTTTGTCTCTCTCTTCTCGTCTTGGCACCGGCATCTGCCAATTTTGAAACAGGAGTTCACTCGTGAAGCAGCTGAAGCAGAAAAAAAATAGATTGAAACCGACAATTCACTGCCAAAAGGGTATTTTGTTCAGCTGAACCGTTAAAGTTCAGGCGGCACTTTTACAAAACCATACTAGCATATCGACATGAACCACAAAAAAATTTGTTCGAAGCATCGAAAGGAAGGCCACCCCGTACGTTCCACGCAGGTCTGCCCCATCTAATTTTGAGCCTCAACTCAGATGAACGGGTTTCCTTCTCTCTTCAGGCGTATTTTTCATTTCATCACGGCTCAGAGAGTCATAGTCTCTTACTCATTTGCAGAAGCATTGTGGCAGTGCTCGTTTGGAGCCATACTTGATATGGGCTCGTAACGAATCGCGACAGCCGGTGGGCTAGCCGTTCTAAGTCGCCGAAGGGCGCATCCCCTGGTTTTACGAGATGGATTCGGCAGCTTTCCGCCCGTGATGTAAAAGCTTGATTTCTTGTTTCCAAGCTGTTCAAAGATGGCTGGTAGCTGTGCAATTGATGGTGTGTGTGTGCCGGATAGCTCTCGCCACACACATAAGGTTATCTTTAAAGGGATGAGCAAAGTGGCAAATTGGTTCCCATCAACACAATTAGCTACAGCTGTGAACAGCACATTCCAGATCCCCTCAGCCAGTACCCAGCACAGTGTTATCTTGCGCAAATAAACCCATTACATACAACTGAAGCTTTACGGAGCTCTCATAGGCACGTTAGTTAGTATGTCTATCTATTTGCGCGTATTTGATCCTGGAGGCCTGAGAGGCTCTCCTCCGTCTACCATTTTGACTTACAAAACGGTACGACAGTCATGTCAAAACAGCTCATCCACGTCATACCCTCAAAATCAATTCATACCTCATCAAGGTAACCCTTCATCGCCGTCTCGGAGCCTTTTCCCCCCCCCTTACCTAATTCTACATGCAGTGAAATGTCACGCCACATAAACAATGGCCCGGAGCCCAACGGCACTTGCAAGCCAATCGGCGCCATCAAAGTCCCGCCCACGATACTAAAGAAATCCTCCCTTCGAGCTAAGCTCAGTCAGTCAGTATATGGCTTCCACCAGAAGAGAAGAAGTCTTGGAAGACAGCTTCCGCTTCCCGCCCCAGCGGAGAAAAAGAGGCATCGGCGATGGTGTCAACTCAGCAGCACGATTACGCATTCATACAGCACCGCGGAGTAATCCGAGAGGTATTTCTCCTTCTCTTGCATTACAGCCTTCCATGATGCGCGCCTACAGCAGGTTATTGGCCTCTCGTTGGCGCGATTGAGGCTTGCAGTTGCGGTTGGCATATGCATCAGCACCCAGTTATGCATCTCAGGAAGAAAAAAAAAAGCAAAGAAGCGAAAACAAGGACAATTGGGGGAATAAAGGGTCCATCCATCCAGTTGTCCCCCTCCCCATCCTACCAACGGCCGGTGGCCAAAATGCGATGCAGCAACCTGGAATATACATATGTACCACCGCATCAAGATCCATGTTCACGATGCACGACCCTCTCGATTAAGAATCTCGTCTCCACAGCCATGGGCCCATATTCACTCGTCTCTCCACAATGCTCGCATAAGGTGCTTTTGGCTGTTCTTCTCCATCACTTCCCAGATGGAGAGAGAGCACGGAGCAGAGGAAGCACTGAGACATATACGGGGTCTGACCCCATCCGGCGAAATCGCCCAGTCGCAGCATCTTCTTCGTACCCAGAAAAAGCTTCATCGCTTATTAGCTTCCAATCTATCTAGCTATCTAACTCCATATAACCCCCCTCACGATCCTTTCCATCTCCATCTTTCCCGTTATCACAGTCATCCATGCACGCCCCCCTATGGCCTCTGCCTTGGCCTCATGTACAGGTACTCCAAGTACTCGTAATCCTGCTTCTCCATACCGTCATGCATCTTACACGTACCCGCGTCTCCATACGCACTCCCCTAATAAAGGAAAATAGGTACTATCGTATATAAAATTCTACTACGGCTAGAACAATACCAGTCAAATCAATAAAAAGCCCCTCCGCCCCCATCGTCAGGCATCAAGACGTAAGCAACCTTATAAGAACAGCCACTCCTCTCTCACCACATGTTCCATCTTTCCCCCTTCTCATGCACATCCGCCCAAAAATGCACGTCGGTTGCTTGCTTGCTTGCTTGCGTTCTGCCGTGCCTTACGAGAAGCTTTTCCCAAAAACCACTCATGTCATACTTTTATTGATAGCTAGATAGTTCCTCCGTCTTGCAAAGCTCTCGTCCGATAGGCTCAATAGAACAACAGCGGGCGAGTGATAAGAGAGAGAGAGAGGGTGGAAGTAATAGTTTAACGCCCTGAGATGAGATATTGAGATGCATAGCACGGCCGCAGCGAGGAGCGAACAGACGGGCACGCTGCCCAATCCCAATGGCTCGACTTTTCATGCACGTACTTCGCCCCCCGCAAAGTTGCCGAGCTCGTCGCCGCCGCCCAGTGCTGACAAAACGCTTCGCCTCTGAATTAACAATGATGGGAGAGGAGAGATGCCGAATAGCGGGATATGTTTGCCTCCCCTCTAGGTAAACAACCTTGGCAACCCTGCCCAGTAGACTACTGTACAACTCCGTATTGAACATGGTGAACTACCGAATTGCCAGGATCTCTAGCTCCAAGCTGGGGTTTTGCTGGCTGTGGTCCCTCACGCCACGTCCCCCAAGTCAAAAGACCGCCACCAAGTGGGCCGTCGACTGTCCAAGAGAAAAAGCCAAGTCTGCCATGCAGCATGGACAGGTCATCACATGCAGTCACATGTAATCATAACATAATATTTCACACGAAAAGCTCAGCATAGCACAAAGGGAGCGGCGTAATTGAAGAGAATCATATCTTTTTTTGTTAATCTAGGCAATTCCATTTATGTCTGATCTCTGTCTCTCTCTCTCGTAAAAGTAGTAGTAGTAGTACCAGAATGCCTTTCGAATCAATTGAACCAATACCATTAGCAACCGACTTTTCCTTTCCCGTAACCAGCCTGCTCGTAGTAGCCCAATGCAACCCTGGACCTAAGCACCAACCCCGTCGGCCGCCTTTCAGTCCATTCCCTAAACAACAAATGAGAGCATCGACAGGTCATTATCAATTCGCCGGGTTCCGCTTGTTCATAACGGTCTGGAGCCGTAAGACATGTAGAGCAAAGTGAAGAAAATAGGGAAAAAAAAAAAAAAAACAGATAGGAGATAACCACAAAGGAGAGGTAACCGTAGTGGCAAAGTTACTCCAATGCAAGACCTGTCATGAACCGAACCCAGAGCGCAAAATAAAAGAGAGCCGGTTTTCCATATGCCCTTGTGAGCGCCAAGCAAAAGCCAAAAAATAATCAGAATCCCTGTCGTATGTGACCAAACTCCAAAAGCTAAAAACACAAAGCCGAAAGCAAAGTAAGGAAATAGTGTAAGAAAAAAAATAAGAAAAGAATAAGAAAAGAGTTCTCGCTTTAGTTGTTGCTGTTGAATAAAAGAAGCGGAGACTGCAAAGGCGAGTCCAAAAAACAATTGCTGATAATAAGCGACAAAGGCCATGTGGAAGAGCCTCGTCTTGTTAAACAAGGGACATTGTTGTTGCTTTGTTAGCTGTCCAAAACCGAAAATAACCAGTTGTAAAATTTGTAATCAATCTTGAGTGAAAAATAAAAAAAAATCGTTAACTGAGGAATATCCTGCATATAGAAGCTGTCCTCGTCCGGTAGCCGCTGCCAGTAGTCATCTAGCCTCGGATGGCGGTGGCAGTGTGAGGCTCTCCGCCCCAGCGAAATCGCTGCTGGATCATCTGCTGGGCGAAAAATGGAGCATCAGTTGGCGACGTGGAGAAGGACGGCGATGGCGATCTCATGTGAGGCATCGGCATCGACTTGGGAGCCGACGGCTGGTCCCTGCTGATCAGCACAGAGGACATGGAGTCGAGAGAAGACGAGTGCGATGCCGCGAGATAGTCGGCAGTCAGCGGCCGATGGATCTTCAGATCAACGGGGCGCTGAGGATGATGAAGGCTGTGGTGAGCCGCAGGGCCGGCATGGTGAAGAGGGCCGTGAGGAACTACTGCGGAGGTCACCGTTGTCGGGCTCACGCTCTCGTTCTCATCGGGCCTGGTCGCGCCAGGAGTCGAAGCCGCGGTCGATGTCTTGGAGCCAAACTGTAAAACGAAAAGAAAAACCAAATGTCAGCTACCAGTTCCCATCCCATTTTTGTAGATTTAGTTCTTTCAGACATTCCAGCCCAATCTTCACTTCCAGCCTCTTCCGTTTCCGTTGCGTTTCCTTGTAACCAACAACTAGATGGCGGCAGGCGGCTGGGGCGGTTGGGGGACGCTGAAGTGGTCTCCGGGGGTACGTACAAAGCAGTATTTACTGACGAGCTCCTCATATGAGGAGCTTGCAAGGTCGAGGCCGAGGCCAACACCGGGCGCAGGAGCAGCGGCGGCGGCGGCGGCGGCAGCAGCAGCAGTGGACTGGCTGGGTGCCGGAGCTGACGGGATGCTCAGGGGAGGGCCAAATCTCATGGGGCTCGGGCTGTCGCGGACATTCCTCTTCATATACAAAGTATCCTTGTCCTTGGTCGCCGGTCCCTTGGTGGCCGAATCCTTGGCCGCCTGGACGGCAGCACTCAGGGAGGCACCGAAATCATAGCGGTTGGCAAAGGCCAGTCCGCTGGGGGCGGTTAGGCCCAGGCCCTTAGAAATGTTGTCACTGGCCAGGTTGCTAGTGGACTTGGTCTTGAGGCGGAGGCCAGGAGTGTTGTGCTCGCCCAAGTAGTCCAGGTGGTCATCAAACTTAAACTTTGGTTTCTTAAAATCATCAAACGAAGCAGGCATCTGCGGAGACCGACCGGCGGCGGCAGGGTTCTGCTTCCGGTTGCTGCGCGGCAGACTGCCAGTCGACCGCGAGCCAGCACCTTGGAAGGAGTTCTTACCATTCTGCGGCTTGAACTGCTTGCGAAAGTCGACCTGGAAGTTGGAGTTGTTGTTGCTGTCCCAGTACTCCTGGCCATTGACACTGTAGCGAACGCAAAAGTACAGCGTCTTCATCTCCAGGTTGGTGGTGTCCGACAGCTTGATGGAGAATTGGAAGCGATCCTGGCTGACGCGGGTAACGACGGGGCGGACCTCGTGCTTGTACTCGGCAACGATCTCGGAAGTCGTCTTCCAGTAGTCCAATGTGAAACGGCATACAACAGTCTTGTGGAAGGAGAGGTTGGAAACAACGACAGATCCCATCATCGACTTTTGATCCGGAGAGAGCCAGACTTTCTCGACACGGACAGGCTGCTCGCGTCTCTGGGGGGAGTCATGGGGGAAGTTGTTCGTAATCAGCTGCCAATCAAATGGCGGCGATCGAGCAACGGGCCCCCTTTTCTCACCTCCAGGGAAGGGATACTCAGCATCGCTTTCGTAGTTCTCCACTGGTGACGAGCCTGCACTGACGGCAAGAGGTCGGTCGACCTGGAGGAAGTGGCGGATGTGCTCCAGATGGGAGTCAAAGTGAACTGCCTTGGCAAACACAGGAGTGCCGGGCATACTCGAGGGCCGCTTGAAGTTTCGCAGAGCCGGACGGACCAGCTCGCCAGACTTCTTGCGTACCATGGGAGGCTTAGGCCGCATGTCATCCTCAGAGTCTTCCGAGACAGTCTGGGAGTTGTCCGCAGATGTCATGATGGCAGATGCATTTGGGTCGGTGGCAGATCGAACATGGCCCTTTCGACGCTTGGGAAGCTCGGCCAGCTCGTTCAGCTCGCTCAATGTCATGGCACTGAAGCTAGTGTGCATGATGCTTCGAGGAGTGGCATCGTCGTCAACGCTTAGTCTCAACTCCTTGGTCGGGGGCGACGGTGTCCGGGGCTGGGGGATCTGGCTGACAGCATCCCTAAGCTTCCCCAGCTTCCTCCCCCGAATCTCCGGACGGCTGTCATCCTCGCTATCGGATGATGCTGAGTCAGGCGGGGAGATGATGGCACCGTTGGGGATTCCTCGATCGTCAGTCACCGGCGGGGGAGACTTGCGCAAGCTCGCGCTCACAGGAGGGTTGCCAGCGTTCTTGACTTCGTCTGAGGATCCATAGGGGGGAGACGGCGTGGCATGGGCCTCAGTGGTGGACGGCGTGGCAGACGGCGTTCGACGGTGCTTGCTGAGATATGAGGCGGAACGAGGCAGCGAAGGCTTCTGGCCTGACGTGACTGATGATCGGCGGCTCACATCCGGGGAAACGGTCGCTGAGGAGGCGGGAGATCGGTGGGAGGGCGGCGTGTAAGGCATTCCCAGGACTGTTGCTGGGGTAAAATCTGGGGAAAAAAGTAAAGGCTTCTCTGAAGTAATATTGCAAAGTTTTTTTTTTTTTTAATAGGCGGAAGCGGGTCGTGATAAAAGCTGATGTGTGTGTCCAAGTCGTCCCGAATTAGATCATAGGATAGAAAGGACTAGGATTTGTTGTCGGGTTGAGAAGAGTAGCGACAGGGAAGCTAGTATCTAGGTAGTTTGGAAGATCTGGGACACGGGAAAGTACGTTGTCAGCACATTGACGGTCTGAGATCTCATAACAGCAGTAGGTAATATGTGAGGAATGGTGTTGACAAGGGTGGAGTAGAGGGCAACGCATGGTTTATAAACAACCAAAGCTTGGCCCGCAGGAATAGTGCGGCGATAGCTCATTTGTGGCTTGCAAGATAGTTGTCGAAGGCGTTCCAAAACGAGGCTGATTATTCTTTTTCGGCACAATTTGATGAAATAAAGAAAATAGAGTTTATCGAAAGATTTCGTATAGGGCAACAAGGCTTTCTAGAAAGGCAAGGCAAGCCAAAATCCAATGGTGGAAACTTACAGCAAGGACAAATGTCTCCGCAGTGCTTTAGGAAGCAACGACACGGTCTCAAGCTCGGGCAATATTCCAGCAACCGAGCTAAAAGACTGTGAGGTGCAGCCACAGAAGCACAAACCTAGGTGCGGATGGTGGTTGTATAAGATCGCCAAACGATGGAGTCTGGCGGATAGATGCGGCCGGCTCGCTTGGAAAGTTGTCGAGTCGGATGGAAAAAATAAAGCAAGGGCAGAAAGAGACAGATGACTATGACTCAGGCCCCGAAGATATATATCTGATGATAACCGAGGTAGAGAGAGATGAAGAAGCAGAGATGCGCAGAAAAAGCACGGCTGAGATCCGAAGGATGGGCTGATGGCACGGCAACGGCGGAGAGATAAGAAGGCTACAGCTTCTGAAGGGATGATGCACTGCTGACTGAAGGCGGGGAGAGAGCGTCGAAGACTGGGCTCTTGGGGGATGAATTAGCCCTTTAAAGAAGAAGAGGAGGGGAGGAGGAGAAAAAAAAGTATCAAGCGGCGGTGATGAAGCCGATGAGGATGAGGAAACGGGAAAGAAGGGAAGTTGAAGACGGAGGTGGTGGGGAGAGGCTGTTTTTGGACTGCGCGAAGAGACGAAGCGATAGATACGTACCGCCTCAGCAGTTGTGCTCCAAGCCAAGCCAAGCCAATGCCTGCAGGCCAACAAGTACCGGAGCCCAAGGGAATGGGGACAGGGTCAGGCCAGAGGCGAAAAAAAAAATGGAAAAAAAAAATTAAAAAATCGACTAGAGCGAAGCCATCGTACAGGTACCTGCTAGTGGAAGGCTCGGACCCGGATCCAGGTCGCTATGCGCCGCAGCACCACTTCTGGTGTGTACTGCACTGAGACCTTAACTTGCCCTGCTCTAGCCTGCATTGGCCCTGCTGGATGGGGGGGGAAGATGCAATGCAAAACTTGGCTGGCCATGAGAGCGAGAAGAGCTGGGGCCAAGAGACAGGGGGGCGTGATGCCGGCGGCGAGGGTTGAGGGAGACAGACAGACAGACAGACAGACAGACAGACGAGCCCGGGTTGGTCTCTGCCCTGTTCTTACACTGCTCTGCTCTGATCCCATCTCGAAATCAAATATTGTCATCTTCATCCCGTCGGCTTGGCCTTGCCGCCAGCACCGCCTACCAGCGCGCTCGCTATCGGCCAGTCACTGCGCTCAAGCACCCCCTCCCTCTCCCAGAAGTCTCCAGTGGGCTGCCACGCTGGTTCGATGGCTTGAGACGGTGGGCCACCGTCGATCGGCTTGGAGGGTGGCCAGTGTGCCTTTAGCCCCAGCACAATTCCAGATGGATACCGACTAGGGAGGGTTTCCCTAGAAGACGACGCGAGAGGGGCCCTAGATAGGCGGCCAACAGGGGGGGAGGGGGGGTTCCATCACGTATCCAAGAGACTTGTACAGGTCTGAGCGAGCCGAGCAACGGCGCAACAGGCGACCTGAACCCCAGCCAGCCAGCCAGCCAGCCAAGCACCAACAACAACAACACTTCAGCAGCCCCATCGTCGAGCCTAGCGCTCTTGCGTCGTAGCATCAGCGGCCCCAAAGCAACAGCGCTGGTCGTCTCGCCTATTGCTGCTGCTTTGTACAAGTACCTACAAGCAGTATAATCTGTAGATTGCTTGGGGCTTTTTGGATCTTCATCTTTATGGGGGCCCGTGTTAGCTCCATCTCGCTCGCTCGCTCGTTCGTAACAAGTCGGTACAGTACAGTAGAACGCTGGTGGTCTGTTTTGCTCCTTGGCCGGGCTTTGGCGCGATATCTGATGAATACATACACACCCTCTTTCTCTCATTCTCTCTCCCCTCTCTCCCCTCTCTGATACACATCAATTGATATTCCAAGCACAGCGGCAAAATACGAAGCAGAGAGGCGAAAACACCTGCAGATAGAGCGAGACACACAGACTCAAAAACAAGAGAGACGCAGAAACGGCGGCAAATGGTGTGTGCCAGCCTTCTTGTTTCCCCCCTCCCCCAGGAGCCCAGTGACCGTCAGCCAACGAAACGACTCCATCCTCCGTCCAGCAGTAATGCACCCTAATGTAATAGAGCTGCAGTGTCGACGTCGCATTCTGGATGCCCATTATTGCGGAGTACACTGCCTCGCTCTCTTGCGTGTCGTCGTAAGGTACTCCGTACAGGGTCGTGTACGGGCATGTATATGTATGCATCTGTATACATGCCTTAATTCATATTAACTGCACGGAGTACATGATGGAAAGACCGTTTTGGATCGTGCTAATGCACAGCTCCTGTGCACCCCCGTGCCATCGCCCTTGAGTCTTCGTACAGGTACAGTAGTCATCCTGGGTGCCCAAGACAAAGCAAAGAAGCTATGATCAATACCAACGGAGCACCCCAGCTCCTCCAAGCTCGGACTCGACGCCAGTGAAGGCTGAGAAAGAAAAAGACAAAAGAGATGACGGCAATAGAAGCGAATCCATGGAAAGTACCGTGATACGGGTCGGCGCCAATGAGAGAAATTAGAGAAAAACGGCTCAAATGTTCCAAATTCTATCCAATACTCGTCCGTTTCAACACCGGGGGACCCAGCCCGCGGCATCTACGGACATGCCATGTAGGAAGTTACCGGAGTCGGCAGCAAAAGTAGTCATACAGGCACTGGGTTTGTCTTGAACTGGCATCATCATCATCATGTCTGTCTTAGAAAGCCGCCGTCAACTTTTTTAGAACGCTTCTAATGTCTCATCTCTTGTCTCTCTCCCTCGTCCGCCCAGATAAGCGGCGCAAGAAGACGCAAAAAAGGCGTCAGTCCCAAAGCGGCCGTGCGCTCTTTTGGCGTCGCCTGATAACAATGCGCTTCACAGTGTGTATAGCATTAGTAATAAGCGGGCTTAGTTGTTATCGAAGCGCCGGTGATGGAATGCGTGGGCTGATTTCAGTGTCATATGGGTTGAGAGTTGCGAGAAACCATCTGAACAATCTCGCCAGGCAATGGCGGCATGGCTAACGTCTTATGCTCCCCAGGCCGGATCAAACCTTCTTTTTGTTTTTTTTTTTTGTTTTTGTCTTTTTTTTACTCTTCTTATTTTCTTCCATTTCTTACAGCATACAGTCAGATTTAGGACGGCCCCGTCCGCGCGCGCCCTCTATCGCTGTTGTTGTTCTCATTACTTCTTGTCTTGGCCATGGCGGATGACCGGTGAAGCCGGATATGGAGACGGGTACCACTACTAACGCTACTGGTTGACTTTAGCACCAGTTACTATCGCCCAGGCAATGAGAGATATCTGGCAATCTAGCCAATATTCTTAATTTAGCTCTTGACAAAGAGGTAAAAGCGTCGCCATTTGGGGAGCTCCCTCTAGCTGGTCTTTGTCTTCTGGCGTGGTAGTGGATCGAACGATTTACATGCAGTACTTGTATATGTAGTTATTACTTTTCAACGTTCAAATGTTGTCGTGCGTAATGCTTTTCGCCCTTCGTACTCGCAAAAAGGATCCGGCTGGCGTGGATCTTGGCCGACAGATAAAATTTGCAAATTTTGTGCCAAATCTCTGCCCTTGTTGGCTGAAGGCCTGCCGAATCGCATTGAAGGAGGCGACTAGGGGTGTGAAGAGGCGTTCAAGGTATTTTTCTTGCTTGCAGCCTTGCACTGCAGGCTCCGTGCATATTACCTACTAGGTAGTAATAGTAGCAATATGTAGGCTGTGCCGGGTCCCTCTTTAAATTCCATTTTGCTCCCTCTCCTGTGCCGTAGCCAATGTGTCCTGCAGCGAGATGGGGAAATCAGGAGCAGAATCCAAATTTCTACAGCAATCTGCAATGCTTCACTGCGAGTCTGCCCATCCGGCTCCCAAAAACCCATCTCCAGAGCTACCCTCACGCCGGTTGGCCTTTTTCCAAAGGAGAATTTTCTGCGCTCGGCGCCAGGGGTTGGTTGGTTGGCTGGCATGGCACGGCGCTGGGAATAGTATAGCGATGAGAGGACAAGGATGGGGTGGGCACTCCGGCATCAGACCCGGTCCTGGTGTGGCGCCCGACTCTGTGGTCCGTTGAATATCTCACCCCTGTTCTTCGCCAGAGCAGGCCCATGCCGGCCATTCTCAGCCGCTCATTGGCAGTGGCCGCCTTGGGTTAGCTGCTGGATGTCGAGATAATGACGTTGCCCGCGGTTTGGCTGAGGCTTGCCAGACGTCGCCCGCCAATCAGGCCACACCAGGCCATGCCGCTGTGCATTCCGCAGCGTCGCCTTCCTGTTTCACCTTGTGGTCTTTGTTTGCTCTTCTGCAACCTACTGTAGCGGTTCGTCTGGTGTCTGGACGTGCTGTAACAACAACAGCGTGCTGCTTGTAGCAGGTATATCATCTGGAGGGGAGACCAGACGGGATGGATTTGGCTTCGACCCGGAGCGGGCGCTGCGGAGTAGCAGTCGCTAGCAGTAGAAAACG